TGAGTTGGTTGGATTCTCCCCCGTCGTATAAAGATTTGAATCTCTGCATAATGCAAAGCTGGCTCTTTCCACTGAATAATAATGCTTTCTTTCCCATAGGATAAAGAGCAGTATCTCTGTGAAAACAGATTACCCATTTATTGAATTGTTGTGCGAAAAAAGCTAAACCACCAGAGATCTATTTGTTTCCCCGCAGCAGAGAGGTCCATTTAGAGGCAACGCGTTTGAGCCTGGTGCCAGATAACATCACTAGATGCATTACTTTGTGATGTTATCACACGTCTGCATGCAGTGAGTTTGCACAAAACACAAAATGGTTCTTTGTCTGCCGGAATAGCCATTTTTTGCCAATGTTTGGGACCGCCAATGGTTGTTATCCACCTATCAGCAGTTATCTATTCAGGGAGCACTTTCTCACTAAATGCAGAACATTGTGGCTGTTTCGACCTCCTTTACTCTAACATTTTAACACTTAAGTGTAAATACAGGACTATAAATATGCTGTTCTTTTTCTCTTCTCCCTCCTTTCATTCATCTTTTACCCACCTATTTGTGATTTTCTTTCAAACCTGTGAAACATATGCGATGTGGCTGGCGTTAAAACTTGCAAATCCATTGTCCTCATCGCCTCATCGTATGTTTCTGTCCTCCATCATTCGTTCTTTATGTGTGTCTGTTTTGTTCATCATAATATTTTACTGTTTTGGGGAAACTTAACCCCCTTTTTTTCCCACACCCCATCATTGTCTGTCGCTTTCATTATAACTGTGGCTTCTTTAATTTGCGCTCCCTTATCGCCCCCTCCCTTAACCTCGCCTGAACTCGTCTCCCCTCCTCCCCTCACCCCCCTGTCTTGCAGAGCACCTGTGACACCCTCCGGAGTCACTCGGACAGTCTCGGATTCACGCCGAACATGTTACCTCGTCACCCGACTCTAGGCAACTTTGAGGAGTTTGCCTGTTGACGACATAAAGTAGGGGTTGCGGGTGGGTGAGTGGGTAAGGATGGCACATCCAGGGACTTGACAGAAAACTGTGAAATAATGTATGTATTTAACAGAACAACGGTTGAGTGTGTAACTCAAAAAAAAAAGTATAAGTAGAGTTTATCATTGCCTGAATAGAAATAGAAAACTATCATCAGAAGAAAAAGAGACCACTTCCAAAACAGAACTCAGGTTTAACTGCCATGTCAAGGCATCAGTGTTAATTTATTCATGTTCATTTCGTCTCATTGTTTTTCTTCTATAGTTACTTTGGAGTATACAATCAGTGGAGATAAATGTGTCCAAAAAAGACGGAGTTTGACCTGTGTTGATGAGTTACACGATACTGTCGTGATAGTTTTGCTGTACATCAATCCAATAGAAAAAAAAGAGAAAAAAAAAAGAGAGATTTGGATTGTTATGTGTAGCAGTGTTTTGTCTCCAGCATCTAAACCAATGCTGTACTGAGTGACCTTATACTTGTCACTAGTTTGAACAGGAGAGCCTTTTCTTAATCCGCTCCATTTACTGAGCCGATTGTTGGATAACAGAGCTGCTCTTACCTGAATACAAACACCAGACAAGTGTTTAATGTTGCCTTTTGCTACTATGAGGCTTTGTCTCATTCATCAGACGACTGTGCTTATTCCAATTTAAAAAACGGTAAAGGAACTTGATTATTTGTATATATGCAAGTACCTAGTTTTATTCTATGTTGGCAGAAATGACTGAACTGGATGTTTTGTGAACTGTAATCACTTTTTACTGCGAGAAAGGGTTAAAAAAAAAAAGAAAGTGAGGCTACTGATTGTAAGTTTTTATCTTTATACAGCTCACTTTTCTCACTTTTTTCCTTTTATTTTGGGATGGCGTTGCTGTACTGTCACGAAAAAAAAAAACAAAGCTAAGCATGAAGCTTGCTATAAAACCAGCCCCTTAAATACACGATTACTTGGATAAAGGTACAATCAGGCTTTCCTTTTTTGCCTTTTTTGATAATTCTCAGTTATTTTTAAAACTGTGTCTTAAAGGTTTCCATCTGCACAACCCCTCTGTGACAGTAATCCAGTCTCTGTGGAGCGTAAGTTATAAAGGCTTGTTGGTGACGTTCCTGGGAGTGACAGAAATGTGTAAATATCTGCGATGAAATGCCGTGAAGAATTTCTACACTGGTTCCAGTGACAGTGGTCAAATATATTCATACTGTACATATACAGTGTTTCGATCTTTCTGTACTTTTGAAGGAATTTGGACTCTCTATCCGATCGGACCGTAAGTGTCTTTGAGTTTTTTCGGTGATTTGAAAGCGACTGACGATTACATGGAGTTTACAAGTCCGAAAATGATTGCCTCAAAACATCAAATTCAGTTTGGTTGATTTATAACAGAAGTTCATTGTACAATTTCACCATTGTCTTTTTATTATAATAACTATGATTATTCCAGAACATGTAAGAAGTCACAAATAACAGTTTGTGATGTATAAATGATCAAATATAATAAACTCTATATTTACCCATCTTACTCAAGTACACAACTTTTCTTCTTATCTCTGTGTGAGTCCACTTTTTCTATTTTTATGTTCCAAACGATTGAACACCTTGACACCACAGTTATGGACTTGTAGGTACATAATTCCCTCTATAAATACTTTGCTGGGGAACTTTTTCTTTTCTTTAATGTGAAACTTACAAGTATAATGCCAATCAAGTAAGTGGTGTTGATAACACTGTAGCTTTATTACTCTGTTGTCTGTATATTAGATGACTGTTGATGTGAAGCACAAACCCTTGGAGATCAGCCATCACTCGAAAGCCAATGACTGGACCGGACGTCTATGGTTGTGACTACCTTTTGCGGCTTTAGTTGAAACTAAACATGCTGTTACTCGTGGTGTGTTCACTGCTCCAGCGTTGACAGAAATAAGAGCGCTCTCGAAGAGGAGTCAGAGACCACCTCACGGAGAGACTTTATCCACATGGAAATGTTACCTTTCAGGAAGGAGAGGAAAGATGAATTTGTGGTGTTGTGTCTCAAGCAATAAGTGCATTGTATCAGATTCAGTTCTGTTCGATCAGCATAAAGAAAGATATTCGGACCCCCATGTACAATTCATGATGTTTCCACAGCTGGAGTGGATGTAGAGTGAGCAGCTTCCCTCTGCAACACAGATGTATGATACGGAGAGTGTATATTATCCATCATTAGCCAAATAAAGGGACACAGATGCCAATTCATGTTACACGATGATGCTATTCTGATGATGCTGCATTGCCACAAGGACTTTTGGGTGTGTGTGCGTGTGTGTGTGTGTCCTGTCGTCGGGTTAATAAGCATAAAAATGACCTAGCATTTACCGCAAACTGTGGCTAAAGGATTTGTGAAAATGTCCTGGGTCTTTACCTCTCTCCCCACCCCCTGCCTTACTACCTGTGAAAGAACAGCAGAGTGTATGTGAACTGGCAGAAACTATTACTGTTTGTGCTCATGACGTAGTCCTCAAATGATATTTACCACAAGTAGGAAACAGTATTCTATATGTTTCTGTCACTCAACGCTTAGATTTGAACTATTTTAATCCTATGGTTTATAATTTATGTCACATCTGCCATTTACTTCTTGTGCATGGTCATTGTGTATTCCTATTATCTCTGGTCTCTTAATGTACTCTTAACCATTATACTCACTTTGTAAAAAAAATTATATATATATACATGTATATTTGTGGCCAGATGAATCAAAGTGAGGTTCTCCTTATCATGTTATACTTTATTACTTAAAAATCCTCCTCAAACCAGACTTGGGATTGTGCAATACTCAACTAAAGACATACAGATGTGAAAATCTGCATCTTTTACAGATTCAATGTGATGTGGCTTGAAGTGGAACAAAAATGTGCCTTCAAGTGTGGTTGTAACAGGTAACACCGAGATTATTATGCGCACAAACATCTGGAGAACTGAGCTTGCTTCATCTGGCTCTACGTGCTTTCTGTGCATTTTATTGTAGATATGTGATTTTAACTCTGAACTGTACATTAAATAGTTAATACAAACTTGAATATGTGTAGCGTTGTAAGTCATGATTTTTGCAATCTCTTTGCAGACAAACCGCACTGCATGTCATCTTAACGGCTGTGAAAACAGCAGTGATCTGGTTAGAGGTGAGCAGGGCTCTGATGAAAAAGGAGAAAGGTGAGATCACAGATTTGCATGCACCAACTAATATTTTCAACATTCAGGAACACTAACACTCAGCGGGTTGTTTATTTCGGTCCTGAGGGGGCAGATTAGCTCGTAATGAACTCACTTTTAACCTAATTATGCTTCCACTAAAACTTGATTGCTGCCTATTTAGAGTTATGAAACATGTTACACAGAGTGGAGAAATGTGTCTGGAATAAGGTCTGTGGACTGATTAAGCTGAAGTTGCTTTCCTGTGCTCAAGGTGATGGAAATAAAAATAGAAATAACACTGCTTTGAATTTTGGTGGAAAAAGGTAGATGCAGAGTGAGGCTGACATTTAAGTTATTGTGCAGTACTGTAGTCTGGTTTTACCTCTGAATCACCTTTTTGATTCTAGTGGTTCTGCATTTGCTCTATAATTAAGTCCAGGGGTTTGTTAAAATTAAGAGTGACGTGGTTTAAACAGTTTTCCAAAATTAAATCTGAAAAATTATCCCCCTTTTTTTTCATTAAGTGCAAAATCAACCTGTGAAGAAACCTCCTCTGAAACTGTCCTGGCAATTTTTTGGAGGATCTCTAAGTAAACAAGGCAACAAAGATTAAGCATGTAAGTATTTGCTGAAAAAATCGAATTGAACGAAACCTCTTCAGAGCTCTCAGGAATATAATCCTAAATTTAGAGTTTCAGAAAAAAAAGTTATCTATTTTTGGTCAACTTTTACAAGGGTCATGTTGTGTTCAAAGGTTTCAGAGCAGCTGATAAATAGACTTTGTGTTTCACAATTTTTTGGCCAAATCTTAACCAAACTTTCAGAATGAAAAGGCACACTTGTATTTATATCCACTTTACTGAATGTGAAGTCTGATTTGCCGGAATACACAGAAAATAAACACTGACAACAGTCGTCATAAATCCTACCAACAAAAGCAAAGATACCGTCAAAGTGCAAAATCCACTCTTCATTCAAACTTAAAAGTTGAAGCTGTGTACAGTGACTCTAAAGCAGGTTTGTCTGAAATCACCTGTTAATGAAATACTGACAGTAAAAAGTTTGTTTTTCATTATAACTTAATCCACATACACACACACGCAACCTTCAAACAATTGAAATCCTAGACCGAGCTGGCTTAATGCTGAAAAGATCATGAAATCATTCAAAAGGAGAGTTCCTTTCCAGACGCTGTGGTGCATTTGAAAACAAATGCAAACTAATGAGCAGACATTCCATCATTAATAAATACATGCATCCATTATCTTGTCTTACATCAGCTAAATGAGAAAACATCCTCTTCTACTAACACAGTTACTTTAAATAACTTATTATGTAGGCTTTTATGGGAGTAATAGCAATGTAACAATCTGGGTAAAATAACATTGCAAGCTGATCACCGTATTATCAGAAGGAGTAAAAATAAAAACAGCTAATGGTGCAAAACAATCATATAAAAATACAGATTATCAGTGGATTTTAAGTTTTTTTTGTGTGTCTAATTTAACCAATATATATTTAAAAAAAACAACACAAAAGCAAAAACAAATAAAGATGATGTGTAAAAAAAAAAAAAAAAAAAAGGAATCACTAATGGTCCACTAAAATGATGTATATTTATGGTATATATTGGCCCATTTATTGATAACTGGCTAGAATCCTGGCTGTCAGTGTTCAACAAAGTATCATTGAATAAAGGATTTCAAATAAAACTGTCAGTTAAAAAGTGTGCAAAAAAGACAAATACAAAAGGGAAAACAAAAAGCCTGAGAGAGAAAAAAAAAAAAGATATATTATTTTCCCGTGCTACAATACAATCTCGTAACAGGTAGTGGGACAAAGCCTCGTTCTGATGGACAGTAGAACATCAGTATAAACAAGAAATCAAAAAACAGTGTATTTCACAGGTCTGTGTGTGAGTAATGTTGCTGCATGGTGGAAGTTGTTCATTTAAAACTTGCCTGTGTGCGTTTTATACACTTCTGATGAATATTACACTATAAGAAAGGTCAATTAGGTTACAACTGTGGTGTGACAGTTGTAGAAGTAGAGTAAGGAATTACTAAAATATAGGATTTATTACCAAATTGTGAACAAAAAAGTTGAAATGCATCAAAAAATTATCCGGAACTTGTAAAATGCAGTGTTCAAAAACAAAATCTTAAAAACAGAAAAATTTAACATGATTTAAGCTGATATAATTAAAAGTGTGACACCTAAACTGACAAAGCCTTTTAATTTTATTAAACGGAATATTTTTGTTGCATTAGCACCCCTAAGAATCTGTGGTCCTCACTAGAGTCAAATATAGATGTTTCAGTACAAGTGTATAACACATCAAATATGTTTCATCAAACTGCAGGAGAGAAATGCCAGAAGTGTGACTAAAATCATTAATAAACAGTGCAGGCATTAAGTAAGTTAGCGGGGATATAAACTTATCCCAGCTCAATTTTTAAATCACTAAATTAAGGTGATTCAAATTTAATCTTAGTAGACTCTGTGTTTGTGGGATAAGAAAAAAAAAAGTTAGTATTGGCATCAAAAATCTCACTTCAGTCATGCTACACAGATTTTAAGACTAACAATAGAAGCTAACTAACAATAACATTGAGAGCAGAAATGATGCTAAAAGAAAGGCAGTTTGTGTTTCTGATGCAGCGAGTCTGCTAACACTAATCTTTAGGCATCCAAAATGAAAGTATCAAATGAGATCACCACAGATTCAGAGAGCCTATTTTTAATTACAAACACGATTAAAAAAAGCAGAAAGAAACCCCTCATGTTGTTTGTCTGAGTCTTTGGGAGTAGAGGGGCTTTTGCTGACCTCGTCCACAGGTAAGAAGTATATTCAATACAACACAAAAAGCCCCCATGTGTTCGTGCTAATTGGCTAGGAGGCCTATATGTACCAAATTAAAACAGACTTACCACATAAAATAACCTAAAACCTTGCAGAGCCGCTAAGACTTTGTTCCACACGTAGGCACAGCAGAATTATAGCAGGGGAGTGTTTGAAAAACCGGTGAGGGATTTGTCTTGTTGAGAGTGGTCCTAATGACCCAGCAGAGAGAAGGATGATTGATTCTGGTGGCTGAGGCAATTTAGCATTTAGGGTGGGCAGAAATCTGCAAAGTAGGGGTGCTGCAAGGCCTCCTCTGCAGAGATCCTCTGGACTGGGTTGCATTTCAACAGGTTCTGAAAGAGATCATAGGTACCATGGTCATTAGTAAACATTAGCAGCACATGAGCAACAACTGACGGTTCATTTTAAACCAAGTAACAGAACTGTTTGATGACCACACCTTTCCATATAAAGAGAATGCTTCTATTTATTCTCAACATATGTAAAGACTTTATTTACTATTAAGTTATTTGAATATGTGTCTGAAAGTCAGGAGGAGAAAAATAAACACAGAAACGTTAAAAGCAGGTTTGGGGTGAAATTACCTGAAGTAGATCCCGTCCTGTACTACTTAGTTTGGGGACCACATTAACCAGTGAAGTGGTTGCTGGGTACATAGGATATGGCTGCAGGTAGAAACAGCAAAAAGTAAACAATAGATTTGAAAATCTGTAACACATGGCGGTGTCAACTCCATCTTCAAAATGGACATTACTCATTTACCTTGTAGTCAGGAAGTTTTGTCATAGTCTGCCACTGTTCTTCAGTCGGCGTACCCAACAATGTACCCAGTGGTTAAAGAAAAACTTCTTGCCAAAGAGAGATGTGCAACCTGTTAGGATTCACTGTTTGTAAATCATTGATCACATATTAGACCAGTAGAAAAAACTTCAGTGGTCAAAAAGTGAAGCTTTAAAAAGATATCTGAAGATTCTTTTCAACTGGTCGTCCACGTCGTTCCCGGGGAATAAAGGCCTCCCAGCGTTGGCCAGCTCTAAACAGAATATAGGAACAATTATAAACCAAAAGAAAAACAATCAGTGTAAAAAAGTTAGGTTTATTTCTGAGGTTCAACTATTTCTATACAAACTACTTTTTTTAAAACACAAGTTTAACTGAACATATAGTACGACAAAAGCCCAATAACTACAAAATTATTCATAAAATTCAAGAAATTTGCAGGATAAAACTATTCAAACTTGAAATGGCTTATATCTGTAGTTTTTCTTTCCTCATCCTTTCACACAATTTTACATTTTGAATAAATACTGTATACCCTTTACCACTCTTTACTTTAAACTAGTATGTTTCACACCTGAAGACTGACTGAAGTGTGTTTTCTTTAATCAAACACAAACTGAGCCTTGTAAACATTTGTATTTAATCAAATATGCTACACTCAAATGGATGAATAATATTAAAAATGTTTTACTAATATCCTATCCACACTACATAACAAAGGCAAAGGTTAAAAAACAAAACAATAAAATCACTGTTAAATAATGGTTTATGAAGACAATGACAGACCTGCAAATATGCATCCAGCAGACCACATGTCAATTGAGGTAGAATAAAGTTTAGCACCAAACAGCACATCTGGAGGTCGGTACCACAATGTCACTACCTACAAAACGAATCAAACAGAAAAGTGATAATGGGTGTAATTGTTCTAATTCTTGCTAAGTGTTACAAAGTGGAACTGTTCAGCAATTCAGTGTAATGACTGCTCCCTGGGGGTGGGTGTTATTTTGTACAGACACTGATTACACAAAAGAGAAGCAAGTGGCATCACCGCTACAGTAATACTAAATGTTTAGCTTACATCAGCCATCTGCTTACATTACAAAACACCTTTCTGACATTTTACCAAGCTGCTGCTTTTTTCCAGTGCTGAATATTTTGCAGAAATGTGCTCCAGGTTTTGTGAAAATCCATTTTTTGAAGTGCGGACACAGAACAGAGAGAGACGGATTCAATAAAACACTTTTTTTTCTAGAGCATGTGTGTGGGCTGCCTGAAAGCAGGTGGAAGTACTGATGTTTCAACTTGAAAAGTTGAAAAGTTCAGATTAGCGCAGATGTTAATTATTTTACCACCTGCTGCAGAATCAAAACTAACTTTTACAGAAGTCACTCACTTAGAAAAATAAAGTACAATCTGTCAACTCTCCAACTGGAACAGTGTGTGCTTTTAGCTTCTGAGCAGATTGGAAAGTCAAATATTCACTCACTGGAACTGCAGTTTTATTTATTCAAATGTTTTAAAAGGTTAAAAACAGTGATGCACGAATAATTTAAATTGAGCATGTTTCTTGGGGGGTCAAAGCACTGTTTTCTAAAGGCACAACCCACCAGTGAGTACTGAGAGATTTTTACATCATCTGGTTGAATGATGTTTCGGTGGGGCTTCAAAATAAGAGTGGCAAACTGTGCAGGATGATTAAATAGAGTAGCATTGAAAGTAATTGTTCGGGTTTAAAGAGGAGGATATTTGACTTGACTGGTAACAGTTCTAACTAATTAAATACCACCCCCCATGTCGTCATCATAAGAGCTCTCTGTGTATACTCATTCTTAAAGAAATTCAAGTATTTTTAAGTCATGTGAAACAACAGGCAAGTAGAAACATTCATTTCTACTCGCTGAAATAGCTCTAAAAGTCTCTGGGACATACATCTTCTAAAATGAAATGACCCCTTACGCTGACCCTTCTTTTCAATTCCCAATGCTTCAAACTCTGTTTTGCCTCTAGCTTTCTTGTTTATTATATTTTCAGATCAGTAGTGTCACCCTGGGTCAAGAACCCTCTCATGAGATTTCATCACTGGGTTCTTGGGTCAGCCAACCGAAAGCCACCTATCTGAGGCTTTCCTGTCATCTCTCTGATGCCGTCAGCAACAACAAACAGCTCTCACTCTGCTCAAAGTACGTGCTTTTGGTTTTTCTCTCTCTCTCCTTCTCTTTCTAATTGTTTAAATGTAAAAGCAAAAATTCTGAAAGTTTGAGAAACAAATCAGCGCAACAAATGCCCAAACACAGACTAAGTCAAAAGGATAAGTGCATTTTCACAGCCCAATTAAAAAGGAGAAACAAATCTACTTCTGAAGCAGGCAGCTTTATATTACCAACACCTCGTACTCACACTTTTATACCAACATTATTTTTAAGTTAGGACTTCAAACCTTTATAATAGCCTGAAAACATTCAGTTTATTAATGAGGTTAGTTTGGTTTAACATCTATAAATATATTTAACCACCTTGTTTTAAGGCTGTTTACATCCATCAATTAAACATGAGGATTTAAAAGCCTTTTTCGTGCACAATTTAAAATCCTCAACTGGCATTCAAACTCATATAACTCCACAAATACATCCCCTACTTGGAACGAGAGTGACATACATTTACACCCAAGTAACACATTATCAAGTGGAAGAAATGTTGTGCTGAAAGTCTAACCCACCTCTGCTGAGTAACACCTCACAGGAATGCCGAAGGCTCGAGCCAACCCAAAGTCAGCAAGCTTCAACTCCCCATTCTACAAACAGAGACACAGGTTAAAACATCCTCCTACAGTATGGTAACACAAATAAAATGCAGCATCAACACGACCTCAAATTTAACTACAAGTTTCACATAACAGTTTTGCAAAACTAAACAAGGGGCAAAGTATTTTCTGAAATAGTTCCAAATATTAACCAGCATAACAGTCAAAGTCCAAACACATTGAAACTCTTACCCTGTTAATGAGGAGATTCTGTGGTTTCAGATCTCTATGAAGAACATTTCGACTGTGGCAGAAAGCAAGACCTTTCAACAGCTGGTACATGAATGACTGCATGAAAGAAACACAAAACAGAAGGACTTTAAGAGAGATAAGTGTCACTTTGTGGTTTATATTCATCATCCTGCTCTGAAGTACAGCTCTCCATGACAAATATAGAAATTACTATTTTGTTCAGGGAAATTTGGAATGTTTGGATAGTTTTAATGATCAAATCATTCTATTCAAGTTTCTTTTAATACTTTGTTTCAGCACTAAAACACCAGGCAAACCCCATGTATGTCTAAACCTACTGGGCAATAACCCAAAATTAGATCTTGATTTTGATGTAGTTGATATTGACACGGTATTGCCTTAGAAGACATGCATTCCTGTCTTGATCTTTCTTTGTGGTTAATCAGGGATGATTCTCTCTCTCACCTTCACAGTTTCAGGATCTAGATCCCCATTGCAGCTGTCAAAATATTTCTTTAAATCCTGCATTTGGGAGGAGAAAAGGTGTTAGTGTAGGAAAGTGACATAATAAACATTAACATATGTAGTAGGTTTGGGGTGACTTCATCTCACCTGATCACAATATTCAAAAACCAAAGTTAACTTCTTGTCACTGTGCAAAACATCATGCAGTCTGCAAAAGACAAGACAGCTTCGTATTCATGTTTGTTGACATCAGGGTTACATTCAAACTGCTTGACAAACACTATCTGTCTGCCCCACATAATAACAAGTTAAATTCACATCAACAGCAGACTGACCTGACAATGTTTTTATGCTTGAGCTCCTTCAGAAGACAGATTTCTCTGAGAGCAGAGCTTGGCACCCCCTGAGAGAAATGACACCCAGCTTTGATTAGCACAAGTTGCTTACAACCTGCTAGCATGTCATGAAATATCCTTAAATACTAACCTCGTCATCGTCGTCCAACCTGACCCGTTTCAGAGCCACGATTTCGTGGGTTTCTCTATTTTTTGCCTTGAAAACTGTCCCGTACGTACCTACATATGATACATTAATCAGTTCATAGTGGTTGTTGAATTGATGAATGGCATAGCAGCGTTCAGGGGCTAATAGCTAACAAATGCTAGCTAGCGTTGACATCTTAAACACTAGCTGTCAGTAATCTACATGTACCTTGTCATGACAGATATTATACTAAATAAAACGGTACACACAGCTTTGTTTATAGTTATCACGAGTAGAAGTAGAAGTAGGCACAATTCAGTCTATCTTATGCTAGCTTGGTAGTCATGCAACTACACGAATGCTACATTTGCAAGCTATGTTAGCGAATATTAACTAAATGTAAAGCGTATGAAACTTACCCTCTCCTATTTTTTCAAGCTTCTCATATTTCTGCATTTTTGGCCAGTGATGCCAGCCTTAAAAATGCCAGCAAACCAATGACTGAAGACGACCCCACAGTGGGGATAATAATCTACGCTAACGTTAGCTTAGAGCTAGCGACAGTCGCTGCTAACAGTCGGTCCGCAGCAAAGCTTGGCTGGTTGGTCATCTAGAGGTAAAAGGCGGAATTGCAACACAAAAGATATGAAAGAAACAACTTTAAATGCAGCATTATTTTTTGAGAAAGGAAATATTAAATCTCTTGAGAAATTTGGCAGGATATAATTAAGCTTAGAAATGAATTTAGAGTAAATGTTGTCATTGTTTTGACCGGTTCACGCTTGTTTCCAGTCTCACATTTGAAGCACACACTATAACCACAGCATTATTTATGTACTGACCAGCTTTAACATTATGAACACCTGGGGAATGGAATGTAATTCAATACGACAGTTTCAATATACATCAGTTTTTGTTAACATGATCAGATAGGTTGTTGAAGGGGAGACTGGGGCTTGTTGTCACATGGGTAAGTTGTCACATTGCAATTATTTTTGCCACTAGAGGGTGCAACTGAAAACTGGAATACTAGTTTTATTCCTTTACATGGTCAGGGGTCGTGTCTTGTCTGAAAAGAGAAGAGCACATTGTGAGCTGGGATGAGCGCCAATTAACCCTTTCGCACAACTCAAAGTAAAAAAAAAAAAAGTCTACATATTTTAAAATAAGCTTCCTCCAGATAAAAAGCTAGCAGTAATGCACTTGGACTTGTTAGAGGAGAGATTAAGGCATCCTGTTATACCTTAGTGATTGTTCTATTTTAAGCTAACCTTAAGCCAGAGCTAGAATTAGCAAACATGGTAATTTGGGGCAACATGTCTCAGTCATTTTGGGGTTAGTTGTCACATGTTTAAAAGGGATTAAAATTAACATAGAGAGTCCGCTTATCAGCGATGAAATATATACCTTGGTCTTTCATCTGGTACACATTTTGTTTGTATATGATGTATTGATTTCAAGAAATATATGAGTGTAAAAAGTGTGACAACAAGCCTGGTCTTCCCTACTTTTTACTTCATGTTGTTCTTTATGACTGAAGGCCAAATAGGTGATGGTGGTGTGCTAGGGTATGTGTGCAGATTTGACAGAAACACTAAAGACAGATGATACTACAACAGACGTAGATATTTAAGTCATATTTCAGCCAAGATCTTTCCAGCTTTCAGCACTCAGCGTCCACAAGGCTCAAAGTTGGCAATAAAATTGTATTAGCATGTTTTCTAGTTTGGTTTCCAAATTGATCACACATAAAATTATCATTACTCAGATTAAATTGATGCGTACACAGCAGTTTTTCCCAGCTGTCACATTTAAACAGAATGAGGGCACTAAAGCCCAAAGTGGAAATTTTATGTCCCCCCATAGTGATGAATTTGAACCAGAGGACCGCTCCAACCATAAGACCATGCACAATAATATCAAGCTCATTATTAAGGTCTTACATTAGGTCGTCACAACCCAGTCATAACAAAACTTTCATAACCCAAATGAGGACAAATGTGGCATAGAGATTACAACAAAGTTTTATTCATCTTTTAAACCTCAATTTAATTTCACATTCTTTACAGGTTAAGAGAAAACAGTGATAGAAATTCCTATTTATTTAAATACTGTACAGTGGTGAATTGTACTCATTACAGGCCCATCTTGTTGGTCCACATCAACATTTACATATCTAGCTTTGACAGATCCTCATGAAACTAAAGCTTTTAGATTTTTAAAGTATGCGTTTACATAGTTTTTCTTTTCAAACAACCCTTTCTACATGTCTACTTAAAAAAAAATTCATTACTTTCCCAGTAGGTCTAAAGTAATATGTGTTGGAGTGTTCATTTCTGCTCCTCCGCCCTTTGTCTGCGGATCAGATCAGAATATAGTCCTCCTCTGCCCAGCAGTTCAAGGTGAGTCCCAGCCTTTAAAGAACAAACGTAGGTGTTAGATATAGTTACAAATTCATTACACGGTTACTTTGTTGAGATTGAAGGAACAAGTGTTTTCACTTCAATTAAAAACTTATTTGAACTTGCAAAGGAGTCAAATAAATTAACTTCTGTATGGAGATAAGGGCTCCATCCCCTCTGAATACTGCGCTTCCTCACCTCTACAATATGGCCGTTGCTAATGACACAGATGAGGTCAGCAGCCTGGATGGTGCTCAGACGGTGGGCAATGATGAGCACAGTGCGACCCCTTGTGGCCCTGTCCAGAGCCTCCTGCACGACCCGCTCCGATTCTGCATCCAGAGCACTGGTGGCTTCATCCAGAACAAGGATGCTGGGGTTTTTGATTAGGGCTCGGGCAATGGCGATGCGCTGCTTCTGGCCACCTGATAATGTCACACCTCGCTCCCCTGGTGGTTAGAAATCCAGAGTTTAATACTGACCTGGAACAAGCACAAATTTTGGTGTTGAAAATTCTCTGACAAGAAGGCATACCAACGAAAGTGTTGTATCCATCTGGGAAAGCTGTAATGAAGCCATGAGCATTGGCCTGCTTGGCAGCAGAAATGACCTCAGCATCTGTGGCCTCAGGCATTCCAAAGCGGATGTTCTCCATGATAGATGAGCCAAACAAAACTGGCTCCTATGTGGACACAGGGAAAGCATTGTGAAAACTGGATACCAACAAGTGTTATAGATTATACAAACATGACCGAACTGGCATCACTATTAAAAAAAACGGAGATGCATGAAGGATGATCAATTTTTACCTGATTGATAAATCCAATGACTTGTCCCCGCAGCCAAGACAGATCAAGTGTTCGGATGTCCAGTCCATCCAGCATGATGACACCATTGGTTGGGTCATAAAAACGCTCCAGCAAGGATGCAATAGTTGACTTTCCTAAAATGTAACAGATGAAATCATCACAAGCTCCGTTTCATGATCTCATTATGCATTTTCATTGTGTATCAGTTGCAATGAAATTACCTCCTCCAGACTCTCCAACAATGGCAACCGTTTTAGATGGGGGCAGCGTCAAGTTGAATTTATTCAGGACCTGATGTCCAGGTCTTGTTGGGTAACTTGAAATCAAAAAAGAAAAATTAATGCTATGACCTTATGATCAGATAATATCCAGAATGGAGTCAGGACGAGTCCCAACCTGAATGAAATATTCATGAAGTCCACTCTTCCTGTCAGAGAATGGTACGGGATGCGTCCTCCTCCAGAGTTTGGGATGGTTGGCTTTAGAGTGAGGTATTCAAAAACCCGAGCACCAGAGCTTATCCCTCGTACCATCTGTTATACCCACAGAGACTGACAGCTTAGTTTCTTGCTTAACAGTGTTTCAGATTCCAACAAAGGGTATGTCAGGATGATTTTTCTTACCTGCCCAAAAAGGATAGAGATACTGGCTAGAGACCTAAAAACAAGAAGAATACCGTTGTATTCAAACACTGGCTTCCATAAAACTGATCTTTGTATTTATAAAGAACATGCTGTATTTTTGTACCTTTGAACTGTCTGGGAAGCAACCAGAAAAGACATGAGGTCTCCAGGGGACATTTCATTGCTTGAAATTAAAGTCCCTCCAGCAAAAATAGTTCCAAGCACAATGCCTGCAATTAAAGATAACACATGCAGATTTTAGACTATTGTCAGACACAGTACCAATCTCCTTAGCAAAGTCTCATTAATTAACATTTACAAATACACTCACAGTTTAATGCAATGTTTGATAGTCCTTGGAAAACTGCAATTCCAGCACCGAGATTTTCGTTCATTTCACATGATTTGTCAACTTCATATGCATACAACCTGCAGGACAGAAAATGCTTATAGAGTTATGACATTTGTCCTCTAATATATGGTTGTCTTTGTCTCTACTGGGGAAAAATGTATATCAGAAAACATGTCCACTTTCACTTACTGGAGCTCCCTCTCCTCCATCGCAAAAGCTTTCACTGTACGCACATTGCCAAGCGCCTCGTCAGCCACTGCTGTCGCTTTTGCCACCTTAGATCAAAGACAAAGAAGTCGACAAATAAAAATGACATAACGAGTTCACTGCTAGAAAATTTCCGTTTCATTGTGTCTCCTTTTGAATATGCTATAAGGGCAGGTACTGAAAAAAAGGTTTGAGGTTACTGTGTAAAAACATACTTAATGTTTGTAGTTACAGCCATGAAGTGCCAGCAAACAGTAGTACTCACTGTAACTTCTGATCTACAGTTGCTAATTTTTGTCCTGAATTACATATCATACAATACATACTAAAATCAAGCTGTTCTTTATCTATATAAAGGCTTTATAAAAGCTTTGTATTTGCAGAGCACCCTCTACTAGCATAGTAGTAAGACTCAAAGCTATAATTGTAATAATAACAGTGATATTTTCTACATTAGGTATCACCTGCTCTTGAGCCAAACGAGACAGTTTGCGGAGGAATGAGCCGATGAGAGCTCCTGCTCCCACTAGACAGGGGAGAACCACAACTGTCAAGCCTGTCAGTTTGGGTGAGATGACGTATAGCGAGAAGAAACAGCCAACCGTTTGTGTAATACTCCGCAGACCCTTGAGGCAAGATAAAAATAGGTAAGAAAAAAAAAACTCTTGACAGCTTAAACAGAAACACATATCTGTGGTATCTGTCAAAAATGAAGCACTTTTTACCTGAGAGATGACCAGCTTAAAGGATGACTTGAACTCCTGAATATCAGCAGTCAAACGATTCACCAGCTGCCCAGTTTTATTAGCATCAAAGAAAGCTACATCTTGCCTGAGACAGAATGTAACATAAAATGGACTCAGATGCATGCCAGCCATGAGCAAAGTAAATGACTGTAAACATCACAATAAGTTACTCCAGCATTAGTGAGAATGTACCTCAGTAATGATGCAAAGAGAGTCTTCCTCATGTCTGCTGCCACTCTCTCCCCCACTCTTGAAAGCAGGATGATGTAGCCACTTGTCAGCAGGCCCTGCACAAAGGTGCTGATTAGAGATCTTCCTTTATGAAACAGATGTGACATTTTCAGGTTTTCATGCGCATTTTTCTAGAGTAAAAATAACTTGAGATTGTCATGCTGACATCATACGCTCACCCTCATCAAGGCACCTGCTATTCTAAAGCTGTTATTTTTGAATGTGTCTACTATTCACATTTGATTTCAGATATTTTACTGCGAAATAAAAGCCCAGTTAAACCCCTAATAAATACTTCATTATTGTTACTATGAAAGTGACAGTATGTCAGGATTAGACTCTTGTCATAGATGTAAAGTGTGCTATTTATAGGCATTTATAGATTAGTTTGCTTACTTGGAAAATGTAAAGCCCAAGCAATTTCAGTGCAGGCCCCTGTATTTCTTGCACATAACTCCTTGATTGGTCTCTCAAGAAACGTGCCACAACATTCACCAGATCTCCGAGCATCAGTGGGATGTGAATATTCAAGATGGCTGCACCAAATGCAAGCTGAAAAGATACAATACAAATGTAATCAATCATCTTAAAAGTGCCATTACATCTTCTTTTAAAAACACTGATAACGTATGAGTGAAGTGATTCAGGCTTACCACCACAGCACTAACGAGAGCGAGCAACTGAGGTTTGACAAACTCCCAAAGGATATGCCATTTGAAGTCAGGCACAGGGGTTTTGGGGTCAACTTCCAATGAGATGTTGTTGTTCTCATCTGCCTCACAGTAAGCGACATGGCAAAACAGTCGTCCAGAGACTGTGAGTACTGCTGGTCCGAGGATGAACCTCAGAGCCACTCCCGGGGGTTTGGATGTTCGGGTCGCAGACTGGCGGACAGCTCCTTTCGTAAAGAACCAGGCTCGACTGACAGTATTTCCAGGCTGCTGTGAGGAACTGTACCCTTTGGATCCTGGAGACTTAAACCCACTGAAAAAAGAATATCCACACAACAGGTCAGTTGGTAAACTATTATGACAGTTTCGCAATACTTATGTCACAAAAGCTGTATATTTGTTAGGCTATGGTCGTTGGAAACCAGTAAAATATTATCAATTAATCTGATGACTGTTTTCCTCAATTAAAATCATTAATCAAACTTCATATCAATAATTTGTTTTTAATGTTTTCTGGGTTATTGGCCAGAGTGACTAGTCTTCAGACACAATAGATGAGTACATCCCACCGATATTAGTACACCTAAGAGTGAATGACCCACCAAATCTAGGTAAAAAATAATATTAATTCAATGTTAATAATGGCTCGGATGAGACATGGTTCATTTGCAAAACACTAGTTGCCACTCTATAGCCAAAGCAGGTACATAGGTCATGTAATAACCCTACCGTGAAAGTTTCCATTTGTCCGCCGCTGTTTTATTAATCCGTGAATACAACAACAATGGCCGACCTGGAGCGGTGATACTCGCTCTGCAACAAAGTAACTGAAACATATTTTATGGTTATTACAACGACAAGGAGCTCTTTAGGTTTAAACAGGTAGTCTTTAAGCTCTACAGTAATCCACCGGGAACCTGCAAGCTGCCATGTTGACAATGACCCAGAGTGCATTTCTGTGCTTAAAGGGGATCTCATTTTGGACTTTAATGTCGGAAATGGTCATAAAATTAAAGAAATTTTGTTAATAGAACAGAAGGTGATAAAAGTAAGCTTTAAGAACGATCCCTCGAGATTGTCAATAAGCAAAAGTCAAACATTATGTGGAAAAATATCAAGAAAACTACAAATCATGTCCGGAAATGACGATGAGGTGAAGCGGAAATGACGCTAATACTGTTTTGTTGACATTTGTTTGTGAAAGACAAAAACAGTGGACACCGACGGGATAGTGTATTTTTGGAAACCAGCTAACGGACCCCCGAACGGACAGAAGACAACAGTGTAGCGGTTGAAACGGAACTGTGTGAGTTTTGTGAGTTCTGGTCAAGAGTTGACCTCAGACAGAGAGAAGAAAAGAAGATCCAGACCAGCAGATGGACGAAACAAGTCGGGAACAAAACAAACCGTGTCACCCAGACTACACGAGAGGCTGAATCATTCACGGGCTAAACAACCAGCGGACTGTTGACTTTAGCTTGACACTCATTTTACTTCAAAAGGACCTGGATTAATTGTATAGTCTACGTGAGAACAGTGTGTTTAATTCCTTATGGCTGCTTAGTATATAAAATGTTACCAAGGTAGTGTAGGGTTACACGAGCGTTGTCCGTTAGACTAGCAAGTTAGCAAGCTAATGCTAACCGCTGCTAACATTACACTTGCTCGAGCTGCGGAATAATTCGCTTCATGATGCGCTGAGGTTGTCAGAGTGTATTCATTTCAAGCAGTTTTTTACTGAAAGTAGACCGTCATTTTGTGAGAAACTCCAAGAATGTGAAGCATAATGGCCAACTTTGAAGCTTACCAAGAGTATCAGAGAATTGAGGACTTTGAGGAGGACTCACCGCCAGGGGAGGAGGATTTACTGGTGCATGTGCCCGAAGGCCTAAAAGGTACGCAATTTAATACCACTTCAATAGTTTGTTTGATACAGAACATCTAACTACACATATATGTCGTTTACCTGACAAATAAGTTGTGTAGACTAATGCTGCTGTGTCAGAGCTATCTAATGCTGTTGTCTATGTTGCAGACTCATGGCATCATATCAAGAACCTGGATAACTTCTTCACAAGAATATCCTTTCTTTAAGTTGCATTACAGTTTGATAGGTGGTTATTGCATTTTTCACTGGCATGTAGTCACACTGACTCTTACAATAATATGTTAAATATGTTCAATTTCATAATCTCTACTTAAAGACAGACACATACATCTAAAAAGTAGCTGCACATCAGGTTTAAAGACATACCATTAATATCTTTTGTTGTGCCAGAGATTTCCTAACGTGACTGTCACATTATGTAGTTCTGCTAATTTTGCCCTGTCACACTTTCCTTAATTGCCCCGTGCACATTTATCATTTCCATCAGAAGAATGGCTTTGCTTGTATGATGGTGACAGAGCTCTTTGAACTTGTGTAAGTATCGGCCCTATGTACTACAATAAATCATCACAGTCACATATTTGTGCAAAAAAGAGTAAATATTCAAACAGGATTCTTGTTTTCAGTAAGACACCTTCATTTCAGTGGGAAATGTACATGTTGTTATGACAGTGAAGTGTGCCTCAGGCCTTAGCATGAACATGTTCAGCCACATTACAACTCTGCTTGAACCTAATGTGAAATATTCTCTCCCTACTTAAAACAACCAAAAACCAACATGTCAGTGAATGATAATAAACACACCTGCTACACCTGCTTTGGCAGCTACCTCGCCAATATACCACCTTTAGTCTTAAGCGTTTTTTGTGGATATCTGTATCTGACAACATCCACCCATCTGTTATCTAGGTAGCTATCATGTTAGGGGTCACAGGGGGCTAGAGCCAATCACAGTTCATGCACACAGCCATGCTTATAAGCAATTTAGAGTGGCCAATTAAGTGACTGAACATGTTGTAAGTCAGCAAGAGGAAGCAAGAGTATAACCTGAACATGTGTGGGGTACCCAGTCAGAACCCTCCCATACACATGGACGACATTCAGACTTTACAGAAAAAGGCCCCTTACCAGTGAGGTATTCAAACCAGGAACGTTCTTGCTGTGAAGGCTAACCACTGCACCACCATGCAGCCCTGAACCTGGCTTTGGTTTACCTATAGATATGCAGTAAGGCTGCAGACAGACATATTAATGAAGGAGCTGGTATTGATCCGTCTGAACCACACCTTTAAACATAAATCACTCAGTGTGCTGAGTTCACCATGGTTTAGTGATTACAAATTAAACTCAATGCTGTATATTAGTATTTATCAGTTTTCTTTATCTTATTATTATGTATGTTTCCTTGTCCTTTGCTAAACTCATAGTGTGATGCCAAATCTCTCTTTTTCCTCTCCTCCTTTTAGTCAGTTTTTGTTTGTTGTCACATTCACGACGTTCCTCGTCAACTGCGTGGAGTACGATGTCCTGTTTGCCAATCGAGCGGTCAACCACACGGGGCCAGGCCACAACCCCTTAGATAGGAGCAAGGTCACACTTCCAGATGCAATCCTACCTGGCCAGCAGTGTACTCAGAGGTAATCACTTGCGACACAGCACAACAAACAACACTGAAGCTTATGAGTCATACATAATGGAGAGCTTCAGTTTGTGAAAGTGTTTACTTTCTCAAGGAGGCATTGTTGAAAAAGCCTTACACCTATATAAAGTGATAGCCTTTTTTTTTTATTCCAGCCAGACAGACTCTTTGTTCTCATGCAGACGTGGTCTTTGATATCTCTAGAGTTTTTTTGGAGCCCGGCCTTCAGAGGGATTTAATGAGTCTTGCTTAAAACACTTTGAATCCCACTTTCAAACTTGATATTCTGATTGGGTCATTGTAAGGGGAGGCTTGAAACTGCAAAACACAGTCATACTCACATGGAAGGGGTATGGAAGAAATGCGGTATAGCTTTACTCTGTTCAGCAGAACTAGGTTATTTATCTAACACAGTTGTGAAAATGCTGGCCTTTGTAAAAGTAGCAAATTACATACGAGTTCATTTGTTAACTCAAAGTCGTGGTTTTAAGACAAGGCCCATTTCTTCGTTTGTTTTTCTTTTGAAAAGGTATTTTTAAGGTGAAACAAAAATGATACCCAGGTGATATACAGCATATTTGCAATACTTGCTGCCTTATCTCCTTTGGTTGTAACACATTGAGAGCGGACTTTAAAAGTAAGCCTGTTTTGAAATCAGTTTTATGAATCACCCGGCCCAAATGACGTTCAAAGCCTTTAAGAGTTGAAGGACAAGTCAAGAGATGTCTCTTTCTGAGAAATGATTCTCATTCTAAGTATTTGTTGTTTGTTTTCACCTGAGATTGGAAGCCTTGAGTTGCAACATTCCTCTAACTGATGGTTACTCTTCGGAAGGTATTTGTGTACTGTGCTCAGGCTGGCTGTAGGGAACAGCACAGTGTAATTGATAGCTCCTGTGAGGTAAAACTGGCCAGCTGAGATACTGATGACTGGGCTGCAACAGCAAGCTGACAACCACATGACACCTTTCTCACTGGCTACAAGGGATAGACCCCCTCCCTACCCAACTTCATGTTGTCATTTTCTTTTCAAGATGCATCTGAGCCTCTGCTTGTTTTCTCCAGCTAGTCTAATAGGCCCAACATGAATTTGTTCCGGATTTACACCGTGGCTCTGAGGTCGTTTGAATAAAAGTCAATGATGCACAATTGCTGATTCTAATTGGACAACAGCTTGTGCCACGGTTTGGATCCCTGCTGTCCTCTTCATACTCTTCCTCCAATTCCACTTTTAGAGCCAGATGCTTGTCCCAAAACTTTCTTATATTTTGGTTGTTGTCCAAGGAGACTCAATGTGAAATGATATTAAAAAAAAAGGGGGGAAATAATCTGAGAGCATTGACGATTGCTCTAATCATGGCTGTATCTTTACAACTGACTATACGCTAGTGTTTTTCTGTGTTCTGAAATGTAATACTCAGATGATTCCTTAATTTTAGAAAGCTGTCTCACCCACAACCTGTGAAGAGGTTTTAGTTTCATACGTTGCAACATACTCTGGGTGCAACAGTTGCTGGTTTTCCCACCTGTTAATCATTATTTAAGTTTAATACTAAATAAAGATTTGATCCGAAACTTCAAAAACAGGGAGGAGTTGTAATGTGCCAAAAAAGGATGAAAGTCTGATCGCATGTGGGATATTCTGTCAAGTTTCAAAGTCTTTTTGCTCTTGGCCTGTTTTTTCAAATAACACGTTGGCCCACTGCTTTGATTGACATTCATATGGACATTCATCTATAAGTGACAAGAAGCCATTACGCTATGAGATACCTCTGCCAGCTAAATGTAAATGCTCCTTTGTTTTGATGCAGGATTGAAGAGAACAGCTGGAATATTTTCCTTCTCATCATGGCAGCCATCTTCTGGATTTATCGACTTGTTAAAGTCATTTGCAACGTTTTGAGCTACTGGGAAATCAGGCAGTTCTACATCAAAGCACTGAAGATCAAAATGGTGAGTGTGAACTCTAGAGATTTTAATATGGCATTCAGCTGAAGGTCATTTATATCAATGTAGTTCTCAGTATGTTATGTCTTTATAGATAAAGAAAACCACTCTTAAAATGATGAGTCATTTGTCCCTGTTGTATGAACCAGATCAGTAAGTTCTCCTTGCCTCTTTGTCCCAGGATGAACTATGCAACTTCACATGGCAGGAGGTTCAGGATCGGCTCATCAGTCTGCAACGAGAGCAGCAAATGTGCATCCACAAGAAAGAGCTGACGGAACTCGACATTTATCACCGCATCCTGCGATTCAAGAACTACATGGTGGCCATGATAAACAAATCACTGCTGCCAGTGCAGCTGCAGCTCCCCCTGCTGGGCAATGTGGTGTTCCTCACCCAGGGCCTCAAGTACAACTTTGAGCTGATCCTCTTCTGGGGTCCAGGCTCTCTCTTTCAGAACAAGTGGAACCTGCACCCGAAGTACAAGCGGAGTGGAAACCGCCTGGAGCTGGCACAGCAGCTCAGCAGAGTCATCCTGCTGATGGGTTTGGCTAACCTGCTGCTGTGTCCCTTCATCCTTGTCTGGCAGGTGCTCTACGCTTTCTTCAGCTACACTGAAATCATCCGTAGAGAACCTGGGAGTCTGGGCGCACGGCGTTGGTCCCTATTTGGCCGTTTATACCTGCGTCACTTTAACGAGCTGGACCATGAACTGCATGGCCGATTGGGCCGGGGCTACAAACCCACTTCTAAATACATGAACTCCTTCACATCTCCGCTGCTGACCGTGCTCGCAAAGAATATCGCCTTCTTCTCAGGCTCTGTGTTGGCCGTGCTCATTGCACTGACAGTCTATGATGAGGACGTTCTAACAGTGCAGCACATTCTGACCGCTATCACTGTGCTTGGGGTGGTCATCACTATCACCAGGTGAGTTTTGATATCACCAGCTGAGCCATTTCTGTGGCTATTTGGGAAAAGCTTTCAGTAGAAGACTCTCTTTGAATCTCAATTCTCTTTCTATTGAAAAAGTCACTAAAAATCTCTAAAATGAATGATCATTGATGATTTTTTTTTTCTTTCTGCTGTCTGGGTAAATAGTTAATTGTAATTGCAGTTCTTTTTAGCTTTTTCCTTAAATGCAGGTGACAGTAAATCCATAAGGATAACAGATTTTTCCATATACAATCTCTGTGTTCCTTTTGTAAGGGATCGATACAGGATATACTTTACAAAACTTAGTTGTGTGCCCCAGTTTATCTAATATATGCAGACGGAGGCGCACTAATTATCATATTTTGTAACTTTCCAACACAAGATCCTTCATCCCGGATGAGCATATGGTGTGGTGTCCAGAGCAGCTGCTGCAGTGCATGCTGGCACACATTCACTACATGCCAGACCACTGGAGGGGCAATGCTAACAAGAGCGAGACCCGGGACGAGGTGGCACAGCTGTTTCAGTACAAAGCGGTGAGAAATGGAGAGAATTTGTGGACAAGAACATGTTTGTCATGGATAAGTTATAAGTTATGGATAAGTTTTTGTCATAACTGATAATACTTTCACTTTATCAGTAATACAAGCTTTTGGGTCTGGATTAATTAGTTTAATTAGGGGAATATTGATCTAGATTTGTCTGTCTGCAGAATTTCAAGACTGTTTTTGTAATTTCCTTTGAATCAGGTGTTCATCCTGGAGGAGTTGCTCAGCCCCATAGTCACTCCCTTCATTCTCATCTTCCTCCTGAGGAACAAGTCTTTGGAGATCATTGACTTCTTCAGGAACTTCACAGTGGAGGTGGTTGGAGTCGGGGACATTTGTTCCTTTGCACAGATGGACATCAGGCGCCATGGAAACCCGACGGTATGATTAAGTCCCTCTGTTACATCAAAATTTGCCAACTTTGAACAAACTGGACAGAGTGTTAGCAAAGGCCTGTGTGAATATCAAACATTCAGATGTGATGCATAAATTGACATATATCTTTGAATGTTTTCACAGTGGATGTCAGAAGGACAGACCGAGGCCTCTGTTTACCAGCAAGCTGAAAATGGCAAGACAGAGTTGTCACTCATGCATTTCACCATCAAGAACCCACGCTGGCAGCCGCCCCAGGAAAGCTCAGTGTTCATCAGCCATCTCAAAGAAAAGGTGCATCATGATGCACAGGGAGGCCCCTCCACCCAGCTGCTGCTGTCTGAGGCTCCGCTCTGCACCTCACTGCAGTCCAACGAGTCCGCAACTGGGGTAATTAAGACTCAAAAGCATGTTGATGACTCATGTATGATAGTCTGAATGGACTTCTCTAATGTTGACCCATTGATAACAACTTCCTGCTCGTTACAGGATCATTAAGTGTAATATATGTATTCCCTTTCCTGACTTTATTGACTGAGAGACTTTTTACTGATCTGTGTTGTTATCTGCAGCCTGAAAATCTGCTGGTCAGTGTCCTCGCACACCCCATCCTAACCGCATCAGGACTTCAAGGACGAGACCATCGCTTTATCCCGCCAAGTACTGCTGCTTCTGCTGCTGCCAGCGTCTTGGCTTCACTGTCCACCTCCCAGCTTGCACATACTAGCCGTGGCCGCTCGCATGGCCTCATGCCCACATCCCTCAATCCAGAGAGCACCATGTACCGCAGCGATCGCACCATCATTGACAGGTATGATCACACACAGTGATCTTTCTCTGTATTAAACAGTGTAACAAGTAGAACACAAAACAAGGATATCAAGGCTTGTTGTCTGCTTTGGTTGTTTCTTTTGCAGTATGACTCATAGTGACAGCCACGTGCGAAGCAATGCACTGCACTCAGAGTTTGCTTCAGCAGAGATGAGTCTCCATGCCATCTACATGCATGAGGTAAGTTTCAGACCTGACATGAACACACCTGTCCTCTTTTCTAGTGAGTGACTTTTCAGAACATAGATGTTTGATATTTAAAAGATGATACCAGGATAAAACTTATCAGCGACTCTTGTCTGCTCTCTTTTTTGTGTGCTTTGATCTGCTGTACATCAACATCTGCTGTTTTTTTTTCTTCAGCTCCACCAGCAGAGCTCCCACCCACAGAGATCTTCAGGTCAGTGGCAGAACCCAGTGCCCATGAGAGATCTGCACTCTAATACTGGTAAATGCACCTCTGAATAGTAAAAAAAAGAACAAGCTGCAGCTGTTTGTGATGATTGACAGCTTTGACTCGCTGTTTTAAACATTTTGACATTTAAATTAAATCAAATGTTCCTGTATAATGTAAGACATATATTTAATGTCAAAGGTTGACACACTTAAATTGTTAATTGCACACTTCTGTCAGATCACTTGCTCTACATTGAGCAGGACTTGAGATTAGATTAAGAGTTTTTAAAGCAATTATGTCAGCATTTATATTTCTCAAACGAACATTCTTATTGCGCAGCACAAAAACCAAATGTTTTGGCAACTTGTCAAAGTAGCTGCTAGTGTAATGCAACGAGTGAATTAGAAATTCCCCACCCATATTTGTCGATTTTTAAACCATAGACCGATGTATGCCTATGAAAACACATGGGGTGTGGGTATTAAATTGGTTGTACAGTAATCCCTCGTTTATCGCGGGGGTTACGTTCCGAAAATGACCCGCGATAAGTGAAATCCGCGAAATAGAAAACTTTATTTTTTTTTTACAATTAGCAACTATTACATGTATACAAATACAGTGACTCACGTGTAGGCCGTTTCACTGCTCTTCAGACTGGGCCGCTGCATCCTGACTGCGCTCTGCAGTGTTCTCTTCTTCTGAAGCCCGCGGTGCAGGTGTGTTTGTTCGGGAGAAGAACATAGTGATAGGCAGCTGTTGTCGCTCTTTTTTCTTCTTTGCAAAAAGATCCTTGTACACCGACATGCCACCATCGATTACGTTGGAGAACTGTAATGAACGGCTCATCAAAGGGTCCCATTCCTCAGCTACTCGCTTAAGTTCAGTGCAAGTTAAGTGCAAAAAATGCATTATGAAAATCCGCGAAATAGCGAATCCGCGATAAGTGAACCGCGAAGTGGCGAGGGATCACTGTAAATCAAAATTTAAAAATGATTAGAGGTTAAAGAGCACACAGGTATGAAGTAGTACATAAATTTGCCATCGTATTAGGGTTAGCATATTTTAACCATTAACATATTCACTATTTAAATCATCGATCTCTAGAACTGAAAAAGCCTAACATAGCAGTAACATCTTTCTCAGGCGGCCTTGGTTCCAGTATATCCATGCCCACACCTGTCCATCTTGGTGGCTGGAAAGAAGAGGAGGAAGAGAATGAAGACGATCAGGAGATAAACAGTGGATCTACTCCAAAGCAGGGCACTGGGAGTAATTGTTGAAGTGCCTTATGTCATAAGGTACACACACATCAAAACAGCACATGTCTATGATCGGTCTGTGTGGTTCTCTGTCCTGGAAAATCATTTTATAAATGTAAAAATGACCTTTATCTCACTCCGGAATACATCATGACAACTTTTCTCTCTGTTTTTTAGAGTGTTTACATTTTACTTTCTTCAATGAACATTGTGGCCTTAGATGATCTCCATGGAGAATTGAGCATGGACCTTTTAAAAACAACACTCGGCGTTTGTTTTGGGAGAGGCTCATTGAATAAACCACTGTCTCTGCACCTCCATGCCTCCTCCTGTCACACCAGGCAGACTATGGCATCAGGGAAACCATAAGTCTTCCGTCCGTTTCATCCTGATTTTCGAGCAGAGGTGTACAGATGGTGCGTAAGGAAACAGAGCCACCATCACATGGGTGCGTACGATCACCGTGTGATGGTGGGTGTGGCCGTTTTTTGTTTTTTTTTTCATTGTGGAATGCAAAAGGCTCATGTGCATGTGTGCACAATGCAAGTACTTGTGCACCACTGTGTGAGCTTTGTTGAATATCCAGCAGTGTGGTTTCTTTATCTGTGCTTCAAGACTGCAAAACATGTTGTAGCTGCCTGAACAATTTGATCACCTAAAACAACTCAAAACTTCAAATTCGGCTCCTTCCCATGGTGATTTGTAAATACACTTTTCTGGTCTTACTTATAGATTTAAAAGTCCACTTTTGTACTAACAGCTATAATCCTTGAGAAAGATACCTAGTATTAAATTAAAAAGCGCTGACTCTATAGTAGCTGTACTAAAACACCATGTATACCTGGTAAGAGCCCTATTGGGTTTGACAAACATGTTTTTGAAACCAGACATACACATGTTTGGATGCTGCTGCTGTCTGTGTTTAGTGATCCTAAATACAGTTTTAACTCAGTATTAGTATTTATGAAAACTGATATATCAAGATATTACTTCTCTTCAAAAACAGGAGTTAAACTATAGACCCCAAGTACACTTGACATCAAAATCCAATGCAGATAGAAGATGTTTTTATTTAAGCTGAGTACAGAGTCAGCTGTATGCCTTAACATCAATATATTAACACATATTTATTATATCCTTGTTTTCTGTATTACCTCTGTGGTGGAGAAGGCAAACTAATACTCCAATCAATACCTCTTTAATGTATTTACTTTTATCCAAGTAAGTGTACAGTCCATTATGATTTCTTTGTCGTATACAGGCGCATCTTTTGCTGCATTTTGATTTTAATGGCAGGTGTAAATGGAATACTTTTAATTTCATTTCACTTCCCTCGCCCAGCAGAACTTTCAAAACAAACATGTTGATGTCCCAAAAATGGTGTTGGGAGGATTTTTTTGTTTTATGAAAAAAAACAGGGTGTGTAATTGCTTTTACAAATCTATGTTGTGCATATGCAATTTGTTTGCATATGTCTGTTTTTAATCCCAACTGCTAACATAAAATTTTATTGCAAGGGCTGATTCTAGAGTGGGGGAAATCACTTTTGAAAATCAAGATTTGGAAGTTGTAAAAAAAAAAAAAAAAGTTACTAAGTTTTGGCTTTAAGCAAAAGAAGAAAAAAGCCCACCATAGTACTCATCAGCTTTAAGACTATTACTACTATTTCCCTGTTTATTTTCCCGTTTCCCCCTCTCCTAAAAATATAATCAAAATATGACTATTATTTATTTGAGAAAATAAAAGCTATGTCAAATTATTTACCTTTATAAATCTTCTTTTATGAAGGACACGGCATGTGTGCCCCTACTAAGAATGGTTAGAAAGTGTTGATTTAGTGAATCTTGATTTAAAAAAAAAAGATATTTATAATGAAAAGATAACATGTCCAGCGGCATGATGTTGAATGTTGAACACTCAGAATAAACTAGGACTAAATCTGCTTGTAGATGCAATGTGCAAAATATGTTCCAACCCATTTTATGGTAATCTTCAGCAATCACAGAAACGCACATCTCATCCTCCACTGCACCACTACAAGACTTCACAGTGTGCACGTGTCTTTGCCTTTTTGTATGTCAAGACTTTTTTTGTGAGTGTGCCCATGTAAGGAGTGCGTTTTGAGACCTGTGTTAACATGAACTCAGACGTTTTTGCACTGACACCAAAATAAACATTTTTTAAAATATGTGCATATGTACAGTCCCTGTAATAGTTTGAAGAGGACAATGAGTCAGTTTCCGTCAGGGCTGAACTCTTGTCATGTATATAGACTAAAAATCAGCATGTCTTGTATCATCAAGTGTACAGCAAACCACCTGGAAACACTGTGGCCAATCACACAAGGTTGTCCTTACCTCTGGTTAGTAAAAATTCCCCCTCTCACTCTGTAAAAACATGCAAACACGGATTCTGTAGTCTCTTATCTGTGCAGTGGGTTTAATGTTGTAGAGACACTGGGGCTCAGCTTTGTGCACAGAGTGGATTTCTAGTACCTGTCTCCACCGTTTGTTAACATCTCACTGTCCTGTTTGTCTTTTTATTTGAAGCAGTGCCTTAGTATTACAGGTCAAGATTTGCCCTTTTTGAAGCCATTTCATGGTAAATATCTGATTTTCTTTCACATTACAGCACATACATGTACAGTGTTTTTTCTAGTTTTTTTGAGAGTCGTGTATAGCATGAGGTATGTAGTGAAGTTGTGGATGTGGTGTCTATCTGTTGCATCTGACAGCACACTTCTTATGGTGTCTAAACTTGCACTGTCCTAAATATCCTAAACAAGCAGGAGTTTGCCTTGTTTTTTGGCAGTGTCATCATGGCCAACCTTATCGTCATGCTATGGTTTCTTAAACCCACTAAACACCAGTCTAAGAATCACAGTGACTGGAACAAGGTGCTAATTTTTCATCCTGAACTGTTTTCTTTTTTTAGGTTTCGTCTGTTTGTTTTTGTCGTGTAAAGTGAGGAACACTAGCTGAAAAATGAAACATGCCAAAAGAACTTGTTTTCGGCACAGCTTTACAATACGTGTTGTTTTCTGTGAGTGAGTAGAGAGGCAAATAAATCTTATTTTGAGTGTATTTAATCATTTCATGTGTGGTTGGTTATGTGATGTTTGTTTGAAATAAAAAAAAGATATTTTAATTTTCTCTCTGTTTTATGTTGTTGTTGGTTTTCCAGTGTCAGCATGTGAGGAAGCAATAACAATGTGGCTTTCACATAACTGACACTGAAATATTGACAGTCGGGCTTTTGTTTGTTCTTTTTTACAATGTGTCTTTTGTTTTTTAAGTCTGTCAGCTCATCATCTCAGTCCAAAGTATCTAGATAACTGTCTTACAAAGACATAGAAAGTCTCTCGTACATGAATAGGGAGATTTATGGCTTTCATATTGCATTCCTGAAACAAAATGGCCTGAAGTGCATCTAAGGCCAATCCAAGAGCTGAACAACAATGTCCCAGCATCAAAATGTACAACTCCAGTGACCCCTAGTGTTGGTATTAAGAAAGGCACTCTGTGGGGTTGTATGCACACAGGATTTCAGACAGCTCAGCCCCTTTGTTCAGGAATGAGCAAACTCTAATACAGTCTGATCCAAACACTGAAGTTGGTGTTAGAGTAAGCTGAATCTGGAAATTTTTTAGCTCTTTACTTCGACTGAAAATCAGTTTCTGCTGTACTTCTGGACATAACACGCACACCTATTTTTGTTTCATGGTTTTCTTTGTTGACTTGTTACCCTGATGGTCCTCTATAATAAGTTCATTCAAATGTGAACAAACACCACCATCCTTTATTGGCCAACATAATGTTTTGTCTTATCTCTTCTTCACGTTTAATTGATTGTTCTAATTATTTGGGTCAACTTAAGACATTTCAAAGACATAAACACCGTCTGCTGTTCATTCTTGGCTATCTGTCCTTGTCCCACTTGTCATCTGCTGTGTAAATGTTCCTTTGAGGTTACACCCATGTCTTTTGGCTGTGAACATGATACAACCACGACCTTACTCCTTGGATGGCTGAGAGGTCAATTGCAGGGCCATGTAAGTTACAGATATGAGTGTATACACAGCAACCAAATGTGCTTAGGACTTTGTCCAACTCTCATGTATGGCAAAAACAGGCTATGTTTTTTCATTTGTTATCCCATCGCCCTACGCCGCATTGTTCTTGAATTACAGTTGATGGTGTGGTCTTCCTTAAAAAGCTGATCTGACATCCAAAAATGTACATAGAAGATGCCAAAAAGGGGTGTCAAAGGTAAGAAAGATCTCCCCATTTCTTCCTCGTCATGAACAGTCTCAGTACAAACTGTGAAGATATATGACCCTTTAAAAAAGCTGAGTACCACTGTCTCGAAGCTGTGCTTGTTCTTGATGTTCTTTCAGACGTGTAGATGCCAAACACAGAAGCCAGAACAGGATGGAGCAGAGGCGAGCAGCAACAGCGGATTACCCTCTGCTAGAGTTTCGGAGAGTTTAAATCAGGGTCCAGGCGGCCTGCTGCTGTCACTCATTGGCACTGGGGGAAAGCCCACTCTGAAATGCCATGGAAGCCAAAAAAATAAAGAAGGTAGAAAAGGGTAAGAGTTGCTGTCCTTTGTATCCTTACATCTGAGCACTAGTTCAAACAAATTAAAGTGGCATCCAAATCCACTGCTAACTCAGGATTGCTTTATGTTTTCATCATTGCCAGGTTGTAATGAGGGATAAATTTATCACATTACTGTTCTAAAATGCTTTGTAAAATGAAGTCATAATTTGATTATAGGCCTGACCAGCTGAGAGAAGCACCTGTCAAACTGGTTGAAGTAGAATACAATGTGCCTGAAGCAACTTCCCCTCAGTACAGCCAAACACTGGATTCATATAGTAATTCTTCAGCCTCGACTTAAAAGATACTGTCCACAAGGACAGAAAGCTCCTCGGCCAATGGACAGAAAAACACAGTGCAATAAAACAACAACACCGTCTGCTTCATTGGCTTGGATAGCATATAACTCACAATAAAGCTTCAAGTGCTTATTAACAGACTATGACACAGATTGCAACCAATGCTATAACAGGGAAATGGTTCGGAATTGAACAAACACATAAGGGTTTTAGGGAAAATTCTGAAGTATTCTGATAATTGCCTCCCAGATATGAACCCATAGTCTGGTAAGAGGATTTAGACCAGTTAAATCCATCTGTGTTGCATATGCCTCCACAAAACAAAGCAACTTCTTATTCCAGTTTAATCTTGTAATGTGGCTAAATCAGTAATAGAAAATAAGGGAATATCTAAGCCTCGGTCACTACAGGGAAAAACATGTCTACGGTGGTCAAAAACTTCATGGGTCACCTCAGTTTTGTCAAAACCTTGCAAAACTGGAAACTCCATTTGTCCAAGAATTGTGTCATGTATTGAACAGAGTCTGAGTCCCTGGCTATGGCAGGAACTCCAGTGCACAAGATGACTCCCATGCCCTCAGTTTGGAACAGGACTTATTTTATGTAAGGCCAAACCGGGGCACTGACTCATGCACATATGCAAGTCAAAAATTATCAATTTAAAAAAGCTTCATTTCCTCTTGGTTTATTTTTTAAGGTCTCAGGGCAAGAAAATGTTTCAAAGTAAAAGTTTAAAGAACTAACAAAAGAAAAAGTGCTTTACTAAAATATAGTAAAAACTTGATCCAGACCATCGGAGCCATTGGCTTTATATCAAATAAAGAGCTTACTGTCTGGGAAGCCAAAAGATTTAGAGCTTCCTCAGCTGAGAGGCTGCAGCATAGATCATAGATAATAAATCCCTGCCTCACCCAGGTTCAACAGATGGAACACAGGTCAAACTACAAAATTGAAATACATATTGCATAGATTTTTCTCAGACATAGTTTCTGCTATTATAGTTAGTCCTTATCATGATGGTATGTCCAAGCCAGGCCACTTCTGTCCATGCCTTGGCCACAACACAAGAAGTAGCCAATCAGATTTCAAGTGAGGTTGACGCCACTCCACACCATCCCTCTAGATGCAGCCTTGCCTAATATAACCACTTATTACAAAGGATTGCCAAATAAATGTAATTTAAAAGAATCGGAATTTACACCCTTTTATTTATTGGTAATAAGGCTACGGAACATATAAAATGTGACAATTCAACAACAACAAAAAAAACTGTCTTATTACAAACTGGGCCAAAATTTGCAGTAACACTTTACAATAACTATAACTTATAAATGGTAAATAGACCATTTTATAAATGGTAAGCAGATAGTTTATTATTTACTATTTATAAATAGCATATAGATAAATTGTAAATTTTACAATTTTAAAAACCTGACCCTAACCCTAACTTTACAACCATCTAAGAAATATTAACCATTTACAAAGTGTGACTAACACACTTTTTTTAATCTAGATGTTTTAAAACCAATATTTAGACCCTTTATAAACCTATGATAAATAGTCCATTAATAATCAATGGCAATTATTAATCATAATTTCATTGGTTGTTAATGGTAAAGTAACTATTAACTTACATTAATTAACTATCTATTTGCTATTTATAATTGGTCTATATGCTGTTTTAAAATGATGATTAAACATTAATAAACTATTTACCATTTATAAATTATGGTTATTGTAAAGTGTTACCAAATTTGCTGAAGGCCTGGGGTGGATGTTGGACTATTGACCTGGATATTGGATCTCGAGCAGGATAAACAAGAATGGAATTAAGAAAAGGTGCTTAATTGGTGTAGCTATAAAATTTGGATTTAGCTTTTCTAATAATCGACTTATTTGAGGCACGTGAGAGTATATCGAAAGCTCCCAATGGACAGGTGAAAACCATTTTGGTGGTAAAGTTCAGCTGTCATTGGACCTACTCGTTTACGACTTCGTTACTGAATGGATACTGAGGCGGTGTGCAGTCTACTTTCCTTCCTCTCCTCCCCAACGGGCCAGGCAGGCTATCTCCTATCTCCACAGTAGTTAAGTGACAGGTCTATTTTAGAAAGGAGGCTGCGCCAAAGTAGGCACGTCAGCTATTTGGCATCATGAGGTAGTGGAGAAGAAAGAAAAAATAAGTCTAGTCAACCGCCCACTGCAGGAGACTGGGGGATGTTCCAACACCCTGGATTTACAACCATTTCAGGGATATTCAAACACAAAGAAGACATTTTGTGGAATTTCTACACAGTGGGATTGGAGTAGACTATCATCCGGGAACTTTGACGACCACATGAGCCATCGCCCATTTTAACCGTTACCTGAGCGGCTGACAACTCAAGGTGAATAACTCATATTTATCTACCAAAATGGTATTAAATATTGTTATATTAGTAATTTTGAAAGATAATTTACCTTAAGTAATTAGTTTTTCACAAGTTTAGAATTTGTATGACCGTCGCAGTGTTAAATTTAACACCCAAACTAACGTTGCTTGAATTACAGGTAACCATAATACAGGCCTAGTGGAAGCTTCCAGTTCGGTTAAACTTGCGTCGTGCTCATTCCCTAACTTTACTAAACTTTTTTTGTGCAGATTTCTTCAGCACAAATTGAGAATTATTTTTTTTCAACTATTACTAAGACATTTTAGCAAGTGTGACGATAGCAAAACACGGTAAGAAATGATGTAGGTTTCTGTAGTGGGAGTTTTATCAAACAGCTGAAGTCCCTTTCGCTTCTACAAATGGCCATGGACAGAGACGGGGGCTGACAGCTGAGGTTATTTTTGGGACAGGCAGTTCATGCGGCAGAGGTGACAAAGCTGGTAAATGTCACTCTTTGAAAGGCACATATCTGCTTCTATTTGACCTTGTTACAGGAAAATTCATTCGTTATTAGTATGAATGTGCCTTTCTGTTGAATAGACTTGAGGTCAGGTTTTAGTGCTGTTTAATTTCTTAAGGGCCAGGACAAGGGTAGGCCTACTGACACTTACAGTAACCGCTAGCCATAAATATGCCCATCTCAACTATGGGTTTAAGTCTATTTTCATAGCTCACACATATTTTTAGAGTACATTTTGAAAAAGAAAAAATAGCTACCTCTACAGTGGTTTCGATGTATTTAACTGGATAGCTGGAATATAGGCTAATATCTGACCATAGTTGATGCCAAATATTGATATTTTGGTTTTAAGATAATGAGGCACTTTAAACAGATTTCCCCTATGATTTCATTTATCACAAGCGATGGGATAAAGCAGTATGTAAGTTGGTGTTTGTCTTCCAATTTGACTGCACTGAAGTATTCATCTTTTTTTTTAAATTACAGGTACAAACAATGGATCCAAACTTATTCGGTGGAGTCCCCAGGTTTCTCACCCGCCCAAAGGCGTTCTCGGTGTGTGTAGGCAAGGATGCCACACTAAGCTGCACTATTGTGGGCAGTCCGACCCCGCTGATCACCTGGGAAAAGGAGAAGCTGAGGCTGACATCTGGGGGACGCTTTAAGACTGTTGAGGATGGGAATGTCTACCGTTTAACTATCTATGATCTAACACTGGAAGACAGCGGCCAGTACATGTGCCGGGCTAAGAACAATGTTGGTGAAGCTTATGCCGCTGTTACTCTCAAAGTGGCCCTGCCATCAGAGATAGCTCAGAGGGCCCCTGCTTTCCTGGTTAAGCCGTCCTCTGCACGTGTAGGTTTGGGAGGTGATGCTGTTTTCTTCTGCCGGGTTGTGGCTCACCCTGAAGCCAACTTTGATTGGGAGAAAGATGGGCGTTACCTGGGAGAGAGTAACCGCGTCAAGATTGTGTCTGACAGCGACAGCAGCACCTTAAGGATCCAAAGTGTACGCAACCTGGACAGCGGCACCTACACCTGCAGGGCCCAGAATACTGTTGGTCGTGCACATGTTGCAGCAGCTCTTGTTGTGGATGCTCAGGATTCCCGCCATCTTTCTGCAGACAAAAACACCTCACTCCTTTCCCACCTGCAAAAGCGCAAAGAGGAGATGAAGAAAGACATCTCTATCTATCGCACCGAGGAAAGCAGCACCACTGTTTCTTCATCCTCAGCAACAAGCATCAGAGATGGTTTTAGCCTGGACCATGAGCTAAGGGCATCTGCGCTGGCAAAGCTGCCCAAAGGTGTGTTCACTCGTACCTGTACCGTCACTGAGGGCAAACACGCCAAACTCAGCTGCTTTGTGACGGGTCACCCCAAACCCCACACTATCTGGAGGAAGGATGGAACAAACATCAGTGAGGGCCGCAGGCATGTCATTTATGAGGACCAAGCGGAGAACTTCGTCCTCAAGATCCTGTACTGCAAGCAGAGTGATAATGGTCTCTACACCTGCAACGCCACCAATATGGCTGGGCAGACCTATAGTGCTGTGTTGGTAACAGTCAAAGGTAAGGCCATCATGTCCACATACATCATTGCGATTATTATTATAGCAGAGGGTTAAAGAAAAAACGCCTGTCGCTTTTATATTTTAATGTCCATTATGTCTTCTGCACCCAGTACTAAGACACTAAGCCAATTCCCTCTGAGGACATAGTTCTGTAAAAATGCACATACTACACAGACATATCATCATTAGCCAAATCAGCTCAGCACGTCTTCATTTGGGTCTATTTCAGGTGTATGACTAACACATTTGGTGCTTTATTTATTATTTATAACTCCAGTGAGGCATTAATATGTGGTAGGTGTAATTTACTCGAAATAATCAGCTGCCTATGTCCAGTAAGAGAAACTTGTTAGGGCTGACAGCAGTGTGACTTAAGTTTTGTTGTCAACAGTTATTTAGGCAGAGGCTCATGGGACAAAAAATGAAGCTGGTGGTAAACACTCATTATTACTGACTGCACTTTTTTAAGTGTTGCCCAAATCACTAGACCAAAGCCTCATTTAAACCTCTTAAAGTAAGTGTGGCTATTCACAACAAGGTTGAAATTGGCACACCCACTGCAGGAGGGTGTTGTGTTGCATCTATTTTCTGCTGGTGATGAGAAGTTCACAGTTGCTTACATGGTCCCTCACTTACTGGAGCACTTTGGCGCTTGGGCTACTGTGACCACCCTTGGGGAGAAACTGAAGTGTTCAAAATGTGTTTTGGTTGTTTACCTCCATTCAGTTCATTACGAGGGGCTGTGCCACCAGTGTAGCTGTTTGTTTGTTTTTTTCTTTAATCATCTGCGGGTTGCCTCAGTGAATTTATTTTAAACACGATGGTACCAAAAATTGCACAGGAAGGGTTATTCTGTTTTTTGGAAATGCATTGTGATGGTTTGTCAGGAAGGAAAGACAGGGAAATGCTTGGGGAAATAACTTATCAAAGACTGGGACTTAATTAGAAGTGAAAGCTTTACTATATCCGCTGAGTGTCTCAGTAGATATATTTAAGTCCTCAGATGTAAACATACCACTTGTTCCTTGGAGATACATAATAGAGCAAACTATTTCAGTTGTCCAGTAAATTTAACGTGCATTTTATGACTGCTTAATCTCCATGGAGTGATTTACTGGACCAAGTGGACTGACCCATAACTCATAATGGAATTCCACATGTTTCAGCACTTGTAGACTTTATAGACTGTGACTTTGCAGCAGAGCATGCACTCCATTCCTTGAGTTAAAACTGTTGGCTCAGATTCAACAAACACATATAGATGAAACAGTAACTGTCATACGTGTAGTGTAAGAAAATGGAGAAGTAAAGGAAACATGCAAGATGTTCTTTTGAATCTCAATTGCAACAGTTGGTATAGTGGATGCATTTACATTTGAACTTAACACTATATAAATGTGAACAGTTTTCAGTTACATTGCTGTCTGACAGGTTCAAGCTTACTTTATAATGCATGTCTCAGCTCAATTATGTCATAAATCATCTTAAACTTATGAGAGTTTCCAAAAGCATGTTTAAAGTATTTTGGTTGATTGTTAATAAGCTCCTGAAAGGAACTGAGAGATGAGCCCAATATTGTCTGTAAATCAGATCTCTGCATACATGGAAGCAATTGTGTCTGTTGAAGTACAACACAAGCATGCCTCATTCTGCGCAGTGGCTTTGGTGAACACCTAACAAGTCACTTGACCAGTGCCAAAGTGTTTGATTTTTGTGTTAGTAGTGGCTTTATCACCTTTCAGACAGAGAGCATGCTTAAACACATAAAAGTTGTGATAAAAAATCTGGTTCATTCCACCAAATATTAATTTCTGAACTCTTCTTAAACAAGTATTCTGGTGTTTTAAAATGAACATGAACTTGTGCTTTTTTCTTTGCATGATTCACAGACTGAAAATACTGTAACTTAATCTCAACTAATTATCATTTTCTGAAAATACAAGACCACCATGAGAATGTTTTGCTTGGATATTGGAATAAATGTTGTAAAAAAAAAAGTGGTAGAATCAGAGAGAAGACATATTTTTGCAACTGTAACCTATTTTTTCCCCAGAGTTGTTCAATACACAAGAATCAAAACAAATTATAACAGCTGATGATGAATACTGTAAACATTTTCTTTACTGATTTTGTCAGAAATTGAATCCAGACACATTTTAAAAGGAATGTTTAAGAGCTTGGTACTGATGAATAATTTGTACTCTACATGATTGAGTAGCCTAGCCTAACATATTTTCCACTGAAGTTGCCTCAGATGCTAAACATATGATATGCTATGTATCTTTTTTGATTTACCAAGTAAGATCACAAAGAAATTGATGTTGATATTTCTGAAAATGGTTGAAGGTTGATGTGAGAGTTTTGCTGCATTTGATCCTCTGTTAAGTTTGTCTAACTCAAGTTTCAATCATTTTCTTCTATCTCAGAGCCAAAGATTCCATTCAGGAGGAAGCTGCGGGATGTGGAGGTACAAGAGAAAGCATCAGCTACTATGATGTGTGAGGTGTCTGCTTCTTCCACCCAGACCAACTGGTTCATGGAGGAAACACGGCTGGAGGAGAGTGTCAAGTATAAAATGGAGCAGGATGGCACTCTGCGCCGTCTCACCATTCACAATGTCACCACAAATGATGATGGTGTTTACATCTGTGAGATGAAGGAAGGCAGTCGCACTGTGGCTGAGCTCACTGTCCTGGGTATGGCTAACTCTTGGTTTCTGTCTTAAGTTACTGTTATTATTTAATATATGCCTTTGCTGTTATTGCAAAGGAAGTGAAGTTGTGTTTGTTTATTCCTCTCATTATACTAGGCAACATCACTAAGAAGCTTCCTCGAAGGACAGTTGTTCCTATCAGTGACACTGTCATCTTCTGTGTGGAGCTGGAGCACCCCTGCATAGATGCCTACTGGACCCGCAACGGCGAGAAGCTCAAGGAGGATTCCCGTATCTCCATCGCCTGTGTGCTTAGACAGTACACACTCACTATTAGAGACTGTCATGCAGAGGACTCAGGAGAAGTGGCCTTTGTGGCTGGAGACTGCAAGACTTCCACTCGATTCACTGTCACTGGTGAGAACAAATATACTTGTCAGAATGGCTAAGAATGTGGAACCAAATGTTGAACTTTTAAAATGTTAAACCAAATACAAAGATATACGTGAGATTGTAGCCAAATAATAAAAAATAACCCTGTCCATTCCAGCTGCAAGAAAGCATCCTCCCGATCCCCCAGTCGATGCAGTGGTGCAGAACAAGACTGACTCATCCATCACTCTTCAGTGGTCTCCTCCCGACAGCGACCGCCCTGTGCCCATCAAGGGCTACATTGTAGAGAGGAGGAAAGTTGGTACTCAGACCTGGCAGAGGTGCAGCACTGGAGAAAGCTTTGTTTTAACTGAGTTTACTATCAGCAACTTCACTGAGGAAGCCAGCTACCAATTCAGAATCTCTGCTATGAATGACTTTGGCCAGAGTCCTTACCTTGAGGTTCCTGGAAGCTTCTATCTTGGTAAAGCTTCTACCTCTGTGACATCTTTTTATCCATGTGATGCCACTGTGTTCTTTTCTCAAGTATGCTTCCTCTTTTGTCTTCAGAACCCAGTGCTGAAATCCGGGCCGGACTGAAAAACAGCACTGCAATCAGCGGAGAGGAGTTCTCCATCTCTGTGGAGCTTTCTGCTGTCTGTTCTGGCTTCTGGTCTATAAATGGACGACTTCTGCGTAGCGGAGCAGACTACCTCATCACCAGGTCCAAGACCACGCACACTCTGCTCATCCGTGACGTGACCATGGAAATGAACGGAGCTGAAGTGAAGTTTGTGGGTGGAGGCTCTCAGACAAGTTGCATTATATCTGTGAAGGGTATGCACTCATTGTTAGTTAAACTTTAATCACCCAAAATGCTCTATTGGAGCATATTTACCCCTGCGCAATCATCACCTGAGGTCTATTTCTATTATTTACAGCATTTCTTTGTGGAAAGCGAATCCAAAATATCTTCTCACCTGAGATCTGTTTTTTTTAGCTCCTTCTGTCAGGTTCACCAACAAGTCAGATCAACTCAGGGTGGTCATTTGCGGCGCACAGGAAACTGCTCAGCTGACTGCCGAAGTGTCAGATTACGATTCACAGGTTTGTAATGGAAGTATACATAATCCTGCAGTACTTAAACCAGTTTTAAAGTACCTTTGCATTGATATCAGTATACTTTGTAAGAATTCAGTTGTTTTATTCAGCCTTCAGACTTTACACCATCATCTTCTCACATGACCTCCTCCCTTTTTGCTCCTTCAGGTGGTTTGGATGAAGAATGGAAAAGAATTAAAAATGGGAAAGAAGTATGAATACATGATGATCGATCGCAAGAGGACTCTGATTGTAAACAATGTGACAGAGGAGGATGTGGGCATCTATGAGTGTGCCTTAGCTGAAGACAAAATGTCCCTGCAACTCTCTCTTAAAGGTATGCGCAGTTCTGAGGGGTCTTTGAACTGATTTGGTAAAATGCACAGTGATTGGAAGAAGCACTACTCAAGCACATCTAATGCAGACAGTCTGTCTCAGAGCATTTGATATGTGACGTGCTCTGATAGCTGCTGGCATGTGCATATGAATGTGAGCCATCAAACACAGCAAAGAACTATCTGTCATCACGTTGTCAGCCCCAGCCTTAATCTCCTATTCCAACACATGCTTGCCCCACTCATGGGCTGCTTTGACACCCAAGCCTAAACACATGCATCTTTAGAGGCATTTTAGTTAACGTCAGAAATTTCATATGTGCCAGTTCAGTTCAGGCAACACTGAAATTTATTTACTTCATAAAAGTATAAAAATTATTATAAAAGTAACAGAAGACTCATAACCCCATTTCTTTTTGTCTCAGATGAACCTGCCAAGTTCCTGAACAAAGCCAGAGGCACCATGGGAATGACTTCCTCCCTTAAAGGAGACCTGGAGCTGAGCTGTGAGGTTTCTCCAGCTAATGCAGTTGTTGTTTGGAGAAAAGATCAGGTTGAGATCACTGAGGACCAAAGAACCAGCATTGTCTCCAAAGGGACTCAAAGAAAGCTCATCATTAGTAAAGCAAAGAAAAGTGATGAGGGACATTACTCCTGTGAGACCGCAGCAGACAAAGTCACATTCCAGGTCAAGATAAAAGGTAAGACTGGATGGTATATCTCCAAACACTTGACTGCACATCTCAGATATCATTCCCCTTACCTTGTTTTTTTGTTTGTTTCCTAGAAACTCTAGCTGTAGCTGCCTTCTCTGACAAGGAGTCAGTCCAGAAAGAAGTGAAAGCAACTCTCTCCCAGAAAGCAACTCTGAGCTGCACCGTTTCGGACAGTAAGACAGAGGTGAAGTGGTACAAAGACGGCAAGTTGTTGATATCCAGCAGGGCGATGTACACAGAGACAAAAGGCAACACTCGTCAGCTGGTCATAGAAAAGGCGGAGAAGAGCGATGCTGGAGAGTATACTTGTGAAGCAGGAGGAGACAAGCTGGTCTTCAAGATAACTGTGTCAGGTAGGACTGTTCAACTGACTATACAAGATCTGCTTTACTGTAATTGGTAATGCAATGAAATTGAAGTATGTTATGGAAAACATAACACAGATTGTTAAAAAAAATGGCAGTAATGGGCCATTTCAAGTCTCTGCACTGTTCGTAGTTCCTACATAACTGCAGCTTGTTCTTGTTAATGAGGCATTGTTAAAAGCCACACGTGAAGGCGCTCTATTGTGAGGCTTAGGCAATTTGGCCAGATGCTTAAATTCTGCAGTTTCTACAGTCAGTATTTCCACGGAGATTAAAACTCTGCCAGTAGTGATTACTTTGTTAAACCCTTAATCTGCTGTCTGCAAACAAACACGTGTTTTTGTTTTTTTGATGCTCCGCTTATTGGCACAAATGACGGGCTTTAAGTGACTTCACTGAAATATCCACATTATTTTGAGCTATATTAGCCAGCAATTTGATTGTTACAGCTGCTAATGTGCGTGACTAATCCAGCCAAAGCCGACTAGTTTGCTTCAGCTGATAGATACATACAGTTGATTTACTACCAAACATTGGGCTCAAGAATTTCTGTTCGATGTGTGAAATAAGTCGATATAGCTAAGTTATTTTGGGTCACCTGTCACACTAACCGAGGCGGGTTCATTCTGAACCAATACAGCACACATACAATGCAGGACTAATATGCTGTACCAATATACCCCGAGGGTTTAGAGAGGGTCAGTTGCAACATATTTATGCATCGTAAAGCAGCTTTCTGCGTCGAATTGAGGCTTTTATTTTGAAGGTTCCAGATAAAACTGGATATTTTTTGTCCAGGAGAGTAAAAGAATAATTTTGACCACCAAAAATTGTTAAATGGATGTCTTTGATATGTTTTAGTGATTTGTGAATTTAAACTTCATTCATATCATCATGCGTTTTCTTGTGAATATTACACACAGAGGCGGCACAGTCTGCTTTCTTCAACAAGGAGTCTGTCCAGAAGGAGGTCAAAGCCATCCTCTCCCAGAAAACCGCTCTGAGCTGTGAGGTAGCAGATACCAACACAGAGGTGAAATGGTACAAGGATGGAAAAATCATCACTACCACTAAGACAATCCGTTCTGAGTCGAAAGGCAAAAATCGGCAGCTAGTGATCGACAGCGTAGAAAAGAAGGATGCTGGAGTGTACGTCTGTGAGGCTGGGTCTGAGAAGCTTGATTTCAGGCTGAATGTGGCAGGTAAGAAAGAGAAGATATTTAGATTAATACCATTTATTAAATGCTTGAGAATAAGCACTGATACAACCCCATAATGCTTCTCCCATCAGAGGCCAAGTCAGCCTTTTTCAACAGAGAATCAGTCCAGAAGGAAGTCAAAGCCATCCTGTCCCAGAGAGCCACTCTGAGCTGTGAGGTGGCCGAAAGCAAGACAGAGGTAAAATGGTACAAGGATGGCAAACTGCTAACTTCCAGCAGGACCATCCACACAGAGTCAAAGGGGAAGAGTCGCCAGCTGGTGATTGACAGTGTGGAGAAGAAGGATGCTGGAGAATACATCTGTGAGGTTGGGACTGAGAAGCTGGTCTTCAAAATAAATGTAGAAGGTAAGGTGAAAGCACTTAGTGTATATGTTTTATTTCACCTGTGGCTGTGACTTATTGTCTGATTCCATAGTCTTCTGTGAAGAGTTAAAAAACTATTTGTGTTACTTACAAATAAATGCTTATTTTTCTGTTCTCCTTTCATATATGATTGTGAATGCCACAATAAATGTTGGCTGCATTGTTGGTTGCCTCAGTTGTCAACGTTTGGTGTGCTCAGCTCATACATCTCTGGCCTAGTTTTTGCTTTGAAATATGATCAGTAGAAAATTCAAGTTGTGCAAATAGATTGTTGCTTTTTGGTACTCACTATTGAGCTTCATAAATTGGTATCTTAAGGCATTTGTTTGCTCTTCTGGTTCAATTGTCTGTCATGTTTTAGTCGCAGTGTCGGTCTGTCTGTGCGCTGAATGAATTGTTTTTGATGTGCAGTCGCTCACTTTTGTCAGCATCAAAAAGGCTTTTGCTTTATGACCGCAAAGACTCATGTTTTTCCCCCGGTTTAATGCGCCTTGATAAGCTTCTTTCTCTGTCCTGTTGAAAGGTTTTGTTTTGTAGATCTTGAGCTAATGAATCCTTTTTGGTCTGGATAACTGTACTGCCGTTACACCCCTTTTCAGCCGCTCCTACTGAAGTCCAAGCTAAAGCCACTCTGCTCAAAAAAGAGTCTGTCCAGCAGGAAGTGAAAGCATCTCTGTCCCAGAAAACCACTCTGAGCTGTGAGGTAGCTGATAGCAAGGCAGAGGTAAAATGGTACAAGGATGGCAAACAGCTGAGTTCCGGCAGATCTGTTCACATGGAAACAAAGGGCAAGACACGGCAGCTGGTGATTGACAGTGTAGAGAAGAAAGATGCTGGAGAATACTTCTGTCAAGTTGGAACTGAAAAAGCCGCTTTTAAAGTACAGGTGTCAGGTATGAGAAATAAAACGGTTCTATTTCTGCTTCTTTTGTGCTGGTTTATATGACTGTCCACTTGTTTCTATATTAAAGATGAAGTACATCTGTAGCTACACTGGATTTTCTTAGTTTCGGTCCAGACTGTATCTGAATTGTTGTGGTGTTTTGGTATCACAGATGCCTGCTTAGTTAAATTTGTTATTTAGTTGTCGTTTTATTCATGTTTGTTGGTCCTAGCTGAATAATTCTCTGATTATTTGAGCACTGCTGATGTTTCCTCTTCATATTTGGGCTGATATCGTATAGAAACCTGATTCTAGCGATGTTTGATAACACGGTTCTCTTCATAAACACTTTACAGAGAGCCAAGCCAAACCAGCTATCTCTACCAAGGAATCGGTCAAAAATGAAGTCAAAGCCACTCTTTCCCAACAAGCCACCCTGAGCTGGGAGGTATCTGATTCTAAGGCAGAGGTCAAATGGTACAAGGATGGTAAACTCCTCTCTACTACTAAGACCATCCACACAGAGTCTCAAGGAAACAGTCGACATCTGGTGATAGACAGCGTAGAAAAGAAGGATGCTGGGGAGTACGTCTGTGAGGCTGGGGCTGAGAAGTTGGCTTTCAAGATGCAGGTGGCAGGTAGGAGAACAAAAGTTTAGCAAATGAATGCAAATGTAAAATTATCAGTTTATTCCTGGTATTAACCACCCAGGTGTTAAGTTCTGTGTTTGTTTGCTTGAGTTTCATGTTCTCATTTCTTTGTCAAACATTTCATCTCCTCTTCAGAAGCTCCGGCAGGTTTCTCTAACAGGGAGTCCGTCCAGAAAGATGTCAAAGCCACTCTCTCTCAGAAAGCCACTCTGAGCTGTGAGGTTTCTGATTCCAAAGCAGAGGTGAAATGGTACAAGGATGGCAAACAGCTCACCTCCGGTAAAGCTGTTCACATGGAATCAAAGGGGAAAACTCGTGAGCTGGTGATTGAAAAAATGGACAAAAAAGACGCCGGAGAGTACACATGTGAGGCCGGATCTGAGAAGCTTTCATTTAAGCTGCAGATGACAGGTAAAACTTGTTTTAGAAATAACTACATTTGCTTAGAAAGTGTTTTTTTCTGCTGAAATACTGAAAAAAGTTTATTTCTTTGTAGACGCAGCTGTCAAGTTCCAAAAGAAGCATGTCAAGGACACACATAATGTGCAAGCAAGTGAAAACATTGTTTTGACAACAGAGCTAACTTCAGATAGTGGCAGTGTGAAGTGGTTCAGAGATGGTACGGAGCTTAAGGAGGGCGGCAAGTATGAAATGAAAAAAGATGGCCTGTCTCGTACCCTGATAGTGAAATCCACAGAAACCAAAGATACTGGATCATACACCTGTCAAACTGCTGATGACAAACTGGAGTTTAAAGTTCAAGTGAAAGGCAAGTCAGAAATATTTGGATCGTTTTGATCAATGCTTCGTAAAACTTTTTAGATGTCAGATGTGTTTTAATCAGCTTTATTTTCATTTCAGAAGCAGCTTTGAAGTTTATTGCCCCGCTGAAAGCTGCTGCAGTGGAGTTAGGTGGTACACTCAGCCTGGTGTGTGAACTAAACCAGGCCTCAGGGGATGTTGTCTGGCGGCGTGATGGCCGTGAGATAAAACCTGGAGGCAGGCACACTATCAGGACAGATAATGCGAAGCGGGTCCTCACTGTGAGTGGCATGACTAAAGAAGATGAAGGAGAATACAGCTGTGAATGCAGGAATGACAAAACCTCTGCCAAAATCACCTCAAAAGGTCACTTTTTATCTCATTAACCAAAGAAATCAAAGCTTTGGGGTAGAAACCTTTCAGTTAACCTCTTTGATGTGATTCTTGTATTTTTCAGCGCCCAGATTAGTGAGACTGACCACCAAACTGAACAATGTGGCTGCGATGGAGGGAAAAGATGCCATCTTTAAGTGTGCGGTCAATCCTGCAGATGCCAAGGTTAAATGGTTCCACAACAGCTTACCTGTCACTGCTGGGCCCAAGTATAAAATTGAGCTAGGCGGCGGCAGTCACTCCTTAACCATCACCTCTGTTAGTCAAAAGGATGCTGGAGAGATAAGCATGGATGCTGAAGGAAAAACCTGTCAGGCTACACTACAAGTGCAACGTAAGAATCTGAATTCCCCATAAAGCTGTTTTAATTATGCTACAAATACAATCCCCTCATTGACTTTTCTTACACCCCGTTTAGATGAGCCTGTGACCTTCAAGAAGAAGCTGGAAAACCTTACAGTGGAGGAGCAGAGTGAAGTGAAACTGGAGGTGGAGCTCAGTAAGCCATCAGACGAAGTGAGATGGATGAAAAACAGTGTTGTAGTGCAGCCTTCAGGAAACATGGAGATCCGGGTAAATGGAGCCAAGCAGGCTCTGGTCTTTAAGAGTGTGACTAATGCTGACCGAGGCATCTACTCCTGTGAAACACTGGATGATAAAACCCAGGCCAAACTTAGTGTGGAAAGTAAGATAAACCCTCATTACACATTTTAAACATGACATACAGCGTGATTAGTTGGGAACAGTTGCTTCCATGCTGACAGCCTCTTCTTTCTCTGTCCCCAGTGAAGAAGATCAGGGTTAACAAAGGCTTAACAGACACTACAGCTCATGAAACAGAGACTGTAACTCTTGAGGTAGAGCTCAACCAGGCTGATGTTGAAGGCACCTGGACCAGGGATGGGGTTAAGTTAAAGTCAGGAGGGAACTGCCGTATTACCGTCCTGGGAAAGAAGCACGCCTTGACATTTTCCAACCTGAAGAGGGAGGATGCCGGAACTATTGTCTTCCAAGCAGAAGGAGTGCACATTTCCAGCAAGCTGGTTGTCACAGGTAAGAGCTGTGTCCTGTTAGTAAACTAGGACTATATTTAGCAGACTTTGATTTTATTGTTGTACGGCAATTCAAGAAGGAGATTCAGTCTGGTCGGTTTTGACCAACATGTTTTCATTCTCCAGAACCCCCGGCTATGATCTCCAACCCCATCATGGATACCAGTGTTGCTGAGAAGGAGAAGGTCACTTTTGAATGTGAAGTGTCCAGATCAAATGCAGATGTGAAATGGTTCAAGGTGAGGAATTATTCTGGAATAAGATTGTAGGATTAAAATAAAGAACATATAAAATGTAACGCTTTGAAAAAATGCTGACTATGCAGAACGATGTGGAACTCAAACCAGGGAAGAACTTTGGTATTCATTCGTTGGGCCGAAAGCGCTCTTTGGTCATCAACAAATGCACCCCTGAGGATGCTGGCACCTACATCTGTCGCACTGCCGATGATAACACCTCTGCCAAACTCACTGTTCATGGTAATATTAAGTCATATCACAAAACCTACAAATCAGTAATCTATGGTGAAGATTAAAAGTGTCCTGTACACGTGAACATCCTTAAAATCTTTACCCCTGCAGCCAGAGAAATTACGATTGTTAAGAAGCTGGAGGATGTTGAGGTGATGGAGAAGGAGAGTGCTGCATTTGTCTGTGAAGTCTCACATGATGAAGTGGAATGCCAGTGGTACAGAGGAGGTGTCAAACTCAAAGCTGGTGATAACATCAAGTTGAGACAGGAGGGTAAGTCTCAAGAAATTTGTAAACCTGTGTGATTTACTTGTACTGTTATGGAATTTGTCTGCTTTTGTCACTACAAGCTGTCCTTTCCTGACTGCAGGCAGAACCTATGTGCTGCTGTTCAGGTCAGTTACCCCAGGAGATATTGGTGAGATTAAATTCACAGCTGAAAAAGCCTCTTCAACCGCAAAGCTGAAAGTGAAAGGTAAACAAACACAGATTATGCTGTACCTGTGCTGTTGCATGAGTCAGCTAACCTTTATGTTTCAATGTTTAGATGTGGTTGCAAATGGATCATTTCCATTTACAAAGACAATAGCTGTCAGAAAAAATCAAATGAGTAGATGCCTATGTGGATTTTAAACTTAATCCACAACAAGGATTCAGTTTACAGACTATTGAAGTTAGAGTATGTCTAAAAATCCTGGATCTGACTTTCAAATTTGAACAAGCAAAGTGAGGAAAATGTATAAGGTCACAGCAGAGTTTGATGAAATGTTATCCTGTTCAGAGAGTAAACACATGCATCATGCTGACATTGTTGATGAGATGGAAAATCCAGCTGCAACTTGCATTTTCATTGTTGTGCCTCATTGAGGCCTGATGGCAAAGGAAACACAGGTCCAGAATTATTACCGGGGGTTACAGCTCAAAAGTTTTTCAGTGACACAAATTTTGTGACAGAGTTGATAGTGTACTTTGTTATCGGTTTACCATAAGCTGCTCAAAATGCACAAGTTTTCTTGTTTCAAGCTCTGCAGTCATGCAACCACATGCAGAAGTAACATACACACAGTAATAACCATTATTTAATCAAGTGCCATTACCAGATTATAGCCATCTGCTGTAGCTCTTACAAATAAATGTAACAAGTTATGCTGCGCCTAATGCAGTTATGCTTTGATGCCACATTTGCTTTGCTTGGGCCATTTCTTAATTTAACTAAAACATTGCCTGTCCTCAAGCGCACTCAGGCGAGGACTTTGGCAAGGCCTTTGCATTAATAGCCAATGATAACTGTGGCATTCGTGATAGTTTTTGTTGATTCAGTGTCATTGTTACTGTAGAGCTGCCTGTCAAGTTTGTGAGGAAACTCAGGGATAAGATAGCGATGTATAAGCATCGCGGTCATCTTGAATGCCAAGTGTCACGTGCCAGCGCAAAGGTGAAGTGGTTCAAGAACAAGGCGGAGATCAAGCACGGCAAGAAGTACGAGATCAAGAGTGAAGACGTGTACCGAAAACTCACCATCAACGATGTGGATTCGGGAGATGAAGACACGTATACCTGTGACGCCACTGATGACAAGACATCCTGTAAACTTCTTGTGGAAGGTAACACCGGGAAAAATGATGAAGATTTCAAGTTCAGTATCAGGTTTATCAGCTGAGGGATATCATATAAAAAAGTGTAATCAGATTACACATTCAAAACAAGCCATCAGACTCAAAGTCAATGAGGTTACTGTCTTAAGATCCATATATGTCCGTCTGTCTATATTTTCCATGCATCCGTATACTTAATATGTGTCTATTCCTGTAGACTGATACAGTTTTTATAATTAAGGTAAAACAGGAAAATTTACTTACCTATTTTCAGCCATGCTTAATGAAGTAATAAACTTGGTATTTATAAGTATTCATCAAATAAGAACAATTAGGAGAAATTTATTTTCATCACAGGTCGTGTCACTTATGCACATCTTTAAGCGTTTTGGCCAATCGGGACGTTGCTGTCGACTCCTTTGCCTAGCCTCGCTTCTGGTTTAACAGTCATTTTCTCGACAAAGGGTCAGAGCTGATCAGGATCTCTTTGAAAACTGAGCTATCCCTTCAGATATAGTTCATAGATGAGAAAAACTGTTTTTCTACAATAGGCCTATGTACACTAGAAGGTACAGGGGTAAATCATAAATATAATGATGGATGGATTCCATTCACCTCTGTCACTTTCACAATCCTGGCGTTGTGCACGCTGGCCCTCACGCTGATAGTGCTTGTTAGTAAGCTGTATCATTTGTGACACTTGTGCTTTTCCACCTTCAACAATTGAAACTCTGAAGTGGAATTTGCTAGTCAGCAAATGAAAAAGAAGACACAGGAGAGTGAGCTGTCCAGTCTGCCAAAGTAGATAACACCTGTATTCGTGTATTGTAGCATAAGAATGTCCTGAGACATAGTCTTTGCTGTGGATTGACTAGAAATGAATGTGCTCTGCATGTTCGGTTATTGTTTAATAGGTGTCTTTAGTTTTTGTGTGTTCTGTTCATTTCTTAATTCTTAATAATTAAGTCAATGTTTGATTAAAATCACTAATAGCAGATTATGACATTAGTTGCAGAAACCGTCAAAGCTTAACTTCGTATCAAGTTGTGTATCCTTGAAGAATTCCCAATACTTTATGTCTTATATTTATTTCAAATACTTAAAGTGACGATGATACAGTTGTGCACTTTCAGCTTATTAAATGTATAGTTTATTGTAACTTACAAGTTTTTATGTTAAATAAATTACTGTATGTTTTGGTTGTTAAGTTAAAGAAAAGTATAAAGTTACATTCATAAAGGGCTCAACCAAAACTGCACCAGCATTTATCTTATTTAAAAATGGCTTAACTGAAGATGTAGCTGATCTATATTTTGATTGCTCACATCATACCCATAATGTTTTTGTTAATGCAAAAATTGAAAATTTAAGCTACCATAGGTATTAACATAACCCTAAAATCTGGTAATAAAATAAACAGGTAAGTACAAGAATTATTATTTGTATAATGAAATATTGTTTCTGATTTATGCTTTCAAAAGAATTATTTGATTTTGATTACCACAATGTTTAGTATTGAAAAAGACTCAACTGAAAAGGTTTTTCACTGGAAAAACAAATCTTTTGTAATCAATCGTAATCATATCATTGATTTCTCATTGGACCATCCTCTCTCCAACCCCTCCAGAGCAATCCATCAGCATTGTGAGAGAGCTTAGTTCTGTAGAAGTGACCGAGCCCTTCGCAGCTGTGTTTGAAGTTGAAATTAGTATGGAACTTGTAAAACCTCCAATATGGACCCTGAATGGAGTTGCCTTAAAGGAAAGCACTGATGTTGAAATGGAGAAAGAGGGCACTCTGCATCGCCTCACTTTCAAAAAGACCAAAGCCACAATGACAGGACCGTTGCAGTTCACAGCTGGGAAGAGCAAATCTTTGGCCCAGCTCACTGTCAAAGGTAAGAGTGTTAAATCAAATCACGCCGGTCGTACATTTGAGCCTGAATACTCACTGTTCCTTTGCACTTCTCATTTAGAGCGTCCTCTGGAGGTTGCAGAGCCCATGAAGGATGTGAAGGCGAAGGAGAAAAGTTCAGCCATACTCACTTGCAAATTCTCTGCCCCGCCCAAAGACGTTCATTGGCTCAAAGGTCGGGTTCCTCTGGCACAGTCAGATAAATACAACATAAAGCAAGATGCTACAAGAGCCCAGCTGACCATTCATAAGTTGACTGAGGAGGACAGTGGACAGTATTGCTGTCAGTCTGGACCTGCTGAAACCAAAGGCACTCTCACTGTTGAAGGTACAGTAAAGGCACGCCAGTCTTGTACACCATCTATCAGATTAAGACGCTGGTAATTGAACTGAAACGGTCTTGTTTCTTTATCTAGTGCGTGAAATTAAGGTCACCAAGCACTTGACTGACACAGAGGTTGATGAAGACTGTGATGCAGTGTTCACATGTGAGATCAACTACGCAGATGAAGAGGTTCAGTGGCTTCTGAATGATAAGGTGCTCTTCACCAATGAAGTGAACACCATTGCTCATGATGGGAAAGTTCACAAACTTACGCTCAAGAACTTGGCGCCTCAGGATGGTGGGACTATTACCTTCAAAGTCCGTAAGGTGACAGAGTCTGTTACACTTAAGGTTAAAGGTAAGAGCTTTGACTGATTAGAGAACTGTACAACAACATAACAATGTCAATGTGTCCCACCTTGAATCACCCAGTTACTGACAAGCTAATTGGTCCTCTCTTCATGTCACCAGAGAAGCGTGCTGTGTTCCTCAAGTCCCTAGATGATGTTATCGGAGAGGAGAAGGGCATGATAACTCTCGCGTGTGAGGCATCCAAGCCCAGAGTGTCGCCCACATGGAGGAAAGAAAGCAAAGTCTTGAAGGCAGGACCAAAGTATGAGCTGCTCCACACAGGCAAGTCTTTGGGACTGATCATTAAGGACGTCACTAAAGAAGATGCTGGAGAGTACAGCTGTGATCTAGGAACAGAGGTTTCTAAATCAAAGGTCACTGTGAGAGGTTGGTACCATAGTTCTTGTATTTTGTTTTATAGTTTATGCTTCTGTGATAGTGTTTTGATTTTCACCAATTTGTTTATTCTCGATCTTTAATTTAGAGATTGGCATTGGAATAACCAAGTGGCTGAAGTCAGCTGAGGTGAATGAAGGAGAGAGCTGCAGCTTTGAGTGCATCTTATCTCGCGAGAGCACAGACGAGTGTTCTTGGACTCTTAATGGCCAAACTGTCACAAATGGCGGCCGCTTCAAGATCACCAGTAAAGGACGCAAATACATGCTGACCATAAAGGATGTTACTGTTACTGATGCTGGAGAAGTGGCCTTCAACCTTAAAGACCTCAACTCCAAAACAACATTAACAGTTGAAGGTTGGTTAAATCAATATTTTTAGGAGGCCAAGATTAAGTCACAAAAGATATTACAGGTCTTAATCATGTGCCTACTTGTGTTACAGGTAAAGCCTCATCTGTGACCAAAGGACTCGAGGGCGTTAGCGTCGTTCAAGGGGAAGATGCAGTGTTTGTCTGTGAGGTGACACAGGCTAGCTCAACTGTAAAGTGGTCCAAAGAAGGCAAAGCCATCAGGAAGAGTCAGAAGTATGACATTAGCCAAGAGGAGAAGGTTATGAAGCTGATCATTCATAATGTTTCCGCTCAAGACACTGGAGAGTACAGTTGTGAAGTTATTGGAGGTGCAACCACGAAAGCCAAACTTGAAATCAAGGGTAAAGCATGAGCTACTGTTTTCACTTACTTTGATTTAAGTGCACTTTTAGTGATAGTTGTATATCTTCACGGGATAGACTACCAGTTTTAAAATTTAATCAAAATCCAATACTTAAATTGTAAATTCTTTCTCTTCTCACAGAGCCAATCCATAAATTCACAAAGGCGCTGCAGGACAGCAAAGCAGAGGAGAAGGGCTCTGTGACATTACAATGTGAGACTGCACAAACCCCATCCAGTGTGGTATGGCTTAAAGGTCACACAGAGCTCAAGGCAGGTGGTCGATATGAGATGTCCCAGAAGGAGGGGGTCTTCACTCTCACCATCAAACACCTGGAGGAGAAAGACACTGACATATACACATGTGATGTGGGCACTGCTAAGAGCATGGCAAAGCTGACCGTCAATGGTAAGAGCATAAGTCTAGGTGTATACAAGTGTAGGGTAAGTCCTGGTGTTATAGAACAAATGATCCTACAGGGTTGGTTTGAATTATTTGTTGATCAAATGTTCATCTAAAGACGCAAAGAAGGGATAGTGTGGATGATGGTAAGTGTTTAGTCCTTTTTTTCCATCTAACTTTTAATACAAGATTTTTTAAATTCATGCAGAAATGAATGAAGCCTGAAACTCAATCTTATAAAGGACTTACCTTGCACCGTTCTACTGTCAATGGCTTTGCAAGGTTTTTGAGGTGAATGAGATGAATGTTGTCATGATTTTCATCTAGACTTGCTCTGGTTTTGCAGAAAAAACAGGGGCTGTGTCAGTTGTTTTTGAGGAGAATCTGCTTTATTTTTTGGCCATGTCAGTCCCCCAGATTTGCCATTTGTACAGGCATGCTGATTTCAAGGTGCATCTAAGGCCTGAACTGATAATCACATTCAAGAGGAGGGTTTTTAGTCATTTTCACAAAATCTCCTGCATTTTCCAAGTTGAAGTTTGCTTTGGTACTTTGTGTTTAAGTGCATCGCTTAGGGGTTTACTTTCGAATCTATCCTCTTTGTCATGAGTTTGTATGCTTGAGAAACTTCACATCTGTGAATGGCCTTAATCAGCATGTGCAAGCGATTCAAAGTGTCCTGATCCCAAATGCATTTCTTGTCATGCACCAAAACAGATGAATTTCTGAGTTTTCCTTTTAGTGGTTATCTTATGCACTTGAAAAATGAAAACATTTTGTACTGCTGTATACTTTAAAAAGGAACAAAAGTCAAATGATGTAATAATTTATTTATTTTATATCTATCATGGGAGTGCAACTTCCTCATCATTAGTACAACTTTTTGATTCATGCAATAAGGTCAATGCTTATGTTATTTTAGCCCTGCCAATCAGTTTCAAAGAAAACCTCAAGAACCAGGAGAAAAAGGAAGGAGAGAGTGCAACTCTTCGCTGCAAACTGTCTAAGCCGACTGTCGACATTCAGTGGAGGAAAGGCTCCGAAATTCTCAGAGCTGGAGAGAAATATGGGATTAAACAAGAAGAGACTTCCTGTGAGCTTCTGATAAAGAACTTGAAAGTTGAAGATGGTGGGGAGTATTTCTGCATGTGTGGAGACCAGAAGACATCTGCAACTGTGAAGGTCCATGGTATGGATTCAGAAAGTCTTGTGGCAAAGTTTAGGCAAATTTTCTTTCTAAATGATACATTTTGTGAATTATTTTTGCTTTTGTTATGTTTTGTTTGAACCTTTGTAAAACTATTTCCCATAGTATTAGTGATTAATTGAGTAATGATAACTTGGTTGTACAGCTTTGCCACCAACTTTTGTACGGAAGCTGGAGAGCCAGGAGGCCGAGGAGGGGGCCAGTGTCACACTACACTGTGAGATCTCTAAACCAGGAGTCCCAGTGGAGTGGAAGAAGGGAACACAGGTCCTGAAATCTGAAGAAAAGTACCAAATGAAGCAGAAGGCCACTGTGAATGAACTCCTGATTAACAAAGTGGTACCAGAAGACAGTGGAGACTACAGCTGTGTGTGTGGAGAGCAGAAGACGACAGCTAACTTAAAAATCAAGGGTATGATGAAGATTTTAAGGAGTTTGTCTCAGAAGTTTCGAAGAAACGTTTTAGTTCTCACATACAGGGAAACGCATTCTGCAGATTTTGCATGCCACTTTGTTTTGTCAAATATCAGTTACTTCTCTGCGTCTTTTGTTTTGTTTGTTTGGTTGTTGTTTTTTTTGTGTCTCTTGGTTAATGTATTATTGCTGACCACCACATGCTAACAACATACCAAATCCTCAGCCCTACCAGTGACCTTCAAACAAAAGTTGGAGAGCCAGGAGACCGAGGAGGGAGCCAGTATTACACTGCACTGTGAGATCTCTAAACCAGGAGTCCCAGTGGAGTGGAAGAAAGGAACACAGGTCCTGAAATCTGGAGAAAAGTACCAAATGAAGCAGAAGGCCACTGTGAATGAACTCCTGATCAATAAAGTGGTCCCAGAAGACAGTGGAGACTACAGCTGTGTGTGTGAAGACCAGAAGACCACAGCTAGCATCAAGATCAAGGGTAGGGTGGAGGTTTTCAAAAAGGCCATCCTTGGAATTGTTAATCAGCTTGTTTTGCTTTATAAACATGTTGTTTTGCTGTTGTATGTTTTTGTGTCTCGTGAATTGTCAGTTTTTGTCTTCTTTTGTTCAAAGGCTGTTTTGTGTTATCTGTTATGGCATACTAAATTCTAATCACATAATCAATGCTCAGCTCTACCAGTGACCTTCAAACAAAAGCTGGAGAGCCAGGAGGCCGAGGAGGGAGCCAGTGTTACACTGCACTGTGAGATCTCTAAACCAGGAGTCCCAGTGGAGTGGAAGAAGGGAACACAGGTCCTGAAATCTGGAGAAAAGTACCAAATGAAGCAGAAGGCCTCTATGAATGAACTCCTGATCAACAAAGTTGTACCAGAAGACAGCGGAGACTACAGCTGTGTGTGTGAAGACCAGAAGACCACAGCTAGTCTCAGCATAAAGGGTAGGAAGAAGATTTGAAGATTTGATCAAAGGAAAATCCATTTTGAGAAAGTGCATCCAAGAAAATGTAGACAGATTTGCCATTGAAGCTGGTTCTCACCGCTCACTGCTTTTGGTGTTTTTTCAAAACTTAGCTGTGTTTTTGCCATCTGTTCATAGCTAGTTCTTCAAAAAAAAATATTATTTTAAATAGTACGCATGTGCCTTTGCTCGTTAAGGAAGCTTAATGAAATGCAAGCTCAATTTTGTTTGTCTTCTTTTTAATTTGCTAAAGCAAATGGAAACATTGGCTTTGACTGTGCTTAAGCTCATGAGCTCAAACATGTATACCAAGACACTTCTGATCCTGTAATACTTTTGGCAAGGCCTGTAAAGTATTGCTTTGAACATGTGATATAAATATTTAATTGCTTTGTGCTAAACTAATCGTATACTGCATGCTCAGCTCTACCAGTGACCTTCAAGCAAAACCTTGAAAGCCAGGAAGCCGAGGAGGGAACCAGTATGACTCTGCGCTGTGAGATCTCTAAACCAGGAGTCCCAGTGGAGTGGAAGAAAGGAACACAGGTCCTGAAATCTGGAGAAAAGTACCAAATGAAGCAGAAGGCCTCAGTGAATGAACTCCTGATCAACAAAGTAGTACCAGAAGACAGTGGAGACTACAGCTGTGTGTGTGGAGAGCAGAAGACCACAGCTAGCATCAAGATCAAGGGTAGGGTGGAGGTTTTTGAAGAGGCCATCCTTGGAATTGTTTATCAGCTTGTTTTGCTTGATAAACATGTTGTTTTGCTATTGTATGTTTTTGTGTCTCGTAAACTGTCAGTCTTGGTCTTCTGTGTTAAAATTCTGTATTATGTTATCTGTTCTGGCATACTCAGCGCTAATCACATAATTAATGCTCAGCCCAACCAGTGACCTTCAAACAAAAGCTGGAGAGCCAGGAGGCCGAGGAGGGAGCTAGTGTCACACTGCACTGTGAGATCTCTAAACCAGGAGTCCCAGTGGAGTGGAAGAAAGGAACACAGGTCCTGAAATCTGGAGAAAAGTACCAAATGAAGCAGAAGGCCTCTGTGAATGAACTCCTAATCAACAAAGTAGTACCAGAAGACAGTGGAGACTACAGCTGTGTGTGTGAAGACCAGAAGACCACAGCTAGCATCAAGATCAAGGGTACGAAAGATTTTGATTTATGAAGAAATCTGTCAGAGTAGGGATTTCGTCATTGTGCTTTATTTGTTGATGCTTTTAATGTAGTCTGTGTGATCCTTAATTGAAAACTGTCAATGTCATGTCATTTTTTATACCATTACTGTACATAGAATTAATATTTTAAAATGTGTATATGTCATAATAGCAAAGCACTGTGTTCTAACAACTAATACACACTCAGCCCAACCAGTGACCTTCAAACAAAAGCTGGAGAGCCAGGAGGCCGAGGAGGGAGCCAGTGTTACACTGCACTGTGAGATCTCTAAACCAGGAGTCCCAGTGGAGTGGAAGAAAGGAACACAGGTCCTGAAATCTGGAGAAAAGTACCAAATGAAGCAGAAGGCCTCAGTGAATGAACTCCTGATCAACAAAGTAGTACCAGAAGACAGTGGAGACTACAGCTGTGTGTGTGGAGAGCAGAAGACCACAGCTAGCTTAAAAATCAAGGGTATGAAGATTTGTGTTTTTAACCTCCTAATTGTTCTGAATGCATTATGTGTTATTCCATATATTTTTTTCACTTGGTTACTGCAGGAGGTTTTTTCCAGCTGTTTACTCCTTAACATATAACTGTTTTTTAGGTTGAGAGAGAAGAGTTAACACATTTCCATTTACTTTTTCAGATGGTGCACTTTAGTGTCCCTTTTCCTCTTGTTATTTTGTCCCTATCTTCGTGTCTTCATGATGCCTGTGGGCCTGCTCAACAAATTGCAGCTCTTGTTTGCTTGTTCAGTATATGATAGATCAGTATTTTGGATGTTTGCCTGGGTTCCTCTTTTGTTACTTCTGTTGACATGTGCATTTTGGTCATTCCTTTAATGATTGGATTTCCATCAGTCTCCTCCATGCAGGGCTGAAACTTCTCTTTTAGCCATGACTATCCTCAGTTTTTAATTGTGATGGTTAAAATTTCAATACGAATTGTTTCCTCCTAGCTGCAAAAGCATCAGCTCCTCTTACAAGTACCAAACTGGAATCTAAGAGGCAGGAAACCAAAGAGACAAAAGAAGGTATGATGGGGAAAAAGGCAATGTGCTGGGCTGGTTTTCAGCTTTACGTGCTTCATACATCTAAAAAACAGCGTCTGTGTTGTCATGTGCAGTCTGTCCTTAAATTGGACTTGTTCCTTTTGGCCTTTAAGGGTTGTGAAAATTTATTGAGGGTGCTTTATTGGGTGCCTCTGCTTCTTGCTTCTTGCCGTATTGTATTGCAGCTTATATGTCGGTCATTTTCCTCTTTTTGGCAGTTTGATATAAGGAAACCAAGAAATAGGAAGAAAAACAACACTTATATTCACACCAGAGGACTATAGAGTCTACCTGTTGTTGGCTGCAGTTTTTACACGCACATTTGCTTATGCTTGGCATGACTGATTTATTTTGTTGGAGAAGAATTAAGTTTTTGCATTTGCAGTTATATTGAAGCTGTTATTCTTTATCCAACATTGTCATGTACCTATCATATTTGTATTGTAGCCAAGGCCTCTGAGACTTTGTCCCAAGCTGCCAGAGACAAGCAGAAGAGGATAGAAGTAGTTGAGACAGTAGAAGGTAACGCTCCCGATTTTTGTTGTTTGGGATTATTGTTTGTAATAAATTGTGTATGCTGCGAATGCATTGCTTGACGAAGTAGGAAGAGAGAATTGCGAATCAAAGTGGATGAGTACTCTGTGTCTTGGCTTACTGCTGGTGTTATAGACAAGACTTAATCCATTATGAATTGACTTACTCCGAGTCTTGTCATAAGGTGTTGCTCAGAGGCTGTGTATGGTTTTTCTCTGCTGATATATTGCTTACCTGCGCTTTTTGGACCACCTGCTGGTAAATGGTCTTGTTTAGTTCATTATCCAGTAAATGTAATAATCGTTGTTTTTCGCGGCTGTTGCAGAAAAATCCATTTTTATCTTAACATCTGTAACTTTCTTTGGGTTACTTTGTTGCATGGTGGCTGGCTCATCAGTATGAACACACATTTTTGTTTTTCGCCTGGAGTCATTGCAAGCTACCCTGTACCACTTTGAAATATTAAGCCAGTGTTGTGTTGAACTTGATAGCTGTTATGCTGCCAACTACTGGAGAGACCCCCAAACAGCAGCTCCTAAAACTGGAGGTAGAGAAAAGTTCTCAAGAGATCAGATTGGAAGCTGAAGGTAATTAATCATACACTTGCATGGCTTTTGACATAAACTGTTTATTCAGTTCATGCATTTAGCAAGACCTCAATATCACAGTGACAATGTTATTTAAATCGTGTAGATAAAATCAAGCACTTTTGAAGAGTGGGCTCAAAGTATATTTTGTAATTTAGGCTTTTAACAGGTGACCAGTGCATAGATTCAGGTTGTAAATTTCACCTCTGTCAGGTTTTGAGGTTTATGTTGTTGTATTTTATCTCAGTTGTAAAAACAGCTGCTGGAATTGCTACAAAACAAGAAACACAGTGGCAGGTGACCAAACCTCCAGAAGAAGGTATGTTGAAGTTTCCTGCTACTTCTTCAGCAGCATTTGCATTGCTTCTCTTTGAATGTTGGCTGCTGTTCTTAGTTTTTCAGCCATGTATTATTATTGGCTGTTGCTTCCATGTGTGTCTCTAAATTGTTCAGGAGTGGTTTTCCGGAGGTTGAATTTATGTTTTGAATTATATAGTTGGGTGTTATGTGGCAATGGCTGGTCTGTTCAATACCTGTGCTGCTTCTTTGTCTCCTGCTGCTTCTCACACTGTCATTGCTTAGCTTTATGATGATATCCATTGCTGCAAATGTTGTCAGAGATGCATCAGTCATGTATAATGTCTAGCTGTTGCTTGGATGTGCATCTGTAAAGACTGAGTTGGTTTATAGGTGTTGAGTCTTAATAATTGTATATTTTTTCGGGTGTTGTGTAAATGCCTGACAGTGGCTGTGTTGTTACTCTATTCAGCTTTTCTTGTGCAGTATTTTCTGTTGTTAGTAAATAGTTTGTGTTTCTTGTTGGTCTTTATGGAAGTGATGTGATTGTCTAATTGTCAGAGGTGGTCATGTTACTAAAGACATGGTTTGTGAAAGAAATAGATAATGTGCCTTTTTATTTTGTGACGCTAAGGCTACAGAGTGTAGTTGTGTGCCATCTGTTGCATAAATGTTAATTTCATAAAAAGCTCTAGTCCTAGGTCGGTGTTCAAAGTGAATGACTTTTATCACAGCAGGAAAACCGTCAGATGTTCCTGCAGCAGAGCCTGTCAAATCTAAGGACACCAAAAAAGTGGAGGAAGGTATGAGCCCATCATTTTACAAAGTTTGGTCAGAAATGTATTTGTCCATTTGGTGGTGTTTGATATGTTTGCCTATGTGCTACCACAGTTTGCCAGGAGAAACTCTGTAGGTTCTTTGAGACTCTTCTTTTGCTGCAGCAGACTCCATGAAAATACATATAAAAAATTCCAGCAGAGCTTTTGTTTGTGTCAGGTTCAGACTCTTTTCGTCTTGCGCACAATTGGATGTCATGTTTATTCTGCTAACAAGGACTTCTAGTTTATAAAGAGATTATTGAAACTATGCATTAATTGTCTACAAATAACTCCAGTTTCAGCAGAAAAGCTGTCAGCTTCAGCAGTGTCTGTAAAAGTTGAACCTGAGAAACAAGAATCAAAGAAGAAAGTTGAAGGTATGTGATGGGAGAATAATAACACACTGTGGAGAGGCTGTTTGTATTGGGCCTGCTTTCTGCTTTCATTCATTGATTGTTGGGAGTTGTGTTTTGTCTAATTACTTGGTATGATGGTGTATGCCGTACATGCGTCATGACACAGTGTTCAGTCTGCTTTGCTTTTTCATCCTTGGATTGTGTTGCAGCTTTTATGTCAGCCCTCTCCTCTATATACAGTTTAGAAAACGGTAAACTTGGCTTATTCACATATTTGAAAAAAGATGAAACCCTTTACACTTGTACCACAAATCTGTTGTTGGCTTAAGATCTGTGTTTGTTTACTTATGTTTGGAATGACTGACTGTTATTGACATTTCATTTATTTTGTTTAAGAAAATTGCAGTTACACAGGGAGGCACTTTCACTAAATGCAGAAATTCTTATGTCTTTATCACATTTTTATTGTAGCCAAGTCACCTGAAGCTCCATCCAAAGCTGCCAGTGATGAGCAGAAGAAGCTAGTGATAGATGACACAGTAAAGGGTAATTCCCCTAATTTTTAAATTGGGTTGAAAATTGTTGAAAACACTGTATGCAGTTGGGGCATTTGGGTTTGGATTTTTTCTCATCTTGTATTATCATAACTTGTCCTTTAGCGCTTTCAAAGTGTTGGTCCAGTATTGTGTAAAATTGTAAAATCTGTTCATACTTTCAGTATGAGCCCACTATCACTTGTTGACAAATTCATTTTAAGCATGTAGAAAAATGTTATATTTGAATGTTTGGCTCAGAATCAGGAAATCAGATAACTGGAGCAGTAATTGTACTAGGACTCGTATATCTCTGTGCTGGCTCTTTTCATCTGCTGTCTCCAGCTTGTACATTTCACTTCTGTCAGATTCTGAAGTTTATGTTGTGTTTGATCTCAGTTGTAAAAACAGCTGCTGAAATAACTACAAAGCAAGAAACAAAAAACAAGGTGACCGAACTTCCAGAAGAAGGTATGAATCATTTATACTTTTTTATGGACCTGTGCCTCATTTAAGTGTCCTGCTACTTGTTCAGCAGTATTTGCATTGCTTCATGAAGATACCATTCTCTTTGAATGTTGGCTGCTGTACTTGATTTCTCAGCCATGTATATTGGCTGTTGCCGCGATGTGTGTCTCTGAAGTGTTCAGGAGTGATTTACCGGAGGTTGAATTTATGTTTTGAAGTTATATAGTTTGGTTTTCTGTGTAAATGCTTGGCAACGGCTGTTCTGTTCAGTATTTCCTGATGTTAGTGAATTATTTGTGCTTTCTCGTTGGTTTTGTGGAGGTGATGTGTTCAAAGCTGTGTCACTCTGATTGCCAGAGGTGTTTTTCATGCTCCTCAAGTGATTTTGCTATGTGAGGCAAAAAGAGTATTGCAACTACCCCTGCTGTGATTTGGCTTCAGTCTGTACAGTTGCGTGTAATGTTTATACCACAAAAAGGTGCTGTCCTAGTTCAGTGTTTAAAACTACTGATATCATGAACATTTTCATTTGCTACTCTTTTGCAACTCTCAGCTGTGCAACACTTTGTATGTCCTCTTAGATCCGTCTTTTGCTGCAGCCCACCGTGTGTATGTAACATCCATAAAAAATCAGTAGAGAGCTTCTATTCATGTCAGTTTTAGATATTTTAAAATCTAGTGTTATTTAGGCTGTGCTTCCTTGACCTTGTGGCTGTAGGATGTATGTCAAGTTGCATATCACTTCTAAATGGACGTCATGTTTAGTGATGCACGATATGAAAAATTTCAACCGATACCGATAACCGATAATTTTCTTCTTCTCATGGCCGATACCGATAACCGATAAATTCATATTTTTACATTTATTATAATCTTCATATAATCTGCAGTTTGTGCAGGATGCAGCGATTGAAAACTGATGTTTTTGTTGCTCTGGCCTCTCTAGAACAACAAACAAAAGTTTTTGGCTCTTCAAATGTGGTCATTTGCTATAAATAACAATAACAGAGCAAAAAGCAGAACTTCATTTGATCCCCTGAACTGTTCAACAGAACTGTAAACTGTAAAGGAGCTATTATGAGACATTAGGCTTAGCATGCTGACCGGACTAACATCTGACGTCCATATGTCTGTGGTAAAACTCACGTGTAGTCCGTTCTTGTCGATCAGGTTGTGAATGTATGTGGCGACAATATCATAGAGTGCAGGAAGAGACACATCCGAGAAGAAGCGGCGGCTCGGGAGAGTGTAACGTGGCTCCAAGTGTGCTATTAACTTGCGAAAACCCGGGTTCTCAACGACGGAAAAAGGCTGGTCGTCGACCGCTATGAACTCCATCACTTTGTCGTTAATGGCTTTAGCCTTTTCGCTGTCTCTTGAGAAGCTTTTGCAGTCTTTAAACGCCCGCTGAATGGGGACATCGATCCTCCGTAGTGTTGTTGCCTTAGCTTTAGTACCGCTAGCAGCTTCGGCGGCTGTCTCATATTCTTTTACTACCGCTTCGCCGCGATGGCGACTTTTCAGATGAGCTATCAGATTCGCTGTGTTAATATTTGACGTCTTCTTTCCTCCTCTCGGAATCCTCGCTGAACAGGTTTTGCATATAGCAATGCTGTTGTCATCTTCTGCCACTGAGAGAAACGACTATGCTGGTGAAGACATTTTATTATCTGTCAGGTAGTGACGGGGTCAGGCTTGGGACCTGCGAGTAAGGCGCGATAGATGACGTAACCAGCGCGTCTCGGACGGGCGGCTAATCCGCCTGCAAACGTTACTCGTAATTTCATTAATATATCGGATCTTTCTATCGGAAAAATGCACCTATCGGACCGATAAAAATGACGTAATTTCCCCCCAAATCGGCCGATATTTTATCGGTCCGATAAATATCGTGTATCCCTAGTCATGTTTGATTTGCAAATGAAGAGTTCAAGTTTAAAATGAGATGATTTTAGATGTACATTTTGTCTACAATTAACTTCAGTTTCAGCAGAAAAGCCATCAGCTTCAGCAGTGCCGTCAAAAGTTGAACCAGTGAAACAGGAATCAAAGAAGAAAGATGAAGGTATGTAATGGGCATATGGAGGGGCCGTTATATTAGGGCCTGCTTTTCTGCTTTCATTCATTGAATTGTCAAGAGTTGTGTTTTGCTGATTCACTTGGTGTGATAGTATATGCCTTACATTGGTTAAAATACAGTGTACTGTCTGCTCTGTTCGGCTTATTCCTTGATTGTGTTGCAGCTTTTATGTCAGCCCTCTCCTCTGTATGCAGTTAAGCAAATGGTATATCTGGCTTAATCCAGTATCAGGAAGAAAGGACTATTTGTATATGTGCCACAAGTCTGCTGTTGACTAAAGCTCTATGCCCATTTACTTATGACTGATTGTTATTAACATTTCATTTATTTTGTTTGAGAAGAATGAGGTGTTATTTTGCAGTTACACAGAGAAGCCATTTCACTAAATGCAGAATTCCTATGTCTTTATCACATTTTTATTGTAGCGAAATCACTTGAAGCCCTATCCAAAGCTGCCAGTGATGAGCAGAAGAAGCTAGCAAAAGATGACACAGTAAAGGGTAATTCTACTAATTTTCTTAAAGTGCTGAGAGTTTTGAATATCAACTGCATGGTGACTCCATGTTTGAGATTTTTTTTCCTCAACTACAGTTGTCATGAACTACACTGAAGCTTTTTTAAGTGGTTGTTTAATGGTGTGTTTAATTTGACAGCTGTTACACTGCAGTATCTGAGATAATCATATTAAGTTGAGTCAGGTTTTTTAATTGGTGACTAGGACAGAGTACATGTACAATATATGTTTGTGCTGGCTCTTATCATCTGTTGTCTTCAGGATGTAGATTTCCCCTTTGTCAGATGTTGAGGTTTATCTTGTGTTTTATCCCAGTTGAAAAAACAGCAGCTGAAATAGCTACAGAACAAGAAACACAGGGGCAGGTGACCAAGCCCACAGGAGAAGGTATGGAAAGATTTATACTTTTTATGGACTTGTGCCCTTCAAAGTCTGCTTCTACTTCTCGCTCCGTCTTTGCATTTCTTCACAATGATACTTGACCTCTTCAAATGTCGCCTGCTGTCAAAGATTTGTAAGTCACGTATGATGTCTGGCTGTTGCTGGGTTGTGTATCTGTATTGGTTTGGCGGATGACATAAAGGATTAAATTCTGTGTACTGAGTTATGTGTTCAGGTGTTATGTTAATGCCTGGCAATCGCTGTTGTGTTGCAGTCTTAAGCTGTCCTTACAAGAATTACTGATGTCTTGGCATTGCTTGATGGAGATACCATTCTCTAGGACTGTTGGCTGTGTCTGTACTTTTTGTTGGTTTTGGTAGAGGTAAGGTGATCAAAGATATGTGACTGTGATATCTAGTAAGGTCTTTGCTACCTTAAAGATTTTGCTTTGTGAGGAAAGAAGTATATTGCAACTTGTCTTACTGTGATTTGGCTTCAGTCTTTGTATTTATGCGCTATGTGTTGCATAAATGTTATTTCTCTGACAAGATGCAGTCCGTGTGGTTGTGATCAGGCTTAAATGTTTTATCACAGCAGAAAAGCCATCAGATGCTCCTGCAGCAGAGCCTGTACAATCTGAGGACACCAAAAAAGTGGAAGATGGTATGAACCCATAGTTTCAAAATGTAAAAAAAGACTATTTTGTTTTTTTTTTGTCAGAAATGTATTTATCTCTTTTGTGGATGAGACAGGATATTTCTCCACGGTTTTGACCTTTGGCTGTAAAATAAATCCATTGCATCTTGCTTCTGATTGGTTGTCATGTTTAGCCTGCTGATGAAGAGTTAAAGTTTATAAAAAGATGATTAAGAATATTTTTTTTCAATAACAAATAGCTTTAGTTTCTGCAGAGAAGCCACCAGCTTCAGCTGAACCTGAGAAACAAGAACCCGAGAGCATAGTGGAAGGTATGTGGTGGAGGTGTAAGAAAACAACGAATAGAGAGGCTGCTTGTACTGGGATTGCTTTCTTCTTTCATTCATTTGATTGGCCGGAAGACTTTCTGTGTCATGATTACATTTGTATTGTAGCCGAGTCACCTGAAGTTCCATCCAAAGCTGCCAGAGATGAGGAGACAAAGCTAGAGATAGATGACACAATAACGGGTAATTCAACTTTTTCTGCAAGTGAATGTTGTCCTTTTGAATGTGTTATAAACACTGTATGCAGTAAGGGCATTGTTTGATTTGGTTAAGAAAAATAGAGATGGACATAAACAACAAACTGAACAATCACTCCATGTTTGGGGGCTGGAAAATCTGAAATGGGAGATAGAGAGAGACTTGGGAATTAAACTGAGCATGATCTCAATATCACTCACTGACAACTTTATTTCAAGTATCTGGAAATTGAGATCTGGAAAAAAAACATATTTAAGTGTATCAAGATGTAAACAAATGACTAATGGTATAGAGATTGTAAAGGATACGTGTCCATGCGGGTTCTTATATGTTGTCTTCAGGGTGTAAATTTCACCTCTGCAAGGTTTTGAGCTTTATGTTGTGTTTTATCCCAGTTGATAAAATAACTGATGGAATAGCTGCAGAACAAGACACGCAAAAGCAGGTGACTGAACCTCCAGAAGAAGGTATGAAAAGATTTTGTGTCTCCTGCTACATCAAGCTCCGTCTTTGCATTGCGTTTTATGATACCAGTCTGTTCAGATGTTGGCTGCAGTACCAGATTTTCCAATCATGTTAATTGTTTGGCTGTTGCTGGGTTGTGCATCTGTTTTGGTTTGGTCGCTGACATGACTGATTGAACTTGAGTACTGGTTGGAGTATCATGTTGTTGGGTGTTGTTTTAATGCCTGGCAGTCGCTGTTGTCCCTTATGTACATGAAGTGAAATGTTTTTGCTCTCTGTTGTTTCTGTGAAGGTGATCTGGTCTGGTCTTAGCTAATTGCTGGTGTTCTCAGGCAGGACTTGCACCATTATGAATTGGCTTTGGATCTTGTTGTCTGAAGAAATATTTTCAAGGTTGTATGTGAATTGTTCTATTGTTCTGTTAAAGTGCTCACTTGTGCATTTTGGACCAGCTGCTGGGAAATGTTCCTGTTTGATAGATAAAATAAACAATGTTATTTTTGTTATTTTGGGGCTTAGGCTGCTATTTTTGATAAGCGTTTTTGGTAACCCTTTCTTTTACAGTACACTTATTACCAGGTAATTAACAGGAAATTACCTAGTAACAACATGATAACTACTAAGTCAATACTGTCTAGTTTTCTAATCCTGGAAATACCAGAGCAATTTGGCTTCAAATTTGTATGATGATGGAAGGTTACCTACCTGGTAGCTAGACAGTTTTGACTTAGTAGTTATCCTGTAATTACCAGATAATTTCATGTTGTTACTAGGTAATTACCTGTTAATTACCTGGTAATAAGTGTACCGTAAAAGAAAGCGCTACTGCATTGTTTTTTTTCCTGCCACTTGAAATATGGAGGTCTTCAAGTGACTATTTTGCATGGCTGCTGGCTCATTGGTATGAAGATACAGTTTTGTGTCTGTCTAATCTAATGTTGTTTTCAATTCCTTAGTTGTTACACTGCCAGTTACAGAGCAGACCCCCGATCAGCAGCTCCCTATAAAACAGGAGATAGAGAGAGATTCACAAGAGGTCCAATTAGAAGCAGAAGGTACTTAGTCACAAGCTTGCATGGCATTCAAGAGTAAATTGGAAATCTGGAAGCTGTGAAAACTTCATATTTGTAGATATTGTTAGGTTGTCTCTGTCAGATTGAGAAGTATATATTGTGTTTTATCCCAGTTGGAAAAACAGCTGCTGAAATAGCTAAAGAACAAGAAACACAGGGGCAGGTGACCAAACCTACAGAAGAAGGTATGAAGAGATTTGAAGTCTTTGTGGACCTGTGCCTCTTTAAAATGTTCTGCTTTATCTTGCTCAGTATTTGCATTGCTAAATGATGAAACAGTTATCTAAAATGTTGGCTGCTGTTCGAGATGTTTTTATGTTTGGCTGTTGCTGGGTTGTGTGGTTTTATGGGTTCAGTGTTTGACAAATAGGAGTTAAATTTTGAGTGCTGAATTATTGGGTGTTGTGTAAATGCCTTGATTCTTTGGCTATCCTTGTACGTTAGGTCCTGATTGTAATGAAATGTTGACTTTATTGTTAATTTTGTGGATTTTAAAGGTTTTCATACTACCCCAAAAGTTTGCTTTTAATTTTTAGTCTTATGGTTATTTTGGGGCTTAAGCTGCTATTTTTGATAAGCGTTTTTGGTAACCCTTTCTTTTACGGTACACTTATTACCAGGTAATTAACAGGTAATTACCTAGTAACAACATGGTAACTACTAAGTCAATACTGTCTAGTTTTTCTTTTTTTTTTCTTTTTTCCTTGCAGCTCCATTCTCAAAAGCTATTTGGGGTTCTTATTTTCTATATTGACACTTGATACAGTCTATGGGCGTGGGAAGATTGCGTAGCGATACGCTGTTTGAGCCAAGCATTATCACAGCGACTCATCCACCGAATGCGTACAATGCTACTGCGCAAGAGGTGGTTCCAGGAAGCGGAGAAAATCCTGGAAATACCAGAGCAATTCGGCTTCAAATTTGTATGATGATGGAAAGTTACCTACCTGGTAGCTAGACAGTATTGACTTAGTAGTTATCATATAATTACCAGATAATTTCATGTTGTTACTAGGTAATTACCTGGTAATAAGTGTACTGTAAAAGAAAGCGTTACTGCATTGTTTTTTTTCCTGCCACTTGAAATATGGAGGTCTTCAAGTGACTATTTTGCATGGCTGCTGGCTCACTGGTATGAAGATACAGTTTTGTGTCTGTCTAATCTAATGTTGTTTTCAATTCCTTAGTTGTTACACTGCCAGTTACAGAGCAGACCACCGATCAGCAGCTCCCTATAAAACAGGAGATAGAGAGAGATTCACAAGAGGTCCAATTAGAAGCAGAAGGTACTTAGTCACAAGCTTGCATGGCATTCAAGAGTAAATTGGAAATCTGGAAGCTGTGAAAGCTTCATATTTGTAGATACTGTTAGGTTGTCTCTGTCAGATTGAGAAGTATATCTTGTGTTTTATCCCAGTTGAAAAAACAGCTGCTGAAATAGCTAAAGAACAAGAAACACAGGGGCAGGTGACCGAACCTACAGAAGAAGGTATGAAGAGATTTGAAGCTTTTGTGGACCTGTGCCTCTTTAAAATGTTCTGCTTTATCTTGCTCAGTATTTGCATTGCTAAATGATGAAACAGTTATCTAAAATGTTGGCTGCTGTTCGAGATGTTTTTATGTTTGGCTGTTCCTTGGATGTGTGGTTTTATGGGTTCAGTGTTTGACAAATAGGAGTTGAATTCTGGGGGCTGAATTATTTGGTGTTGTGTAAATGCCTTGATTCTATGGCTGTCCTTGTACATTAGTTTCTGATTGTTGTGAAATGTTGACTTTGTTGTTAAATTTTGTGGATTTTAGAGGTCATCATGCTACCCCAAAAGTTTGCTTTTAATTTTTAGTCTTATGGTTGGGCTTCAGTCTGTGTATGGATGTGCTATGTGTTGTGTAAATGTTTATTCCATGAAAAGCTGCAGTTCTTGGTCAGTGTTCGAAGTGAATAATTTTGACTAAAGGAGTCATATCCTGGGTGTGATCAGGCTCTATTGTTTTATCACAGCAGGAAAGCTGTCAGATGCTCCTGCAGCAGAGCCTGTCCAATCTGAGGACGCCCTAAAAGAGGAGGAAGGTATAGACCCTCACTTTCATGATGTGAAAATTGATCCTTTTGGAAGTGTCAGGTGCCATTTACTTATTTTTATGACAAGCTCTTAGCCACTTTGTAGGTTTTTGAGATTCTTCTTTTGCTGCAGCACACTCTGTGAATATACACCCACTGGCCACTTTTTAGGTACATCTGTTCAGTTGTTTGTTAACACAGATAGCCAATCAGCCAATCCCACTCACTACATTTAGGCATGTAGGTGTGGTCAAGATGACTTGCTAAAGTTTAAATGAAGCACCAGAAATGGGATTTAAGTGACTTTGAATGTGGCATGGTTGTTGATGCCAGACGGGCTGATCTGAGTATTTCAGAAACTGATGATTTACTGGGATTTCCACATACAACCACCTCTAATAAAGTGGCCGGTTAATGTATGTATTATACAAAAACACAGTGGAGAGCATTTGATCATGTCAGTTTAAGACACATCAATTCTGTGTTGTGCTGTCCTGAATATTGAGGGTGTAAACACTGTGCTGCATCATGCCTGTGATTATCTCGTTGAGTCTGACATTGAAGAGTTCCACTTTCCTAAAGCTTTACTAAAGCAACATTTTGTGTTACACACAAATCACTCCAGTTTCAGCAGAGAAGCCACCAGCTTCAGCAGTGTCCTCAAAAGTTAAACTTGAGGAACAGGAATCGGAGGAGGAAGTTGAAGGTATGTGGTTGCACTGAACTCCAAGAAAGTCATTTATACTTGGTTTGAATGGGACTGTTTATGTTTGCCTGGAATCACTTGATGTTAAAGCGTAAGCCTGAACTGTTATGTTGTGACGCAGCATACTTGCATCTGGAGGATTTTTATCACTTTTCTTGCTAATTTTTGTCTTATCTGTTGACGAAGTAAGAGTTGCATATTGGCCTTTTTATGTTGCATCATTTATGAGCTCATTGTTGCTTTTTTTAGTTGCTTGTTCTATTCTGGCTTGTTCTAGTAAAATTTGTGTTTACCTGTGAATGCAAGATTTGTTGTATTTTGGAATGCTGTTATTTTCAACAGGAAGTTGTGAGAGCTGTGTTTAATGGATATGAAAAATGCACCTCTGGTTTGACTGAGAGGACAGATCATTGGCTGTGTATCAGTGCTATGTTGGATGTGTGTGTTTGTATATATTTAGTTGTTTTGTCTCATTTGTTTTTTGTTGTATTCTAGTTCCTAATGCGGTGTTTCTTAACTTTTCTTGGCTCCTGACCATACTTTGATGTCATAAAACTCTCGTCAACCTCAGAGAGACCTCAGGCGGTGTTTGGTGCTTTGATTAAGACATCAACCAAAGTTTCAGTACAGCAGACCAATATTTTGCATTTTATTTGAATACTATTTTAGTGAGGGGATCTGAAAAAATAAGATGTACCCAATTCACATTTCATGAGACATTATTAGGATTATTATTATGGTGATAAAAGATAAATATATTTTGGTTGTTTGTATTGTTCTAGTTTTGTTTTTTGTTTTTTGTCATGTAGGCTGTTGTGAGTTGTGGTTATTGACGTTGTCTTTGTGTTTGTGCTGTGATGTTTTTTGTGCACTGCAATGGAGAGCTAATTGTAAATGTAGACTCCAGGAAGAATAGCGATGGCCTTAGCCAAAGCTAATGGGGATCTAAATAAATGAAATGAAATGAAATTATGGAGCTGGATAGCCAGGAGAGAGTTAGTGTCTCTCTACTCTCTTTAAACATGGACTCCCTGTTTAGTGGAACTTAAGTTCTGAGTTGTGGAGATAGCTACAAACAAAAACATTCAAATCTCACATTTCATTTACACCATTCTAGACATAAATAAGGTGCAAACTGGTTGCTCCTTTTAATCCAAGAGCTTGAAAGCCATACAGCTGGTGAGGTGTAAAGTTTGACCCTGCACTGTGAACACTCTCGACCTGTTGTTTCTGTGGAGTAGAGGAAAGAAGAACGTTGTCTTTATCCCTGTGCACAGTATGAAATCACGATGATACAGACCCAGAGGATTCTGGGAGTTACAGATGTGACACTGGTTACTGCCAAAGTAGCTGTGAAGGGTATGCTTTGAAATCATGGTTTGGTGTAGATTATAATTGACTGATGACTGGTCTGAAAGAGTCGGTACTGTAATTGTTGCACATTCAGTCTTGGTTGTAGAAATGTTGACGGAATATAAGGCTTTTGTCATATTTACTGTTTGTTGTTGATCACGAATATTTTGTTTTATAATAGTGATGTCAGATGATCAATTGAATTGAACTTGTTTGTTCCGAACATGAAAACAGAAAGGTGAAGAAGAAAACATACATATACGCACATATTGCACATATACAAACATACATATGTGTACACATACACACATGCAAAATAAGACTCTAAATTGGGCCTTCCTTTGTCTCGGTTACCCACAATGCTTTGTCCTCGTGTTCTTTCCTGCAGCCCAGCCAGCTTTTTTCAAAACTGAGCTGCAGAACCTTAAAGGGATTGCTATTTTTCGTTGTGAGACCACAAAGCCGGGAGCCTGCATGGTCTGGAGGCGCGGTGACAGGGTCCTCGCATCCGGCAGCAAGTATCAGCTGAAACAAGAAGGAACCACAGCCGAGCTTGTAATCTATAAACTGCAGAGAGCCGACTCTGGAGTATATTCCTGTGATACTGGGAGCCAGAGGACCTCTGCTGTCCTCACTGTACATGGTAGGGGATGTCTCTTAAAGACGGTCCTTCTCTCCGTTTGGAATCACAACTTTTCTTGTTCCCCACATCAACCAACACTTGAGCATGCGAGCAAGGACCGCTCATTTGGAGATTCACTTCTTGGTTGCATTGACACTTTCAAGCGTTATTTCTCATCCCAAATGTTTTCTTGCCTTGTGGCCTTCACATAAACTTTATTCTGTCGGTCTTGGTCACTTATCACTTTTTACTCTCTCTACTACTCTTAACACACCTAGTATCCTTTGAACCACTTGCTGTTCACTGCTACATAATCTTTATCTATTTTAAAACACCTTGGTCACCATCAAACCTTTGTGCCCACTTGAGACGACTAACGCGTGACTCTTCTGCTGACGTGTATTTGTCAAACAGAGGTGGAGATCACCATCGTGAAATTCTTGGAGAGCTGTGTCGTGTGCGAAGGCGAAGATGTCCACTTCCAGTGTTTGGTATCCCACGAAGAGGCACCTGCAGCCCAGTGGAAACTTCAGGATGTTCCACTGCAGAATAATGAAATGAACCTAATCAAGGCGGACGGCTGCGTACACAGCCTAACGCTCAGGGGCGTCACCACAGCTGATTCAGGAACAGTGACTTTCACTGTGGGTAACAATACTTCCACTGCATCTCTGACAGTTAAAGGTAAGGGGAGTCTGCTTTCGACAATATTTCTTGGGGTGAGAGTGACTACTAGCAGTTTGCTCCCACAGTAACATGCGTATCCTTTCTCTGGTCTTTTTTGTCTTCTTTGTTGGAAACCCTCCCTCCATCTTTTAACAGCTTCCCAAAACATGGATGCTAATGATCTCTTGGTGCCTCCTTTTTATTTCCACCTTTCCTTCACTAAATCCTGAATTGTTCTCCATCCATCTTACCTTCCTTTTCTTTAGATTTGCACTTAACTTGAGCCACATTTTCATAAATGCTGCATGTCCCTTCCTTTTCCCATTTTGATAATGACTTGAAACATTTCTCTTCTACACTTTGACTCACTATTCAAACTCCACATAGGTATTGTTGATGTATGTTTCCTTTTAATTCTTGTTCAGAGCACTTATGAACAAGTCAGAACGTTTAGACTAGGGTCCTGCAGGACAACCTTTATCGCATGATTGTCCTCTCATGAAATGGGGCTAAAATTTGGACACTTATCAGGAGTGTGATTGACTAGAAATCTTTTCTCTCATATTGTGTTTTGGTCATAGACATAAACTTAACATCATGTACAGCGTGGTTTTTTGATTTGGTTTTCAGAATTTCTCATAAATATGAGCGTTGGTTAGAGTGATTGCACTCCAGTCATTGTTTTATCATCTTATGAGGATGGCTTACCAGAGATGTGACAGTTATTTTCATGCTCTGTTTGAAGCTGCTTGTTGATTTAGGATTGGTAGAGCAGTTAAACCAAGTTGTCAGTGAGTTTGGTGGTTTTCCCAATGGGCATAGTTTGACCTTCAGAAAATTTGAAACCATTCATCCTAACCTATAACGGTCTTCCCAGCAGCTGCTCCTGTAGTATTCAAGAAGGAGCTGGAAAGTCAAGAGGCCACTGAAGGACAAAAGGCTACACTGTCCTGTGAGACATCCAGTCCTGACTGCAAGGTGACCTGGCTAAAGGGATCCACATTGCTCACCCATGGGGAGAAGTACAGCATGGAGCAGAAGGCTACCACTCACACACTGGTCATACACAAACTGGATGTGAAGGATGGTGGAGAATATACCTGTGACACAGGGGATAAGAGAAGTACTGCGACCCTGACTGTGAAAGGTAACAGAACACAGCCTCATCCCATCTTTGTCTCACCTCCTCTGTCCTCGTTCTTCATGAAGCTCATTTAATATTCATCATCCCGTTAACAAGCACTGGATCTGATGTCTACTCTGCATTAATTTCGCTTGGATTTCACAGTCTCTGATTTTTGTGTTTGGAGTCACAGTTGGCATGTAGTGTAAATCTGACTAAACTGTCTGATGTTGGCAGTATTAGTATCATTTTTTAGGTTCCTGTTATGAGCAACCAAATTGCAGTTTTAGTGATTGGATTTTATTGACAGTTTGTTCAGCTAGTATGATTTTATTCAGTTAGTTTTAAATTCTCTGATGCTAAATAGATGCCATTAAAATAGTGCATGCCAGAGTGCTATCAACATGATTTTGGGATCAAACTTGAGACTCAAAGTGATATGAGAGTATGGGCCATGACTATACCTTCTAAGTGATGCCTTCTGGAAGCTTTGATCACTGACCCTCCATCGTCCCATTCACCCTCAGAGCATGTGCGCATCATCCGAGAGCTCTGCGACATTACTGTGACCACAGGACAGGACGCTGTCTTTGAGGTTGAGCTGTCACACTCGGGTGTGACAAACTGGGAGTGGTGGCTCGGAGATAATCTCCTCCAAAATAATGACCTGAATCAAATGAGCAGCCATGGCACGGTGCAGCGTTTGGTCCTGAAGATGGTGACCACAGATGAATCTGGGGATGTTGCCTTTGTTGTTGGAGAAGAGAAGAGTGTGGCCTGCCTGCTGGTGGAGGAGAAACCCAAAGGTAAAGGAGATGACATGGTCACTCGTCATTATTCATTCCATCTCCATCGACCACCAAACAGCTTTGTCTTGGCAAATGGAAATCTACTAGCACCTCCATCCTCAACATCCTAACTTGCAGCAGTTTTCAGCTCTATCCCATTTTGTTCTTTTTAGTTTCCTTTAAAAGGAATCTTAACATAATGCTAACACACATTTTAACCAAAGGAAAAAAAATTCACAATGAGATTTGGATTAATATATTAACAACAAACTTCAAAGGCCTCTGGCTATTAAGCTGATAAAATTGTGGATTTTACTTGCCATACTGTAAAATTTGTGATGGCAGGTAACAGTCACAGCATGCATGCATGCATGGCTTAATATAAAAATATATATTCATTTATAAAGGGGTATTATAATGGAAAGAGAAATATTGCATTTAATTGCTAAACATGTTAAATGTAGTTTTGGGTGTCCCATATTTACAGTGCTAATACTAGAGAAACCACACAACACTGTGGCGTTAGAGGGTGAAACTGTCACTCTGGCCTGCACCACCTCCGACCCCAAGGCAACTCTCACCTGGATGAGAAACAACACAGCCATCAGAGCAGGTCCTAAGTATGACCTGAAGCAAAATGGAGCATTCCACCAGCTCCGTATCCACAACCTGCTGCCTGAAGACTCAGGAACGTACACCTGTGATACTGGAGATGCACAGTGTGAAGTCACCTTGACAGTGGAAGGTAAAGAAAGATGCCTCTAAAATAAAAAAAAAAATGAGATTCAAGATTGTGGACCAAGATAGGATTGAAGTGGTCATCTGAAATGTTCTTGAGCTTCCATTTCCAAATCCCGCCCTGGCATCTCTATGCAGCAGTAAAACTTTCATCCAAAGTCCATCTGGGATGTTTGTCATGTTATCTCAACTATCTAAAGCCCAACTTTCAGCTCTGCATCTGATGCCAAGTTTTCCCATTTTAAATTCTCAACAGGTGCCCCAGCGTTCTTCCAGAAAGAGCTCAAGAACCACGATGCAATAGCGGGTGATGATGTCACCCTGCACTGCGAGCTATCTAGGCCAGGTGTTCGTGTTGAGTGGAGAAAAGGAGGCATGATCCTCCAGCCCAGTAAGAAGTATGAGATGAGGCAGAAAGGGTGCGTTCAAGAGCTCTTTATACAGAACCTGGAGCCTGAAGACACTGGCTACTACACCTGTGATGCTGGAGACCAGCTTACGACAGCATCTTTGGCAGTGCAAGGTAGCCTTTTCAATAATGTTGCATTGATCTTTGATTTAATATCAGGATGATAAACTATACGTTTAGCTAAGAGAGGAACTTGTCTTTGTCTTGTCTTTATAATGTAGGATTTGCATGTTATTTTTCGTCCGTCATGTATATGTCGTTCTGTTTTGTTGAGGTAATGCTGATAATGATCAAGTTAAAAGCTGAGTGAATGCATATGTATTTTTTTGTTTTTTATTTTTATTTTTTGCTCAACAGCAAAAGAAGTCAACATTGTGTGTGGTCTTAAGACCACTGATGTCTTTGTTGGGGAATGGGCAACCTTCTCCTGCCAGCTGTCTGGTAGGGCACCTGGCAAAGTGCAGTGGTGGCTTGATGGCACCCTGATGGAGAACAGCCCCTCTTGTGAGATAGGACTGAGCCAGGGCAACATCCACACTCTCATCTTAAAGAACCTGGCCACTGATCACTCAGGCACCGTCACTTTCAAAGCTGGCAGTTTAATTTCAACAGCCAAGCTCTTAGTCAAAGGTAGCACTGAGATCAACAGTGTCTTCTCTATGGACCCTGCAGAAATTTTGATTGAAATCCAACAAAAACAAAAGTCTGAGTTTCTCTCAGATGGTAATGTGCATGTTTACCATTGTAACATTACCTTAATTTGAAATAAATGATTGGAGCAGGTGAAAAAAATTGCATCTAAATTTCACTCCTTTTAAAGAATTTGCTGGAATAAACTTTAATATCATGAAATCTGATATTTTCTGCAGGGTTTCTATGAACAGTCTGGAGTTTGTGACTAGATGAATAGTGGAAAGATTTTGTCTTGTCAGCGCTTTATCATGCATGCATATGTTTTTTGTCTGATTTTACCATTCATAGAAATAATGACATTAGAGACTTTCATACTGTATGCTCATTTACCACCTAAACATACAACTGGGTGCAGCATCATTTCAGAGATTTAACCAGATAGAGCTGAGAGCTTCTCAATCCAGCATAGAAACACTTTGATAAAAAGTGTAATCAGCAGTTGATTTAAATGAAAAATCTGTTTTTTATACTTATTGGATTCACTCTAAGACCTTCTTTGTGCAGAGTATGGGGCTGCTGAAATAATAATTCAATAATCACATCTTATTTGTAAGATCATAGTTTTTACACAACTCTTCATCCATCTTTGGGAACAGTATGGGTTCACAACTCAAGAAACATCTAATTCTACTGATATATTACAATCTTGATCGAACAGGAAGAGTCTCATTACTGATGTTATATGTGTAAGATAAAATCCGAAGCTGAGTGGGCATACAGCTGGTTTATTTTTATGTTAAAAGAGACCAGATTGGTTATTGGATCAGAATGTCTGTCTGTGTGCCACTCTATTGAGGTTGTCTGGGCTCACACCTCTGGGTCACCTCACACGGCACATGAATGTTTGAATCCCCCAGAAGGAGATATAAAATATTACTTGGGAGGTAGTTGTCTGGTACTCACCACCATTTAGGTTACTTTCACCATGGTGGTTAGTACCATGACCTCTAAGCAGGAAAGTTCCTGGTTTGATTCTGAGGGCGCCGGGTTTCTTTGTGAATTCCACATGTTCTCTCATTGTTGCCTGAATTTACTTAGTTCTGCTGAAGAAAATTCTGCCACGCTCCTTATCAGCTTGGATTGGGTCCAGTTTCCATTTGAAATAAGAGGATAAACTTTAAGCAAAAAGTGTATTTTGAAGTATCCCTAAAATACACATCATCCACTCTAAAACCACAGCTGTACTTCATGTTGTTGTAGCAAGAATCTGCTACTCTTGATGACTGGTTAGTGTCTAAATGTGAATCAGTGTCTGTTTGTTCATGCATTTGCACCTTTTGCATATCAATTCAAATTCAAGCCTCTTTGCATAATATTGCCCATAAAAGGTCATTCGTGACTCTGCATTCGAATGATTGCACCAGCAACATCACTGCTAGCTTGACAATATCTAAACGTACTGCTGAAATGTAGTGATCTGCTGTTGTCATATCATGTATTTGGGATTTCCTGTGCAGTGGAACCAGTCTTACTGAAGCCACAACTTTCTCTGGCTAGAAAAGAAGAGTTACATGTGAAACCCTAGAGGCAAATATTTGTGACTTTGAGTTGTGTTGTGTTTTTAAACAGCGCCCTTCTGGCTCCAAACATTAAAAACACAAGTGTGTTTGGGATTATTTACGATTTAATGTGCAGCCCTGAGTGCGTTTATGTTCCTTTGAAATGTAAATCAACAGTGATACTCAATTCATGATTGAATTGGTCCTGGTGATTTCAAGTTTTGACTGTCATAAAGTGAGTTAGTGAACCACAGAATGACGGCAACAGAAATGTTGCGTTAGTAAAGTGCTGCTCCACCCATCCTTGCAGGCTGGCTGCTGTTTATAACTGATTTTCCATTCACTTCCATCCCACCAAGCCCTGCCCCTAACCTGCAAGCACTAAAACCTCTAACCCCCCCATATGCCAATCTGTGAGTTTGGCATTTTTGTCCTCATATCCTCCTTCTTTGCTTCATCAGCTGTGATCACTCCTTGGCCCTCTATTCTGATCTCCTTGACAGTTGGTCTTTTAACCCCCATTTACACATTAAATTTGGCAGATCACATAGAAAATACAGAGTACCAGTGAACATCAGAGTATATCTTAAGCGATATTCACCTTGGCACATGCACTTTGCACTATGCAGTCCAGAAAGACCCAACATTACTTGGTCTGATGTACACACCACTCTCGCTCCTGGGGGTTATAAAGCCGACATGTCATTAGGCATGTCCTGCATTTGTCCTTGTATCTCCTGGTCAAGCCCTGACCTGACCCTATGACCTCAACCTCAGATCCCACAGTTGAAGTGGTGAACGAGATGGAGGACCTTTGGGTGGTCCAAAACCAGCCAGCTGAGTTCATCTGCCAGTTCTCAAGGCCGGTCAAAGCTCAGTGGAAAAAAGACGGGCAGCCATTGCAGCCTGATGGCCGAAGGGTGATAGTGGAGCAGGACTGGAATGTGGCTCGCTTGTACATTAGCCGGGTGTCAGCTGAGGACAGGGGCACATATTCCTGTGAGGCACAGGGGGCCTGCGTGGTCGCTTCACTTCATGTGGAAGGTGAGCTTCCCTCCACATGGAAAGAGCATCAACCTTAAGTGATCCTCCTCTGGTCCTTTATACGGCTAAATACACAGATCAGTTGCTGATCATCAAAGACCTCCTTTCTTAGAAAGTCCAAATTTGACCTCTCAAACATTGTCTTCATGACGGTTTTTTGATTTTGCTTTCTTTCTCCATTTTTTTCCCCATTTAATTCTACAGCCAAACCCATTGACATTGTCCAGGGCCTGGAAAATGTAGAAACCTTTGATGGAGGTGAGGCATTGTTTGAATGTGCCCTGTCTCGTCCTGAGAGCAAAGATTGCAGCTGGCTCCTTGATGGGAAACCTGTGAAAGAGTCCCCTAATGCAGAGATTGTGACATTTGAGAGTGGTCGTCGTCATCTGCTTCTGCTGAAGGAGCTGCGTGTTAAGGACAGTTGTACAGTGACGTTCAAGGCTGGCACAGCATCCACATCGTCACAACTTTCTGTCAAAGGTAAGTCTTTAAAATGAACCTCACAAGACTTGGAAGTTTTACTCATCACATTATCTTACATAATATATTCATTTGCATGCATAATACACTTAAAAAGACATAGTTAAAACACTGTGATGTTTTGTATTCTCCTCATAAGGTTGGCAGCTTGATGTTGTGAAGGGTCTGGAGGACAAGGTGGCAGCAGTGGGAGAAAAAGTGGAGTTTTGTGTGGAGCTCAATGAGCCTATCCCTGCGTCAGAAATAACCTGGTACACTAATGGAGTTGAGCTCAAACCCAGTGACCTCTGGGCTATGAGGGCTGATGGCTGTTCCTATCGCCTTGTCTTGAGAAGGGCACCCCTTTTGCCACAACAGGAAATTACATTTGCCGCTAGAGATGCTCTCTCATTGGCCAAGCTCACTATCATCAGTAAGTGAAAAAATCATTATTCTGTATTTGTGAGATAGTCTTGATCCTAAAGAAAACAGCTTTGTACCTGATTTTTGTTCAGTAAGCATCAAACATCTACTTCTCTACAGCTGTACCTGACCCCCCAGAGGACCCAGAAGTCCTCAGTAAGACCCAACAGTCAGTGAACCTCTCTTGGTTTACGCCTCTCCATGATGGAGGCAGTCCCATTCTGGGCTACCGGGTGGAGATGCGGCTGGTTGACAGTGCGCTTTGGCTCCCATGTCATTCTGAACCCGTGTGCAACACAGAGTTTGTGGTTGAAAACCTGACCGCAGGGAGCAGCTACAGGTTCAGAGTGGCAGGGATCAACAGAGCCGGGATTGGAGAGCCTGTTGAGTTGCCACAGACTGTGCAGCTTGGTGAGCGGATTTGTGATTTAATCCATGAAATAGTTCAGAGTTAACATCTGCTTTGTACATGACATAATTATGCTATTATTGTTTTCTTTTCTCTAAAATCACAAACCAGCATCTATTTTTGTCAAACAACGACTATTTAATAAATGTGTTTGTTTTGTGAACATTTCACAGAGGCAGCCAAGCCGCCATCAATCAGCCCAGGTAAGACATTTTATAAGAGTTCTTTCAAGCAGACTAATCGATCATGTTATGAAGTCTTCATGAATTATCTTCATGTCAGGTTATGGTTGTACAGTTTTAAATGAAATAGTCAAGCAAATGTTAGCTTGTTTTGGCATTTTTGTAACAATAATTGGTTTTTAAAATACTATAGCTACTTGGAAATGTCACTGTTGTTATAGATGCGGAGGCAAAAGAGGTGAAGACTGAGATACTGGGACAGCCCACTCTCCCTCCAGAAGCTGCTGATAAAGGGGAAATCCATGAGCTGTGGGAGGAATCAGCCAAGAAGCGCCGTATGAGCCGTGAGCCTACACTGGACTCCATCACTGAGCAAGTTGAGGATGTTGGTAAAGGTGGCCAAAAGAAATCAGAAGTGAAGGAGCTGATTGTGTCAGAGAAAGTGGAAGTAAAGTCAGTTGAGAAGGAACAGGCCATTGCGTCAAAGCAGCAGACTGAGACCACTTTGATCACCAGCTCTGAGGATGAGTCTGTGTCTGGAGGTCCAACACTTGTGTCCTACCTGAAGAAAAGCAGCAAGACCTCTGTCACTGCAGCCGCTGGGACCGAAACTATGACTGCTGAGAGGTTCTTTGCACACTTCCAGATGGCAGAGGAGAAGACAGTGCAGCCGGCTGAAGTGAAAACAACCTCTGTTCAGCAGACAGAAATCACACAGGTGTCTTCAGAGGAGACTAGTGCCATGGAGATCAGCAAGGAGGATGAGCCTGAGCTTCGAGAGGCTGCCATCAAGATTCAAGCTGCCTTCAAAGGCTACAAAACCCGTAAAGACATGCGACCCGTCTTTAAAGATGTCTTCAAAGACCAGACCAAAGAACCTAACGGCACCATTCATCTAGAGTGTGTGGCGGAGGGGAAACCTGACAAGGTGCAGTGGACGAAGGATGGAGAACCCCTGACAGATGGAAAGCACCACCATATTGACATCTACAATGACGGCACTTGCTCATTAGTTATCACTGCTGCAACAACGAAGGATACAGGTGTTTATATGTGTGAGGTCACCAACAAGTTTGGAGTCACATCTCACAGTGGTAAGGTAACAGTAGGAACATCCCGAGAATCATCCGGACGACGGCCGCTGACTGTGGGCTACAGCGCAGACAGCGAGCCTGAGAGCTCCTCTGGTAGCGAGATGGACGAGTCGCTGAGGCAGGCGAGCAGACGTCTCCGGCGCCTCCTGCGTACACGTCTGCCTCCAGATGTCGAAGAAGAGCCATTTGTGAGTGCGGATGAAGGAGACCTCCGCCCCCCAGATCCTCACTCCTACAGGGAGGATGACACCTACATTTACATCCGCTTTGACTCATGGGGTGAGGCTGAGGTTGCCTCAAAGAGGTTCCAGGAGATGTTTACTATACATGGGGTCCCCGTGGAGACTAACATCCTGGAGGCAGGGCCCCTCAAAGTGGAGCTGCGAATCAGAAAGATGGGCTACACACAAGATGGCACAGAGACCCCCACACAGGAGAAACAACCCCCTGCATTGCTTTCTGGAGGTGCAGGTAAGATGTTCGCACTGAACCTCAGATCATTGTACAGTTTCTGTTACACCCCTTCAACACATTTTTACACACCAAACCACCAATTGTATTTAAATTAAGCGCTCCATAAATAGCTAATAATAATTATCTTTTAAGTGGCACTGTCTTTGAAGTTATTTACTTCCTTTTGTTCCTCAGCTGCCCCAGTCTTCTTGACAGAGCTTCAGAGTCAGGACGTTCCAGATGGGTATCCAGTTAGCTTTGACTGTGTCGTGATCGGCAAGCCCCCTCCCACCGTTCGCTGGTACAAAGACGGCAAACTGCTGGAGGAAAATGACCATTACATGATCAATGAAGACCAGGAGGGCTGCCACCAGCTCATCATTACCACCGTGCTGCCCACTGATATGGGCGTTTATCGCTGCACAGCTGAAAACAACAGCGGCATCGCAGCCACAAAGGCTGAACTCAGGGTTGACAGTAAGTTAACTTATATATTATGAAATGTGTCTTTTTATTTTTTTTTATTTAGCCTTTATTTAACCAGGAATGTCCCATTGAGATTAAAAAAACACTTTTTCAAGAGAGTCCTGGCCAGGAGGCAGCAAAAAGTTATGAATCAACAATGACATACAAATGAGATAAAACAGTTACAGGTTAAGGAGGCTGTTTCAAGTGCTCTCAGTCTGGATTTAAATCCATAAAAAGAAAATAAATCAAACTGCAACTTTTTAAAAGATATAAATGCAGTAAAATCTATTAAAAACAACTTAATCCAAATACTTGTCAGATAGAGGCCAGAGCCAAAAGACTGTTGCTTTGTTAAAAATGTTTAAAGTGTTTTGATTTGTTTTGTGATAACTTAGTTTTTTACAAAAAAGGTCAGTGGTAGAAAAATTACACATAAACCTATCATCTGCGTGCAATGAATGAAGATGGAGCTCATTATTTGTTAAACTTGTTCAAGAAAAAGAAAGACTTGTTCAAATCACCATCTTTATCTGTCCATCCAATTTTTCCATCAGTGTCTTGTAGCTCTGATTATGACACTGCTGCTGATGCCACTGAGACGTCTTCCTATGTCAGTGCAAAGGGCTACATGTCCAGGTGAGTTTGCTTTGAATGCTGTTTTATTGTTTGAAAAATGAATGTATCACATATTTGCTCAAATATTCTTGAGGTGAACTGTTTTACTCTCCTTGTACAGGGAAACTGAGACCTTTGAGTCCGTAGCTGAAGATGATCAGCTTCCTCAAGTTGTGGAGGAGCTCCATGATGTCCATGTTTGTCCTGGTTCACCAATTGCCAAGATGCAGCTCAGGGTTAAGGGTAAGTTTGATTCACCAGAGCCTGATTGTAACTTTCATATGATGAATACAACCCTTTAAGTACTTTTCTGAAAAATTTTCAATGTCTTCCAGGCTTCCCTAAACCCAGAGTGTACTGGTTCAAAGATAGTCACCCTCTGCGACCTTCAAAAAGGATTGCGTTGCTGACAGAGAGGGATTCTCATGGTGTGGAGATCCAGGAAGTGAAGAAAGAGGATATGGGAGAGTACTCTGCTTACATCAGCAATGCAGCTGGCTCTGCTTACTCCTCTGCTCGTCTGATAGTTTTGAGTATGTATAAAAATAACCAAATAGGTGCTTGCACAATAACATCATTAGATAGTGTGTTTTAAATTGCACCCACGGTCAATTAACAACTGTGTTTCACAACAGATCCAGGGGAGATTATGCCTCAGGATAAAAGAGGTATTTTGGCATCTATCAAACAATCTTGGCACAGATGAAAGCACTTTAGTAGATGTGATAGAAAACAATAAGTCACCCTGTGGTTGTTTGACATCGTTTTCCTACAGACCCCAAAGAGCCTCTGGTGCCACCTCGCTTCATTGAGAGATTCAGCAACAGGAAGGTGAAACAAGGGACCAGCATCACTCTTTCTGTCAAAGTAGAAGGTCAGCCTGCTATTCTCTTGATATTTTTTGGCACCTTCTAACATTAAAAATAATTCCTCCTTTAGAAAGTTTTGAAAAACTTACACAAGCCCCCTTTTAACTATTTTAGGGTCTCCCACTCCTATGGTCTCTTGGCTGAAAGAAGAATCAATGGAAGATGTTCTGTGGATCAAGCCTGACACCAAGGGATACAAAATAGCAAGTTCAGGCCGCCAGCACAGTCTCATCCTGATGGACGTGGGCCCAGAGTACACTGGCGCCTACACCTGTATTGCTACAAACAGGGCAGGACAATCCATCTTTACTGCCCACCTTGAGGTTGATGACAGTAAGGAAGCTATGGTTTTCTACAGATTTTAGAGAGATGGTGTTTTGATCTATGAGTGTAGTAGCTTTAGTGGAAACCTTGTTCCTCCTAAGCTTTTTCCTGTGTGTCTGTGTTTTACCCTATTTTCACCAGCACCACAACCAAAGAAAGAGACCACAGCCTCAGAGTAAGTCTTTCATAGCAGTTTTAGGTCCTGATGTGTTTACAGTACCTGTAACAGCATGCCAATATGTGGAAATTAAACTGAGTATTTGATTCTCCTCAGGGTTCTTGGGATAACAATCAGCCCTCCAGAAGAGGAGACTCCTAGAAAGGGAAAGGGTTAGTCATCACACCCTTATTGAGTGTTTATTATCTGAGTTAGATTCTCTATTCAAACTTCAGTTATTTGTTGCTACAGTATTTGTGGTTTTCTTTCCTCCTTTGTGCTTTCAGAGGGTAAAATACCTTTCTTAAGTGAAGCAGGTACAGAGGAGTTCCTCATGAAACTCACTTCCCAGATCACTGAGATGGTATCAGCAAAAATCAGCCAAGGTAAGCCTATGTTTAAGAAAAACCTGTCTGTGCAGTTATAATTACTATTAATTGATTTTTAATTTGAAAGAAATTGTTAAGTGTTGACAAAAAAGCTGCAAAGAAACCCTGACCTGGGCTAACCTTACGGCTAAAGTCAACATCAACAAGCCCAGGTTTAGTTTAAACCAAGATCTTGCATTGACTTTGTGTATTGCAGCTGCTATCAAGCTTATGTCAGCGTGCTAATAGCTCAAAATACTAAAATACGTTGTTATTTAACAACTGTTGTCATTGACCTAATTGTCTAGTGCATGCCTACATCCAAAAAATAAGATAAAATGCTTACTATGACAAAATTTATTCCCTGCCTTCAGATTTCTTGTCCATATGCAAATATCAATCAGTAGATATTACTGCATATGGACAGTGCAAGGTGCACTCTGTCTAATAGACATACAGAAAGTAAACAAACAATCCATGATTATGTTTCTGTGCAGTGTCAGTGTTTTTGTCAAGTGCTTTGCCATGTCTGTACTTTGATTTCAGTGAATTTCCTCAGATAATTCAAGAATTATGCAAGTCCTGTTTCTCACGAATTATTTCATAATTCAATTCTTGAATTAGAATTCACTTTTAAGCAGATCTGAGATCGACGCCAGATTTGAAAACGTGTGTCCAAGTAGTGCTCCTCTGTTGCTTGTTTTTTAAGCATGTTTTGCTTCATCCACCAGTGTAAACCTCCCATCATTACTCAGACATCATTTCTTTACCACCTTTACACCCATCAGTTAAGCAGCCCATCAAAATAAACTCACCCAACCATTAATTTGTTATTCAGACAGCTTACAGAATCAGGAAGTGCTCCAGTGGATGAAATCTTGGCCCAAAGCTACCAGTATGTATCTGAAATGCATCAACCTCATACTTAATCTACATTTCTCTATGGAGATATTATGAAGGATATACTGACCAAGCAAATGGTTTGCAGAAGTTTTGACTTACATCCCCTTTTACATAACAGGAATACAATCATACCTTGAGGTGCAGTCATAGATGTTTTTTATTAAGTTTTTTCCCCTTTCATGCTGTCTGAACCCCTGTGTAACTCTTTTTGTACCACCAGTCCTGTCTGTAACATAAATTCTGATGACTTTGAAATGAACACAAAGTTCCATCACCCAGGAGCCGTTATACATGCTCACAGACAGACATGTATGCAAAGAGCTCAGATAACAGTGTTTGTCTGTACCCTGGTTGTTAATGCATGGTGTGGCATTACTAACATAGACATAGAGCGGCATTTTGAATTGAATGATTATTGAGCATTCGAGAGAAAAAAAAACATGTTGCCCTTTTATCTAGACTTCATAATGATTTAAAGTAGTCAGGATTTTCATGTTTTAAAGAGTAGAAGCACCAGTAGATGCCAGCAGAGAGTCAGTTGTTGCTTGAAATGCTACTTTGAGCCTGCTGGTTTTGATCCTGACAAGCATTGTGAAGTGGGTACTAATAACAGCTGACATATTTGAGAAATTAACCCGATTTTCTTTGCTGTAACATATGACTTTACTTTGCTACATAACCGTTACAGCTACATGTAGAAAAAGCAGATATTTTAACGGTCAGTGTTGTATTTCTGACCTCCTCTCCCTCCCTTAGCTTCCTTACGTGTACCAGATGCTGACAGTGATGATGAAACCAAGACCCCGACTGCCTCACCACATCATGGTCGCTCTCGTCCTCCTTCTCTCATTGCTGACTCCTCCTCTGAGTCTGATGAGGGAGATGCAAGGGGAGAGGTGAGGCGTAAAAGATTTTAATGAGACATTTTGTTTGACAGACATCTTTTTACTATAAACTTGATGTTTGCCTTTGTGTTATTATCCTAGAATGGCTGTACACCAATATGATATAATACAAGCTGTACATTAAAAAATCACTGCATTGCAATCACCTGACATATATAAGGAAACAGGTCATGACAAACCTTTCTGGTTTGCCATAATATACCAACACCATTTTGTCCTGTCATTAACATCTACTGTGTGAATACTGTATCTATGCACAGATGTTTGACATCTATGTGGCGACAGCCGACTACAACCCCACCATAGCATGCAAAGAATCAATCTCCCTAAAGGAAGGGCAGTATGTTGAGGTTTTGGACTCAGCTCATCCACTGAAATGGTTGGTCCGGACCAAACCCACCAAAACCACTCCATCTCGCCAGGGCTGGGTCTCACCGGCCTACCTGGACAAGAAACTCAAAGTACGTCTCACAGCGATATACCACCAATGAACCAACATTTAAACGTATTTCACTGGTAGTTTAAAGAATTAAAACATAAAATAAAAATGTGTTTTCCAACAGCTCTCTGCAGATGCCGGTGACCTTCCAGAAACCTGTGTAGAGGAGGTTTCTGAGGGAGAGTACAAGAGGAAACTATTGTAAGTGCATCTGCTCTCACAAAAGAAACACTGTCCTTACAGTCCTTGAAATCAACTAACAAGGAACTTTTATTTCACATCTCCAGCCAACTGATCCAAGACCTGATCACTGGTGAATCAGAGTTTGTAAAAGAGGTCGACTTCTTCACCTCCCATCACATGAAGCACACAGACAGCCCTGATGCTCCAACTGATATTAGCAGCCAGAAGGATGTCATATTCAGGAACATCGATGATATCAAATCCTTCCATAGCAAGTGAGTTCACCACCTCATGGTTGACCTGTTGTTGTCAAAAAGATCTATAATTTCTGAAAACTGTGATAACCTGAATTAACTCCCTCATTTGTTGTTTAAAGGGCATTCCTTCCCAAGTTAAATGACTGTGAGACAGATGATGATGTGGCTATGTGCTTCCTGAAGAACAAAGACGGCTTTGAGAAGTACCTCCAGTATCTTGTTAGCCAGAGTTTGGCTGAAGCTGCTGTCAGTGACAAAGCTGTTCATCGTTTCTTCAAGGTAACTCCAGAACGGCTGACCTCTGTAACCCAAGTCATTTCTCTGTTTTTAGTTTACTCCAGACTATTTTGTGCTGCCCAGGGGGACCTGTATCTCTACTTACTTTAATATGAAATCCTTGATTATACTGTAGGAGTACACTGAGAAAGTACAAGCCAGTGCAGACCCTGGAGATCCTCCTGTACGAAGCATCAACGCCTGCCTCCAACAACCGCTGGAGAGGATTCAGAAGTACAAGGCAATCCTTAAGGTGACGGCTTTGACACATGATATGCATGAACTCTTATAAGGATACATTCTCTCCATTACTGATATGACTCATGCATGTGTAAGGCATCTGCTTTTAGACCTGCATCACCTTCAGTTTCACTGAAATCTGTCCTCTGACTTTTCCAGGAGCTCATCCGAAACAAGGCGAGAAATGGCCAGAATTGCTGCTTACTAGAAGAAGCTTACGCCATGGTGTCCTCACTTCCTCAGCGCTCTGAGAATACACACCATGTGTCCATGATTGAAAACTATCCAGCCACACTGGATGTACTAGGAGAGCCAATCAGACAGGTAGATGGAGTCGCTGTTGGGTTCCCTGTTAGCGCTGCACTGTTGTGTCTCTTCAGTTATGTTGACCTGTTCTACCTTTGTTAACCAGGGACCCTTCCAAGTATGGGAAGGAGCTCCAGGGATCAGGTCGTCCTCCAGAGGTCACCACCGCCACTTATTCCTGTTTAAGAACTACTGCATAATCTGCAAACCAAAGAGAGACAGCAACACTGACTCACAAGCATATGTCTTTAAGAACATGATGAAGGTCAGGCTTTAAATGCAACTACTTCATTTCCTTTCTTTAAAGACGTTCATTAAAATTCTTTTTTTAAATGTGTAGCCTAAGTTCTATTTCATGAATTCTTCTGCAGTTGAATAACATCGATGTGAACGAGACAGTAGAGGGTGATGACCGAGCCTTTGAGATCTGGCATGAACGTGAGGACTCTGTGAGGAAATACACCCTGCAGGCCCGCACCGTCACCATTAAGAACTCCTGGCTGAGAGACTTCAGAGAGCTGCAGCAGCGTTACAGCATGCCTGCATGGAGTGAGGGAATCTTATGTTTTCTTTTATTAGTCAAAAGGTATTTTAAGATTTTCCCACTTAAACATCACATTAATCTTCTTCACAGGTCCTCCTGACTTTGATGAAATTCTGGCAAACTGCACAGCAGAGCTGGGGCAGACTGTGAAGCTGGCCTGCAAAGCCACTGGAGTGCCCAAACCTACAGTCACATGGTACAAAGGTATGCCATTGGATCCATGCTTTTTAATCATTTGCTTTGAACACAATTTGTGCGTAATAAAGGCTACCTGTAATGACTAACTTCTGTTTACGAAGAGCTTGTTGTATCTCATTGGTGCTTTGTTTACCTGTTTGATATAGATGGGCGTGCCGTGGAGGCAGATCCTCATCACATCATCATCGAGGACCCTGATGGTTCCTGCACTCTGATCCTGGATAACATGACAGCAGATGATTCTGGCCAGTACATGTGCTTTGCCTCCAGCTCAGCTGGCAATGCCAGCACTCTTGGCAAGATCACTGTTCAGGGTAAGGAGAACTGTGTCCAAGTGTTTAATGGACCCAGATGTTTAATATACAATTGCAATACAGCAAAGAATAGATCACGAGCTTGTGTTTGGACATGTATCAATAATGAGAATTCTTTCTTGCAGTGCCTCCTCGTTTTGTGAATAAAATAAGGAATGCCACATTCGTTGCTGGTGAGGATGCTCAGTTCACCTGCGTCATACAAAGTGCTCCAACCCCCAAGATCAGGTTTGTGAGCACACATCAGTGGAACTTGACAACTCCTTAAAAACTTCCACTAACTTTCCTCTGCCTGTGCTTGACTCTCTGTGGTCCAGGTGGTTCAAGGACAGCAGGCTGCTGACTGACCAGGAAAAGTATCAGACCTACAGCGAGCTCAGAAGCGGGGTTGTGGTCTTGGTGATTAAAAACCTGACGGAGAGAGACGTAGGACACTACGAGTGTGAGGTGAGTGAATATATATGAAGATCCTATTTAAAGCTTATATGCTCAGAGTGTGGTGTTACAGCTCACAGTCACCTGAATCTTGTCATTCGATCTCAGTTAACCATAAGATATAACTTCAAACGCTCTCAAAATATCTCGCTCCTGCTTTCTCCAGTTGTCGAATCGTCTGGGCAGCGCCAAGTGTGCTGCCGATTTAGTTCTACCCTCTGCTGTGGCTCGCACTGCTGAGCAGGCAATCACTATTGAAGGTACGAACGCTGACTTTATCTCCAGAAAACACTCTCTCCAAACTTTGGGTATAATGTTGCCTTTTTCATCCTCCTTATTCGTCCTCCACTTACCTCTCTGTGCTTCTTCTCTTGATAGTTACTGAGCAGGAGACAAGAATACCAAAGAAAACCATCATTATGTAAGTGTGAACCAAAGGTTTCCTCAGGCCTGCAGCATGTCTACATATATGGATTAGGAATAGTCCGTGAATGAGGAGCGGTGTTTTATTTCAGGCGTTGCTATATTGATGTTGCTAAGTAAGAGAGGAAATGAACTTGAAGTCAATCTAGAGCATTCCTCTACGTGTATTTGTGTATTTGTGTATGTGTGTGTGTGCGCCTCTCGCAGTTGTGAATTGGATGCATTGTTGTGTAGTATTTAAAGCCTGAGTGCAAAGGATTCTGTCACAGGGATGAAGAAAGGAGGGGCGGTCTCCTTTAACCCTCAGCTCTATTACTACAGCTCCTCACACAGGGTTCATATTTGCATCCGACTGCACTCACTTTCTCTCTCCAACAGTGAGGAGACCATAACCACCGTGGTGAAGAACCCACGTATGAGGAGGCACAGGTCCCCTGGCCTGACTGTTACAGGGGTCCATCGCTCGGAGACCTCAACCCCAGAGCCGGCCACATCCAGGCAGAGGAGGATGCCCACCACAAGAAAGACCACCATCCCCACTCTTTATGTTACTGAGGCACAGGGTGCTGAAGCCAGGGTTGTAGAGACCAGGCCCAGATGGGTGGAGGTAGAGGAGGTCATCGAGTATAAAGTCAATAAATCCCCCAGGATGCCCAGAAGAAGGAACATCTCGCCTGCTTGTTCGGATCGTGCAACCACTCCATTGAGAGCTAGAAGGTCTCCACCAGAGAATCCAAACGCCAATAACTCCAACAACAAGCTGGTGGAGGAGGCCCAGGCCCAGCTGCAGGGAGACGTCAGCAGCCAGCCGCTCTCATGGGAAGAAGAGGAGGGTCATGTGACCTCCGATCCTGCCCCTGCTGAACCACATGAGCTCTCCACGGTTCTTGCTGCAGCTGGAGATGACAGCGAGGACCAGGATGATCAGGAGACCATCATCTTTGTTCCAGATGATGAAGACGATGATCATAGCTCTGCAGAGAAGCAGGAGCCCAAGATCCTTACTCAAGGAGGACGCGTTCTGACCCTGGAAGACTTGGAGGATTACGTTCCAGAAGAAGGAGAGACCTATGGCTCCTCCAGCACCTGTAAACCCCCTGTGGAAAAACCCTGTGAGATCTCAGTGCTTCAGAGGGAGATCGGCGGCTCAGCGGTGGGACAGCCGGTGCTCCTCAATGTGGGGAGACCAGCCGCAGTCCCGAGGCACAGGAGCGGCTTCTTTGGCCGTTTTAGAGACCATCTCTCCAGCAGCATTTTCTCATCTGCTGCCCCACAAGCCAGCGGAACCAGATCCAGAGTAGAAAAGCACATCCCAATCCAGGTGAGCCACGCCAAGCTGGAGGTGAAACCCTCATACTGCTCTGAGGTGCAGAGAGTTGAGGGTGGGCAGCAGAGTTTTAAAACCAAAGTGTCGACTCAGACCTACGGTTACACATCAGTGGGCAACCCGGTCAATATTCAAATCAGTCAGAAAAAGTAGTGAAAAACAATCATTCACCAAACCGTCATAGTCTTAAACAGAGACATATCAACGAGTTAAACAATAACACATACCCTAACCTGAAGTTCACTCACTACATTTGACGAACCATTCCTTATCGAAACTGCCAATCAGAGAAAATCCTCTGAGTCTTTACCTGAAATGAGGTCAGTCAGGTGGTCTGTGTAGACGAGGCGAGTTGGAGAGTCGCTGAAATGTGTCGCTGTGTAAACCCGAACAGGTTTGTAACACTGTCTGTACTGTTGTAACAAAACATTTCAACTTCTGCCTGAGGGGAGTTTTTCAGAAACTCGTACCTTTACCAAATCATGAACCTTTATCCAACAACAATAAGTGACCCAGGCGTTAAGCTCGGTGATGATTGTATACAGTATTAAGGTATAAACAGTACTTTTTTTTACTGTTGTAACATTTTTACCTTTTAAGAAACATTTCCTTTTGCACTGATGCAAAGTGCCTTCAGCAACAGCACGAAATGTTAATGATGGTCAATGAAATCTATGAAGTTAATCTTAATAACTCATAATGTAACATTTAAAAACCTTCGATGACCTTTGTCGTCACTTTTTGGGCTGTTATTTTACTTTTATTTGAAGACTTGCAGTCTGATTGTTTCTTTGAAGAGAAAAAAACAGTCACTAGTTCCCTACCAACTTGGTTGTTTGTGAAAGATGTTTTTTGTGAGCAGCTTATGAAAAAAGTAACTTCTGTACGAGCTAATCATTTAGTCGTTAAATGAAAACATTATTCGTATCATGTAATTGTAAGTGACTGCAGTTACATCATTTATTTTTGTGAACGTTTCTTCCATTGATCGTGAACTGAATGTTAAACCTGTATTTGAAATGTGTCTGTGTTGAGTTGATAGGATATCACAGATCATCATGTTAGCTATCGATGTTAAATGAGTGCCTGCATGTATTTGCCTCCTTACAGCAGATTTGTTGATCTAGAGTACTCAGATTTGTATTGTATTTTAATGCAATCAGATACTTGTGCTGAAAAAATTTACTACCTTTTCAAAGCAATTTAGTTAGTCTAGAATTAAAACCTGGCTTTTTGGAGGTTTTTGGTATTTGTGTTGTTTAAAGTGTTGTAGCCAGTGAAGTATGAATATTTAAGCACTAACACATTGTAATTGCTTTTACTGTACATGCATAGTTTTTGGAATTGTGTTTGAGTACTCAGCGTTGATTCTAAATCCAATAAATGTCCTGCAAAAATTAGGAAAGCGGCTTGTGATTTATAGAAACATACAAGACATCCTTCTTCCAGTACTGTAACATTTATTTAAGGTTTCACAGACAACAGAGTTTCTGCTGGAGGTTTTACTGATGAAGAAATAACGACTTTTTCACAACAGACACATTATTGTAAAAGCTGTTTAAATGGAAAACCAGGAGACTGCATGCATCTAAATAAATATGAAATAATAATGGAAAAATGAATCAATGTATTTAAGTGGACAAAAATGATAAAAGGAACAAACCTTGTACAGAGGAATGGTTAGAAACATCATTTTAAAAATCATTTTCAGTATCTCCTTGGGAAAATGTTTCATCAAATTAAGAGAGGTATCATAAAGATGTTTATGTGTGCTGTGTTGTAAATACAGTACATATTTTCCTTCAGTCAACAGTTAAAATAGTCCACTAAATGACATTTTCTGTACAGATGAAGCTACAAAATAAGTCACATTTAAAAAAAAACTTTTACAAATTTACAACTGTGAAAAGTAAACTTAAAAAATGCTATTTAACAGCTTTTTTCCAAATGACATATGGTAAGCTTCTTGTGTTTTAAAGTGATATGATCTGTCATCTTGAATCCTTCTAGTGAACATCATAAAGCATGGCTACACAGCAACCTTAAATGGAGTTAACTATCACATACTTAAACTTACAAATACTTGTTAAAAAAAAGCTGCTGGAATAGTTTCTGTCTTCATTACATACCCATAAACCTCGCTAACGTAAACAGCCGCCATGTTTTAGAAAAGAGTTGTAGTGCTGAAGTTTTCCTCCTGAGCTTATCTTGTGCCGGGGACTGAGATCAAACTCTGGTTGAGTCCGTCACTTAGTTTGACTGTTTCCTGTAAATCCTTTTCACAATCAAAACTGCGTAACTGGCTGCACAAACAAAACTCAAATGAAAGGCAGGATAACATCTCCGATTATGATACTCTAAACTTTGCTTGAAAAACAGGTTTATCAGCAGGATGGAATGAGATTTATTTCTCCTCGTTTGTGTTGGCTCTCAGTAAACCCTTTCCAACAAAGCCAGTCACAGAACTACCAGCATTACTGGAGTAACTTTATATCAGGCAACTGAGAATTAAAAAAGAAAAAAAAAAAAAAAAAGTGATCCATTGTACTTTTTATAAATTACCAATAACCACTCCTACAAAAAAAAGTTAGATCTACATATTCATGTATCTGCAAAGGGGCGTCTGAGCCTCAAAGACCATCAGTGGGAATGTTCTGGACTTAAAAGGAGGTCTGTGGGTTTGTGAGGAGTGGCTGGACGGGACTAAAAATCTGTCAGGGTTCTGCAGTCTCCTACGAAGACATGTTGACATTCTTGACCTTGGTGATTTCCTGGAAAATAGAGGAATAGCACTCTTACAATTCAGTAAATACTAACAAATTGACAAAATTATGAATGAAAGTTGAGGGCAAAACAATCGTTGCTCATTTGGGCAGAGATGTTTGCAAAATCACAGTCTTGCTTCAACAAAAGTTTGTCAATGTGCAAACCTGTGAAGCAAGTTTGTGGACACTGAACTAAAAGCATTCATCTGGGGTTAAATATCTGTGAATTATCTAGAGAATTATGTGCAGTGAACAGGTTGTTATAGTGGATAACAAAAAACCCCAGCAGGGTGAGCAAGACCTCACCCTGGAGGAGTTCATCTGCTATAACGACCTGCTTATTACAAGAGGATACCTCCTTAAGAAATCAACGAACTACATATATTTCATTGATTTTACTGGTTTAAGTGTTTACTTCAACTTCCAAACTCTTCTGCTTTTTCTTTTCCTCTGTTTTTAGCCTCACAGTCAGACAGTCTGCTTGAGTCCCTCATCAGAGTTCCATCCTTAGCAACAGTCTGTTCTTCATAGCAACAGTCTGTTCTTCATAGCAACGGTCTGCTGTTGCTGTGTGATCAATCAGAATTATGTATTTGACCTTAAGCTGTGTCAAGCACCAACTTACCACAAGAAGAGCCTGTTTTAACTGCCCATAAGCTTCCTCCAAATCATCATTGATAATGACGGTATCAAACAGTCCAGGTTCTCTGCCTAGGTAGAGATAGATTTGGTGTCAGTGCTCTGTTTAAAGTTAATCATGTTACAGATTTTGGCGACAAGCTTTAAATACTTACTGATCTCCATGTCTACCCTGGCTATATGTAAACGCTTCTGCAGGCTTTCCTCCGACTCTGTTTTTCTGTCTCTCAAACGTTTTTCCTGAAACAAAGTGATCAACAGCGTCATCAACAGAGGGCACTCAAAAATATGCAAAACACCTAAATTTGTGGTTTCCTGTGAAACAAAGAAGTCCTGATTACAGCAAAGAAGAAACTCTTCACCGACAGGACAACAGTCGTATTTTCGTGTGCTTACCAGGATGTCCATGGATGGAGGCTGGATAGAGATGTAGATGGGGTTGAGGTCTGTTTTTTTGATATTCTTCACACCCTGCATGTCAATGTCAAGTATACAAATGAGGTTTTTGGCCTGGACGTCCTGCACAGCTGCTTTACTTGTCCCGTACATGTTCCCTGAAAACTCTGCGTTCTCAATGAAATCCCCGTTGTCGATCCCCATCTGCATCGCTTCCCGTGTAACATAGTGATAATCTGAAAAACCCCAAGAACATGCTGGATAAGAGCAAAGAAAGCCACAGCATCACCGACCTCTAAAGCTTGTAATTTATGAAAACAGTGGTGGAGGAAGAGGAGGAACAAGCTGTACCTTTGCCATTCACTTCTCCAGGTCGAGGATTTCTCGTTGTGTCTGAGGATTGAAAAAATACTAGTGTCAGAAAAAAATGTTTGACCTGTGTTCAGGCAGAACTGAAGGATGAACATTTTTTCAAAGTATGTGTAAATGAAAAGTGTCATGTCCTGGTAGAGTCTCAAGATTCTATCAGGACATGGCTGTTGATATAGCTGATATCTAAGGTCCCGCCCCGTCTCAGTTTTGACTTGTTGGTGCGGGAGATTAGAGGGGTGTTTCAAAGGCTGGGCTATTCTGTTGAACTGTACTGGTGTGTTAAAAAAGGGCGTTGCCATTCCAAATCCACGCTCTGTGATTACAGGCCTTATCTTGTCTACAATGTGTAAGGAGATTTTTATAACAACTTTTGAAACATGGCATTAATATCAAACAGGGAAAGTAAGCTTTAATGCCAGCCATTATAGGAAATAAGCTGTTTTTATAAATGTATTCATATTTTCCTAACACACTTTTTTAAGTCATAAAAGACATCTTTGGAGTTTTTTTTGGCCTTTCTGTCTTAAATGATAGGATAGCTGATGAGTAAAAGAGGTGAACCACCAGCGACTGTTTCAATGGGGACTGCTGCCTCTGCACATGCTCAAACTACAAGGCCAACAGTCCTCCTTTTGGTGCAGTGTGCTGTCTTAAATGTTAAAATGTTTAGATTTCAATCCCATTTAACAAATCTAAAACTGAAACCTGATAATATGCATTTAGCACGACCAATCATGAACTACTTGAAGAATTATCTTCTATAGATTGACTAATTGTGAACTAATTTAAGCAGCTCTCTGCTTGTGTACATGTTACGCTCACATCTACTCTGTGTAAAACAGGTTTAACTATACTGAGGAATTACCATCGCCTGATTTCATCACCTTCAACAAAGTCAGTGTGAAACACTTTCAAAATCTCACGGCAACTTACGGGAGACACTGAAGCCAAACACGCTGTCGTACTCTTTTATCAGCTTCTTCAGCAGCGTGCTCTTCCCCGCCCCAGACGGGCCGCTCAGCACCACAGGCCTGGGTCCAGCCATAGCTAATGAAAGAGAGGAGCAGGGAGGACAGTTCAGTAAAAGGAAAAAGTGGGTGAGGCCTCAGGGAGGGTGGGGTAACGTATTTCCTCTAGAGTCTTCTGGCATGAGTCACACCAAGACCAAATCCATATGAGCACAAACATACGGCTCTAAAAAGGAACCACACTCACGATTAACCATCCGGGAAAACAAGTTTACACAAGTCATGTGATGATGAGCTCTATAAAGTGATAAAGCAGCAGTTTCCAATGATGATGAGTGCAAAGACAGCTCCCTGTAGAGCTGAGGTGGTCAAAAGAGCTGTGAACCGTGAGGTTACCATGGTGATACCCGAGGAACAATTACTCACTAATTGGAGAGCCCTTTGCTTGTGATGGCAAGGACAGACTCAAGACACACAAGAGACTCAGAAAAAATCTGTCTTTAAAGACGTATGAGCTTATAATTTAAAATCTTTGACAGAAGTTTAGCAACACAAACATAGAAACAATTAAATCACTGCAAACAAGCTTGTTACATCAACATCTTAACTTTCACTGTACTATGTCACTGATACACAATCTCACTTTCATTGCCAATTGTTTCTAGGTAAGCTCCTCCATCATTAAACATAAAGCCTGTAGTCTTTCACCTTACCGTTCTTTTAGCGCACACCGGGCTCGAGCAAATGGAAATGTGAGCGAGGACAGCGAGGGTGTGACTTTATGTGAGGTTAGACTGAGTACAAGTGCAAGAGGGAGGAGAGTAAAAGAGGGCAGGGCCGTGTTTACATGCAACTAGGTTCAATTTTTCAAGACTCGCTCAAATATTGAGAGGATTTTTGCATAATAATCTGCTACCACAGTGACAATCTATTTTTCTAATGCAAAGTAGGTATGATAGTTCCTACAGCTAAAAGCTCAATATTACATGACAGAAAGTAAGGTTGTTACCAAGAACTGTCGGAGACTTTAACCATAATTTAATGTCTGAAAACTACCAACAATTTTGTGATTAATCTGCTGTAATTTCAAACACCCCGCTCGTTGATTAAAACGACATTACTTACATCAATGACAGGTATTACACAGGATGACAATTAGTCCAAGAACTAGATATTCCATATGGCATGATGAGATATACATAAAATTAGATTTTAAAAACAAAAAAGGAGCCTAATTTAGAAGAAATAAAAGTCACAGCATTTTACACTGTCTGGTCTCCAGGCAAATAGGTCCTCTCTGCAGGTGCAAATGACAACAGGCATTCTCTGTTGCCTCTTGAATGTTTCACACAAAAAGCTATGTGGATAGTTAAAGGTGCAGGACTCCTTTTTTAAGTGCCAGAGAAGAAGTGTTACTAATACTGGACTCATATCAGCCACTTACCCGAGCCCCACCCAACAGGCTATGGATGATTATCTTAAAGCAACGAGCCTCAAACATGTTCTTCTTATTATCATTATTATTATAGATTATGGTTTCCAATGATGTTTAAAAAATTAGATGAAGTTAGACCTCTTGATGGTTTCTTTCTGTCCAAACCTCGTCAAAAACTCCAAGACATTCACTTAAACAAAATCAAATCCTCATATTTGGCATTATACACACAGAAACCAATAAAAAAGCAGCTGTAAGACAGGAAATAAGCAACATATTGGTTTACAATTAGCGTAGAGTCACAGTAATTGGAGGCTGCCCTGTCCTTGGTTTTATCAGTGGTCACATCATGAGGCTCCATGTGATTGATATTTCCTGAGGCTTAATTTAAATCATGTGGAGTCCATCAGGGCTGAGAAGTTGGATGCAATCTGCTTTCCATTATTGCGGCTAAACTATAGGTTGATTTAACATACTTCTATTTAGTATTAAATGAACTCAAATATGATTTCCTCTGTCTACTCTTCGATAAAACTATACCAAACTTCTTGGAGTTCTGGACTGTAAATACAATTAATGTAACAATTTGTAAATGCCATCTTTTGTTCTGGGGGTTTTCTAACTTCTGTTTCGATATTATTTTATCACAATATCAATATTCAATCAATTTCTTTCCCTGGAAAGTATATGATACAGTCTGAAATGTCAGCAGAGTGTTGTTGTTGGACTACTTCACCCTGTAGAGGAGGTAACTTCTGCATATGTGGGCACCTGTTCAACCAGTTCTACTCTCTGAGCTAATGTAAATATATTTAACCCTGAGTTAATACAGATACATCATACAGAAACCACACTGTCTCACTCTCACACTTTCCATTTGTTTATTGTTTTATTGGAGAGTGTGTCACATGAGGTGACAATCTTGTGCCAGAGTGAGGATAGAGATATAAAAAAACAACTCACACTGATATAGTGCACTTTGACTCATTGTTAGGAGCAATAAAATGTTATTAACTATATGGGAATGGTAAATAAATGATTTGAGGTTTACACAGATTGAAGAAAACTGCTCTGTGCATTGAGTCTGGAGTGAAGGGACTACTTCTTAACTTTTGTTTACCATGAACCTAAGATGAGCTCCTTAAAACCAAAATTTCCCTCAGCTGCAGTTGCATTATTTATAACAATCAGATGAGTTGAAATAATTTCACACAGTGCTCATAGTTGAACCTCAGCATGATCGTGGACATCAGGACAGCAAAACATAAATTCCTTTCAATCACACTGAAGGAAATGAATGGCAGTGTTAGCTCCAACCATCTAACAGACAATTCAAACACAGCAGAATAGACAGATACAGTTCTTTCCCCCGCCTCCATACCTGAATACAACCTGGAAAAAAATCTCATGTACATCGGGCTCTCCGTTAGTCCTAGATCCTGGGTCCGTCTCCGCAGCACTGTCTCCCCCCTCTGAGCTGTTTCTCTGTTGTTAGAGCCATCATGGAAACTAGGCTGCTCACGTCATCACTAAGGGCCAAAACACCGATCGCGAGCGGCGGTGGCGGCGATGCGCGCGACCACACAGAGGAACGTTGAGAGTTATTAACATTAGCCGCAGTGATTAAATGATATAAACTCGACGTTTTTACCCAAATGTGTGAGTCTTTCAGTGTGTTTTAGGTCTTTTCTCTCAGAGAGGACGCACACACACATATGCGCAGAGGACCAGACTGTAGTTTCTTTTTTTAACGTATTTAAAGCCACACAGTTGAAGCCGTTAGCGCTACCTAGCTTCAACTATCCGTCTCGCGCTCTCCGAAACTTTCGCAAAGTCGGTTTCCGTCGTCGGAGGAATCGCGACAACCTTGTAACACGTTGTTCCCATCGACACAGGGAAGTGGAACTTACCGCAAAACTTCCCCGGATGAGTGGACCCTGCTGAAAGGCCGCCGGACCAACGCGCGCTCCCCCCGTGTGTGTGCTAACGAGGCTAAAGTCACAGAGTGAAGCTAACGGTTCTCTTTATTCTTCGAGAGCGATATGTTTGGTTCTTCGAGATCGGGAGGAGTCCGAGGAGGGCAGGACCAGTTCAACTGGGATGACGTGAAGGTCGATAAACACAGAGAAAACTATCTCGGTAAGTCTCAAAAACAGGCAGCCAAAGTCCGCTATCACCACCGAGCAGACACACACGCAGCTAACCTACACGGAGTAGCGTAAAGCGTCTAAAATCATAGATGACCTACACACTGTTGCATCGGTACTTTTGTTGCTGTTTTGTCATACCTGTTGTTGTGCAGTCCCTCATTACACAGAGTCCAGTCGGTGGGTTTTTAGTCCAGTTTTTCCTCTCTACATGCAGCAGGTCCCCGTTTTTATCGCTCCTGCACACGTAGCCTCTCTGCTATCTGAGCTCACTGTGTTGTCAGCATGCCAGGCAGACCCACGACACACACCAGCACAGCTGTGACACAAAAGCATACATGTTCTGTCACTTTTACAAGTTTGGGAACATGTTAAATCAAATTACTAATATTTATTACGTTTAAAGGCTTGTTGGTGACACATACAACGCTAATTTGCTAGCAGTAGTTGTTTTTGATTTCATTTGTTTTCCTTGAATGCTTTTGTTATATTAGGTCTATCTGATATGATTTAGGAATTACAATTAAAATCCATTTGTTTTATCACTTTTACTATGTTAGTTTGCATGTGTTCTTGTAGACCATTGCTTGAATTGTATAGATTTCTCCCTGACATGTGTCTGTCAAAGCACTTTTGTATTAATAATGACTTTATTTCTATAGCACTTTTAAAAACAGAAGTTTACAAAGTGCTTTGACATATAATCCTAAAGCACGTGGAAAAGGACAGATAAAAACTAAAAGCTCAGTTAAAATGGAATTAAAGGCCATTTTCATGTCATAAAGAACCCAGAGAACACAAGAACCATGCAACATGAGACCATGAGGACCAAAATAAAAACATAGAATAGTTAAGAAAAAAGAAAATGCAATAAAAAGGGAGGTCGAAAGTGGGAACAGGATAGTTAATATAAAAGGCAATATAAACAATGATAATAAAATAATAACAGGAAATACTGATAATAATAGTAATAATAAAATGGAGCAACCAAAATGAGCAAGAGATAAAACAATAAAGGGCCTAAAAGGTTAATTTAAAAAAAACCGAAAACAGTCAAAGATGACTGACTCTTTGAGTGGTCAAAGAGATAAGAGATGACAGATAAAAGAGAAAAGACGTCATCACATAAAAGCAAGTCTGTAAGTCTGTAAACATGTTTTTGAATGTTCAATACTATGATTAGTATCAGTATTAGTATTAGTATTAGTTCTACTAGTAATACTGCATTTCACCTATATAATTGTTATATATTTTTACAACCTCTCTTAATTCTTTGTTTTACAGGGAACTCTTTGATGGCACCAGTAGGACGATGGCAAAAAGGCAAAGATCTGTCATGGTATTCAAGAGACAAAAAAGGTGCTGCAGCTTTGTCTAGAGAGGATGAACTTGCTGCTGTCAAGGCTGCAGAGCAGGAGGCACTGATGGCTGCCCTGTATGTAAAATGCTCTTTTTATAATGAATTGTTGACATAGCCATCTGTGGGCCAACTGATGTGACTGAGTTTTCTTCTCTTTTGTCAATCTAGAGGGCACAAGAATATAAAGAGGCAACCAACTGGCTTGACCAAAGAGGTGCGTCACTCTGGTTTCCTTTTCAGCGGATGCATCAGTTAAATAATTGTTCTCGATTAACCAGGTTTAACAATCAGTATGTTCAAATTGTGATTCCAGGACCTTGCAGATGTTTACAGGAGAGAAGAGGCTGATGGTGAAGAGAGGAATGTTGACCGTGTCTCAGGCTTAGGGAGCTCCAGGTACTTTTTTTTCCCCCTTAGAACATTTTTAAATTTCGGGATTAAACTACATACTAAAAAAATAAGTCAGTTAAAATGAAAAAAAATAACACTTTTTTTCCTGAATGTTTGTTGTCACATAACGAAAACATAATTTTATTAAAAATTTTGGCTCGGATTTTGTTTGTAAGATTACCTGCTAATTGGTTGCGTTAATTGTCAAAAGTAGTGTTCTGTTTATGGTGTTCCTCTTGAGATAAACATGAAGGAAAGGAGCTGTTTGTCAAATACTCTAATGGTTAAGTGTTGCTGTTGCTGATTAAGTGTTGCCACTCACAGCGTAGGGTCAAGGAAAATGATGCTCTCTCAAAAGGAGAAGGAAGCTGCGAAGATGGGCTTGCCTGTTTTTACAGTAAGTCTTTTTTCCTTTTGGTCCAAAATTTACGATCTCAAGATGCAGATGTTTATGATACAAGTTTGACAGACAAAAACAGGCCTTAAAACAGCTTTTGCGGAAAGCAGTCTGACCAATACAGTGAGGAGATCATCACTTTTGTTGTATGATATGGTGCAAAGATTAAATCTATGCTTCCTTGACAGCACCAGAAAACAGAGCACTGTCAAGAAACTTCAACAACAAGAACATCTCAGAGTGCAGAAAAAGAGGAAAAGGAACAGCGGTGAGTCTGGGGGAAAAACATACTAAACACCCACAGTACTTGATGTTTCACCAAAACTCTGTTTCACGTTTCCTTTTCTTAACAATGATGTCTTTTTGTAGACATGACAGCAAAAAGAAAAAGAAAGAAAAAAAGAGCAAAAAGGAGAAAAAGAAGAAGGAAAAAAAGAAGAAAAGGCAAAGAAGAGACTCTTCCTCCTCGGAGTCAGATGACAACAGAAAGAGGTTGGTTGTTGATCTTTTGGTGATTGGCTTGGGATGGAGAGTATAAAATACACACACAAAAGTAACTCTTAAGAATAACAATGACATTAGGTCACATTAGGACACTTCTAAACAAATCTTAACCCCACATCTATAATGTACTGATTACTGTGACTGCTGTGATCTATTCATAAATTCACTAACTCCTACCATAGTGTGGCTCTTCTCAGTGTTAGATTGGATTGATATATCAAACTGTATTTCACTGGAACTGAGCACCTGTACATATCACACTGTATTTCACTGTGATAGATGGCAAAGCTTTTCCTCTGTCAGCACTAGAGGGCGCTGAGACACTTTGAGGAGGTGGCCTCTAGCAGGCAGCCTCTTTGTTTAAAGATCTTGCCAAAACGTCTCATAAATCACTTCAGCTGGATGCTGGGAGGGATTACAAAAAAGAAATGATTTATGATTGTGTTCATAAATAAAATTAAACCTTGAAAGTAATGTGTGATAAATGTACAGAAACATACAGGAATTTCACACATCCACTGACGATTGTCAAGTCTTTAGGAATGTAAAAATAAAACTCATCTTGTCGCTCTTTCTGCTGCCCCATTATTTTGCCTGATTGACTCTAACCCATTCATGTACTCTTGGTTTCCTTTTTTCTTCAGGCAGAGAAAGGACCACCATCATCATAATCCATCATACCATAGTCAGAGTGGAGCCAGACCCCATGACAGCCATTCAAGGGGGGGAGCAAAGGCCGAGCGACAGCCCACCTACCCCCATCATCGACAGCAGAGGCATGACACAGACTCCTCTGACGGGGGGTCTCCTGTCCCCCGTTACCCTGTCAGCCACAAGACGGCCCCTGCTGGTGCCGCACAAAGCCACAGGCGGCGCCACGACACAGACTCGGACGACTAATGTCCTTCCCACCCCCTCAATTCAAAGACGCTTAACACGGACAGAACGCTCCACAGCAGCTTGGCTGGCCCTGAAGACCTCATTTACCCTAAATGATGAAACACACTGGATGGAGACAGGTGGATACTCTCAGACTCATCCTTTCACTTCCTCACTAAACAGAGTGATCTGTTAGTCTCAGGACACTGGTGTCTTCGGTGTTATTTTAATTTTGTTTGACAAATTGGTGAAGCACATGTTGTGTGATTAAACCACTGAGTATCACATTTTCTGTTTTATCTTGTCTGTGATTCTTATGGTTTTTATCTCATTAGTCACAAAAATATGAAACATACAGTGTAGTTTGCAGAGGGAGCATAGAAGTTGGATCTTCCTCTGGTTAGCCTATGATAAAACACGGACAGGTCAGCCATCTTTTGCAAATGAAGTGAGTTTCTTTGAAAAGTGTCTGTGAAAGAAGCTCCTGGGTGTCTGTGCACATCTCCTCCTTCACACTGTGCCTTTTGCACCTTTCAGAAGCTCAGGTCCTATTCTTTTCTCAATCGTGGCAGCACTCCTTAATCCTTCACCGTTCCAGGTTAGGTCCCTGACTGGGGTGATACCACTGGAATGCTCTCCGCTGGTCATAATGGGGTGTAGTGTTTGCACTTGCCTTGAATTGGTCTGAAAGAGGGTATTCTGCTAGCAGGCACCTGGGGGGTGCACTAAAAAAAGAGCAAGGCATTCATAAAGCAGAGTGCAAAAAACCAGGCCGGTCCTTTTATATGACCAAGTACCATTAGACCGCCACACACAAACCAAGCTGATGGAGCAGCGGGAGAGGAGGCCACACAAAGGCCTCCCCTTCTACCTCCACCATATTCTGCTGCCATGTTTTATAGGCTTCAGTGCATTGACCATAGCAGCCTAATCAACCTGCAGGAATGCTGTCCTGGATTGCCACCCCTAAACAATGTGAACCAGGGTGTGCTCTCTACATAGCTGGTGTAATCAAACCATGAAGCGTTGTATGCCATCCTGGGGCATCACTTTACTCTATAGGTCAAAGGGTGACTTACATGGTAGTTGTACTTTTAAATACTTTTTGAATTAACTTTTACTTGATTGTTTTTCTTTGAGTTTGATCAGGACAATACCATAGACCAGTGGTTCTCAAGTCCAGTCCTCGAGGCCCACTGTCCTGCATGTTTTGGATGTTTCCCTGCTCCAACACAGCTGATTCAAATGAGCAGCTTGTTATCAAGCTCTGTAATGGCTTAATAATGAGCTACTCATTTGAATCAGGTGTGTTGGAGCAGGGAAACATCCAAAACATGCAGGACAGTGGGCCTCGAGGACTGGACTTGAGAACCACTGCCATAGACTGTATATACTCTGGACAGCTTCGTTCCGCCTTCCACCAGTATACAGATTTGAAACCGAAAGCTCTCGGTAATTGCGCGTTTTCTCCCCATTTTCTGAAACCAGCATTGCGCAGCAGCGTTGCACACACTCAACCACTTGCGCAGCAGCATTAAAAACTGAGCTGTTCAGAAAAAAAAGAGGACTTGGGCACAAACTAGTCTTACAATAACACATCAACATTGTAAGCAGGGAGGTAAAAAATTATGTTCCGTGTAATAAATTTCTAAAGTTTGTCCACAGCTCCATAAACTTTGCTGGTGGAGGCGGGATTTATGATTTATTTATATACAGTCTATATACAATACACTCTGGCTACCATTAAAACAACATGCATGATAGGAAATATACCTGATATTTTACCATAATCTATGGCAAAGCAATGCCAAGATTAGAGACAGTTTCCTGTAATACAGTAATTTTACAACACACTCAAAATGAAAATCACAGCAGAAACGTTCTTTATCCCATCGCTTTAATTGCAGTGATACAAAACAACAGCTTTAAATAGAAAACACACATGTAAAAGATTAACAATATTTAAATATTCAGGCAGTATAATGCATCGTTTAATGCATCCCTAAGACATTTTCAGAGCAGAAAAGAAACACCCACACCTTGTTTGAAATAAATGGCATCATGGATTTATAAGAAGGCAAATGTCGAACATTTTGTTTCCGCACAGGAAGAAAAAAGTGGCAACCTCTCAAAAATTTAGCCAACATTTTGTTGGTTTAGCCATTATTACAAGTTTTATTGAAATGTCTACTTAAACAATAGTTGACCTGCTTGATAGAGTCTTTGGTGAAGATGATAAACCCACTGTAGTGTAAAAAAAGTTAAACCAATCCAACGCAGGAGTTACAGAATATGGACGTTGAGATAGAGCCTCAGTGGGTTAATAGTTTCAGTGCAGCCTAGTAATGTAAACACCCAGTTAATATGCATTTCTTTAAAAAAAAAACACACACACACCATTCAGACAAGTATATTACAAAGGCAACATGAGATAAACCTGAGTCTTCAGTATAAAAAGCCAGTGCTAACTCACCAGGCTGCCTTAAAACACCCATAAAGCAGGTAGATATGAGATTGTTGCAGCATATCCTTGTTATGGCAAACAAACCGCATAAAAAAGTCTGGAGACAGAAGCTGTTAAAGTAGACAGACGAGTTAAAACAGAGAAAAAAAAAGTCAATGCCAGTGTTTACTTAATGATTATTTGGCAAGCTACGTTTAGTTACTGTTTGTGCAACCACAGTCGTTGGGTGCAGTGCAAATTTAAAGACCCACAAGCTTTCCCCATTACCAAAGATATTTACAGTCACATAAACTTAAAAAAAAAAAAACAATCCCAACATCTTTACAAGTATAGATCCACCTCCGTCCCGTTTTTTTGGTGATAAGAAGAGAAGCTTCAAATCATTTTTTTTTTTTTTTGGCCAGGTTGCTAGATACAGCATCCCATTAAGAGCAGAGGCCAGGGTCAGAAATCTGCTCTGGGAAGGACTACTTTTGGAAAACAAGCGATTATTAACGTTTTTTGAGCTCCGTGGACAGCCAATCCAGTCCTTCGTAGAGGCCCATCCCGCTAGTGGCACAGGTCGATTGGATGTACCAGTGTCTTTCACGCAAGGTGTGAAGCCCCATCTTGTCCGTGAGATCAGATGGGGTCATGGCGTTGGGAAGATCCTATAATAACAAAGAAAAAAACATTAGAGGATTTAACATTTCAACTCAGCCTGTGCAGGAAACTGTTTATGATACACATCTACTTTAAGTACGATTCAGTAGTAAGGGTTGACATGAGGTCTTGACTTCTTGTCGTGGACTTGAGTATTTGTTCAATGTGCAGACACATACAGAAACTGACCCTGTGATGTAACTTCTATACATGAATATCCACAGAGTCATCTATGATGAACAGCACACCCCAGAGCAGTAACTTGAATTTGTGTTAGAAACTCAGAAATTGTGTTTATGACCAAATTAGGGTTGAAGTTTTGGTGAATATTACCAATTTTTGTGGGCACTAAAGAAGGAGATTACAACACAGTGCAGTTACTGAAATGAAAATGCCTATCCCTCTTAAGTCTCCAACGACTCACCTGTTTGTTGGCAAATACTAATAGCACTGCGTCACGTAGCTCATCCTCTGCCAACATTCTCATGAGTTCTTCGCGTGCCTCTGCGATTCGCTCTCTGTCGTTGCTGTCCACAACAAAGATGAGCCCTGGAATATGCAAATGAGCATGTGTGAAAGACGTGTGCTGTAGCTCTCAAGTAAAAGAAAACAGGAATCTTGGGAATATCAAGAAGAAAGCTTTTGTACAACAACCTTTAGCTAACAAATACCATAAAAACTTTGACATGGTTAAACATACCCTGTGTGTTCTGGAAGTAATGACGCCAAAGTGGTCGAATTTTGTCTTGCCCACCAACATCCCACACTGTAAAGCTGATGTTCTTGTACTCCACAGTCTCCACATTGAAACCTGATGGAAAAATTGAAGTCATCAGGATTAAGACAATGTTTTTCCAAAATAATATGGAGACCGACCACGTTATCTGACATGTTTGTATAATATAAAAGCTTTGACAAGACCAATTATTTCACAATTTTTTGACTTGCCTATTGTGGGAATTGTTGTCACGACCTCTCCAAGTTTAAGCTTGTACAAAATAGTCGTCTTTCCAGCAGCATCCAAACCCACCATGAGGATCCGCATGTCCTTCTTCATGCCAAAAAGTGCTGCAAATAAATTCCCCATTGCGGCTTTGACTAAAAACTACTTTGAAATAATAAAAAAAAGAACTAAAAAAAACAAAACCTGGGGAGAGACAACAAATCAGCATTAGATAGGGAACAAGAAATAGTGATGGACACGGCAGTTCTTTTAGATGTACTGAATCACTAGAATCAGTTCACTAAAAAGATTCGTTCACCAAATCTCTGAATCATGTAGCATTTGGCGAGAGGAGCCTGCGACTCCGACCTCCTGAACTGATTCACAGCTAAACGGTTCAGGATTCAGTACAATTCATAGCTTCTGGGACTGGGAGACAAGAGTGTTTGTCTGTGTTGCTTTGGCAAACAGGTTTGTAAAAATGAACATGTTTAGAAGTCGTGATGTTTTAAATGGTATGCTATGCTATGGTATGCTATTTATCAGGTCTGCTTGGTAAATTGGGCTCAGTGAGTGATTCGTTCACTGAACGTTTAGAAGAATTCAAACTGAACATGCACTGTTTCCTCGCAAACCTCTGCAATGATAGGATGCGCCGGGTTTAATGCACTACTTGTTACATGCTGTGTCCTATTATATGCAAGTTGTTGTTGTGGCAATTTAGCAGAAAAACAAGGTAGCTTTGTCCGACAAAAATGATTCCAGAGAGTGTAGTTCAATGCGTGCTTCGTTTATCAAGTGATTCAGGTGTCGGTGTATGCGGTCCCTCATTCGCCGGCTGCTCGACTGGCAATGCTGTTTTTCACTTCAGCTCAACTCAAGTGAGAAACGAACGAATCACTATAGGAAGTAATTTGGTTCAGTACTTTCACTGAAAAGATTTGGTTCTTTTGAACGAATCGTCCGCGAACGGAACAACACAAACAAGAAACGTGGATAAAAACTCAACATGAGTTAGACTGAAAGATGAGCTTAAAACTCCTGTAATGAGTTTTAGTTTGTGTCAGTTTGGCACCCCCTGTGGACACAGCGGTCTCCTCAATCCTATCCTGCTGACTTTTGACAGCAAAAATCTACATTTATTGAGAATATTTCATCTGGAAAATGTAAAATTGGCCTTTCTTCGTCTGCTTGGTTGACACCTACCCTCCTACACTGTTTTCAGGCATAAAACTATGCTGTATCATAGTTTGGGTATCATAAGCAGGCATTGGTTTTAATTTTAGCCTGTTTCTTTAAAGCCAGAAAACTCCACAGAGGACCTTTGATATGTAACATTATAAACATTACAACGAAATCTTTAACTCTCTTCATGACCACCTCTTTGAAAAGTAAAAGAAAATGGTCTTATAACGCTTATTAATCTAACTACATTATCAAACCACCAGCTGTTTTAATAATTGTATCTCTATTTTACTCTAGATGTCAAAACCACATCCTGGTATCAGACCCTTAACTTTAAAGCTTGCTAAAGGTGCGAGGCTAAAACCCGTCTGACCAGTTCAGACCAACATTTTACTTCAAACAGCACACCACAAAGGGACGAATATCTTTTATAAAGTTTTACAGCGACAAGTTTAATAAAAAGTAGAGAGGGCACGGTGAAGGAAACAAGAAAACACGACGAGAAGGTCAAATTAATGAATTCTCTAAGTTAGCAGCTAAGCTAAAAAGCAGCCGGAACAAAGTTTTCCTCTCGGTTTTCTAACTGTAATTATCGCGACAAACCAGATGGTTTCGCTCACATTATTTTCGTGTCAAGACTGACTGTATTTAGCAAAAACATGAGCAATATTAAAGAGATCAGAGTCAATGTAGTAAACTTACAAAGCTGTTTTGTTTCCTTCCTCCTTCAAGGCGTTTCCTTCCTCAGGATGGAAAATGGCGACAGTTTGACACGTCTTCACGTCACTGGTCCTGTTCCATTCAAACTTCCGTGTTCATCAAACCGGCGGGTGCTGCTCCCTGTGGCCAAAAGGAGAACAGCATCCAGAGCAGATGGCCTACGGTGTGTAATACTGGTTAAGCTGTTTATTTGTTGAATACGTCGGTCCAATGTTGCAGAAAATAAGCGAAGTTTAACTGTTTCTAATGATTTTAAGTATAATTAACGTGTTTAAGTTTTAGGGAACACTTTTGGTGTCTGTCAGTATTATTTCGCCGTACAGTGCAGAAAGAAAACAGTTGCGTTTAGATAACCCCTTTGAATTTTCATTAGGATTAATACATACATTCATACACCGATATTTTTTCATGTTCACTAAATGCTTTTGTGAGGCATATAGGCCTCATAGGCTTTCATACTTTTACATAGCCTGCTCTCCGGAACTATCACACATTTTTGCCATGTGTTTAACTTATGTCTCAATTTAACAAGAACAAATCTACTCTGGTAATCTTGAAGCACTCCTTAAAGTGGACAGCTAAAGGGTATCACAAAGTTTGCCAGTACTGCTGCAAATCCGCAATAAACCTCCATTCACTCTATTAGAAGCTGACTTATTTAAATTGTGTGATACATTTTTAGAAGGTACAACAGGAACTATTGAAGTTTTTCCAGCACCCTTTCTCAGAACATAAAGTATAAAGGCAACTTAGGAGTGACTCCTCAGGCTCTAATGTGGATCAGTTTGGGGGTCTTGACACAAAACAAAATGAAACAATTAAGGTGAAAAAAAAAAAAACTTCCGCCATTATTTTATTGTCTATCATCTTAGTCTGCTCAAGAACAGGAAATGTTGTACAGCCAAGGGAACGGTCTGTTATCCGTCAGTTGGTACAGTATAAATTAGTACTTATCTTTAGGGTTTTTGTCATTTAAACTCTGCAACTTCCACTTCTTTTAGATCAGTGACCAGGCCATTGAGCAAAAGTCTAACTACATCATTGTTGGGCCAGTTGAATTTTAACCAGGGTCAACTATGCCTGCTACCCCCAGCAGAGGGGGTAGCAGGAGGGGAGAAGGGCAGCAAAGAACAGCAGGAGGGAAGATGGGTCTTAAGCTGGTGACGGACCACACAGTGAACGCTCATAATGCTGTCTCACTCTGCAACCATAATTTGTGGTTTTGCCCTGCCAAATGCCAGAGAGATCACTTTTAGCATATTTTCACAGCAACTGCCGTCTTTCTTTGTGTGTGTGGGAGGTGTTTGCTGAGCAACAGTTGTTTGGATTCCTATGGGTTTCTAACCCGTCATGCCTTATTAAACTGTTTCAGTCAGTCATTTAAGTTGATCTAATCATGATTGCCGATAACAATCTCCCAGCATCAATAACACTTCCTTATTTTCTTTGTCTTCCCCTACAGATCATGTCTGAACCCTTCTACTTCTTCAATCTGGAAGGTAGGTCTTACACTGCAGGTTAGAGCTCAGACTTTTACAGCATATAAATGATGCTATTTTGACATATGTTAAACATTCACAAAGGTTTATCAGCATAGGAAACAGCAACGAAACCAAGCAAAGGTGTTAGAAATCAGCTACGAGGGGCCCTCTCAGGGTCAAGACTTAAGTAATTGAATGAGGCAGTGGGTGGACTTATTTAACACTGTACAGAAACTGGATCAGTCATTTAAAAATCACAATTTGGAAGTTCAAAAGTGGTCACACTATCAGAAGAGCATACCAACGAGCCAGACGGACAGAAAAACATCACCTCCAATTCAGACTGTAACAAACAAAGACTGTGTGACTCTCATAAGCAAAGAGTTTCCTTTACTGACAGGTCCAAGTTAAGGAACAGAGGGGGTACGAGAAATGATACTACAATATATGAATTAATAGAGCAACATTGTGACTAGATTATGAGAGTTGGGGTGATTTGCTCCTCTAAAGTTGCACCGACTCAATTCTGACCAATGAGGAGCACTAATGTTTTCTTCACATGCTGTACCAATCTTAATGATACAGCACTCACTCAGTGTTCTCAACCACATCTCAAAGCTCTGCAAAAGGTTCCTTGAAATCTTAAGACCAATAAGTCCTGACTGGTATCTCTGTTCTATCAGCTGATGTCAACTACATTTTAAATATCTCTTTCTTTTCAAGAGGGGATATCTGAGCAAATCAGTAATTAATAAATGAGACCAAATGAGCTAAGGTCCTTTGCACCACAAAGTAGTCCACTCTGCCAAATGAATGGTTCTCTTTATGTTCTCTCTTTATGAAAAGTGAATTTATTTTCAAAATGCTGATGCACAATAATGTCACAACATGCTTCCAAGAGCAAACCAGTCATTAACCTTTCCATCAGCAGGACTTCTCTTTTCGGTTTAGGAACTGATTAAATTACATAAAACAACAGCAACAATGACATCTCATAAACAGAGTAGAGCAAGGGTTTGAACTTTGCCCCATTCAGGAATTCTTCATTTGAGACTACTGCTGCTCAATCTAACCTTTCAGAATGAATCTCATAAGAAAAAAACTATTGCTTTTAACCATTTGGTTTGGAAATCCTCCACACAGCTGTAGAAAAGCTCTCGTCTAACCTCTCATTTCCCTCTTTGCACAGTCAGAGCACAGGTGCAGGTGTTGAGGTGTGACAACACAGATGAAGGCAATCACCTGCCACATAACCTGTCAAAAGCATGCTTTATCAACTGCTGGATCTTCTGTTGCAGCTCAATCCACACATTTTGACTTTGAGGAAAAAACAATTTGCTGTACATTTCATCTGCAGCATGAACATTTTGATTGTTGTCCTCTAACATGAAACAGCAAATAAAGACATAATGCCCAGCAAGATAATGTTGATTTTTAAGAAATCTCCATTGGTAGCAAAGCTCTCTTTTTGTATATTGTGAGGATTCAAGCTGAAACCCCCAGGAGCAGAGTCCATTGGGCTGAAAACTTTCAAACATGTAAGGACAACATACCATGAACTGAACCGAACGTAAATCCACCTTTCCATGCTCCACAGGCAATAGTAATATCCATTTCAAGTGCTCTGCTTCTCCCTTCCCTCTCCTTTTCGTCTTCATAACTCAGTAGATACTGTCAGAAGTGATGTGTGGACAGAGAAAAAGGACAGTAGGGGGTGTATATATTACACCCTGCACAACCCCCCCTGAAAACACACAC